TGAACGTATAAAATGCCTTTTTTTACTACGAAATGTGCACCCTTCAGAAGGTGGGTGGTGAGAATTTTAAATGTCGGAGTGTTATGAATGCCAGAAACAAGCTCAAAACAATTGATTTAATCAGAATCGATACCCATATTGTATACCATGCGCATAGATTAAACACGAGTGGGGTTGGGGTCTCTTTAAAAACTGAAGAAAGTTGGGGTAGTGAGGGTAGTTCCCATACAGATTCAGCTTCAAGGGTGGGGGTGGGGTCTGTTGTGCCATTTTAGAGAATTGCTTTTTAATCCCGGTTAATAAATAAATGACAAGGTCTGAGTAACATAAATCTTTATTAATAAATACAATCTTCTTAGAAAGGGTCCCGTTCAGGTCACAGATTGATAACAGCACAGCGGTTTCAAAAACTAAATAAACATAATGTTAAAGTATACAGCAAATTTGAGCAATAACTTTGCTATATTAGCAATGTTGGCAGTTAAGCAATATGTGCTTAACCCAACGCAGGATTAGACTCGTGTATTAGCAATGGTGGCTTAACTAAGATTGGACTTCAATTATGGTTTAACAATTAAAGGAATAAATGTGCTAATGCTTTGTTTCTAAGCAATTAAAGTGAAAAGTATACCTCTTTTACACTCTGTAGACTATTTATATTCAGTCTAAATAAATGTGCTTGTTGCTTTGCTTCTAAGCAATGAAAGTGAAAAGTATACCTCTTTTACACTCTGTAGACTATTTATATTCAGTCTAAAAAATGTTAGATAATTCAATTCATGAAAATAACCTTCTTCATCCATGAACTATCAGTCATGAACCTTTGCTATTAAATGGCAATAATTGTGTGTTATCCAATTACACACTAAATCAGCAATTAAACTTAAGTTATTGCAATAAGTTTGCTTTAACTTTATTAGAGCAATAATCTTGCCCAATATATAGGTTTATAAGAATATAGTCCGAACTGAGCAATTTAACTCTATTTTGCTTCTATTAAAGAAATCAATTGCATTAAATGCATGACTTGGCAGAGAATAAAAAGTTTATCCTTACTTGTTTCGCTGATCGGGGTTGAGCAGCGTTAGGGTAGATCCAGCAGGGTCTTGAGCATTAAGTTTGCTTAAGGATAAGCAATAAGTTTGCTTGAGGATACTGCTGAACCGATATAAACCACAATGAACAAACACAAACACTTGCTAAATCAAAAGTACATTAAGTGCAAGAACAAAAATATAACCCAATAAGATGCACTGCTCAAATAAGAATTTAGTTTAATAAGAATAAGAAAACATAAAGTTTAATAAGAGTATAGAAACAAGATAAAAAGAACAAGAAATTCTTTCCAAATTTAAAAGTTTTAAACAGATCAAAAAACGACGCTATTGGAATCAATGGGTTAATAACTATTCCACTGTTTAAACTAGGCTAAGAAACACAACAGATTTCACTTGTAAATAAAGCCTTTTAATATAAAATTCGACCTCAGATCCGCCGATTTCACGCACTAAATCCAACTAAAAATTGAAAGAATTAATCCACATATATTAACATTTTTAACCAATTTGAGTTTATGTGGAAAAATTCGATCAATCTTTCTAACTCTGAGGCCGTTCCTTCCATTAACTGCATTGGTCGACAACTTGACGTCTCCAATATTGGTCGTGAAATGTACGGAGAAATAGTGTTTGCTCAGCTATCAAATGCTATGACTTGAGACTAATGAACGAGGTGTGATCCAATTTTGAAATCAGAGCTCAGAGCTATGTCTGGAAATCATAGTCGTAGTTACAGCAAGTTACAGCTTGTTCTATGAACCGGGCTCATGGATCTTAAAAACAAGACACTGCAATCAATTTATGAAATGAAATCAGAAAGCTACTTTGATTAGTGCTGCCACCTTTTCTCAAATAAATCATGGCCACAGTACGGCTAATGCACGGCTAATGATCCAGATACCTTATGGCGTGAGAAACTCTGTCCGTCCATGAATAACTCACGGGAGACATCTAGCGGCCAAATTATCGTCCTCCTAAGTACGACTATCTATAGAAGGACCGGCCTCTGATCGTGAAACCAGATGATTAAGGGTACTGCACGGATTTTAGTGCAAACTGGTTTAAAGTTATAAACAAATAGTAAATAAACAAACAGAATATGTAAAAAATATCAGAGAATATTATTATTCAGAACCAAATCACGAATTTAATCAAATTATTTATGGGATTGCTCCAAGCTTACAAAATACGCTAAGGGATTGTTCTCAAACTACAAAACTGCGCTACAACTATATTCTTCAACAAATTATTGAGAACCATTAAATAAATTACACAACAGGGTCTATCTAACAACAAACGGTAGTTGGGGTAGTAAGGGTAGTTGCCATTCAGATTCACCTTCAAGGGTGGGGGTGGGGTCTCTCTAAAAACAGACGGTAGTTGGGGTAGTGAGGGTAGTTAAACCCAACTTGAAGCTGATAAAGGCACAATTAAAAGTTGAAAAAGAAGATGGGCGCGAAGCGCCCTAATAGCCTATATATATACATTTATGTAGGCATGTAATTTAGAAGAAGGAGGGAAGATTAAGTCAAAAGACTATAGATTTAAAATGAGGATGGAAGATTGTGGAGAAGGACGGGAGATTTAAAAAGGACGAGAGATTAAGAAAAAGCGGAAAAGGCGATAGGGAAGAAGACCGAGAGATTATAAATGAGGATGGAAGATTGATAAGAAGAAAGAAGGGAGATTAAGAAGAAGTATGTGAGATTAGGAATAAGAAGGACGAAAGATTAAGAAACAGATTAAGGAGAAGGGTGAAAGATTAAGAAAAAGAACATATATTAACAAAAACTAGACTGTAATATGCATGATTGTAATTGTATCATCAAGCCTAGAGTGAATCTTTTTATGCTTGTGTTGCAATATTCAACAATATGTAAACTCTACGCGAATAAAATATACTTTCAGCATAAAGTTTAGAGAGGATTTAAATAAAAACTTTTTTGTTGAAATATTTTTTCGGAGAGCCAAACTTTTGGTTGAATTACCCCTATTAATATTTCTTGAATACTCCCGTTAAAGATTAAAACTCTTTCAGGATATTTTATTTACAATTTTGAATTATGAAACTCAATTTTTTTTTCTGCATAAGATATATCATAATGGTAGGAAGTCTTCCACTCAACTTGATTAATCTGAATAAAATGTTATCATGCAAGGAGTATAATGACTGCACCCAATTTCCGCAAAAACTGTGCATTTTAAAGGGAGTGTTCGCGAAAAATGAAAGGGGGTATAGGCTTAATGCGATAAAAAAGCGCTTTTGAACGCTGCTAATCTTACTTCTATCTCTTGCGTCTATAAGGAGAAAATTGTTAAAGACGTCTCATACCGAATAACCTAGCGTCCATACAAATTCAGAAAATTGCAACATACAACTTAGACCGTAAAAAATCCATTTAATTTCAAACAAATCATTCCTTTAAATATATATGTTCTTTTTTTTCTATCGTTTTAGTTCCTTTTCCTTTAATTTCTTTTAATTCATTTTTCTTCTTTTTGTTCCTATTACATAACTTGTTAAAAGAGGGGTCAACCTCTTATTGTGAGGCTATTTATGCTCGAATTATACTCAATTTTATCAGAAAACAATTTCCAAAAAATAAACCAATTGTAAAATAAACTTTAATGTGCTCTGTCCCTTCTACTGAAAACTTGTTTGATTGTATTTGAACTAATTGTTAAAGATATATCATTGTAGTTGAATCCTACTCTAGTACTCGAGTACTCAGGTTTCACTGTGTGTAAGCTCGGTATTTCGTAGTATTGGAGAATTCTCTATTTATATAGATTGAAGATTGTAGATAATAGATAATTCCTGGAAGGACTATACATGAGGAGTATAGAGGGACTAGTGAGGGGCATAGAGGGACTAGTGAGGGGTATAGAGGGACTAGTGAGAGGCATAGAGGGACTAGTGAGGGGCATAGAGGGACTAGTGAGGGGTATAGAGGGACTAGTGAGGGATATAGAGTGACTAGTGAGGGGCATAGAGAGACTAGTGAGGGGTATAGAGGGAATAGTGAGGGATGTAGAGGGACTAGTGAGAGGTATATAGGGACTAGTGAGGGGTATAGAGGGACTAGTACGGGGTATAGAGGGACTAGTGAGGGGAATAGAGAGATAATCTTCTGGTCTCTGTTCAAAGTTTTCTACAGAAAAAAAAACAATAATGATTAGTATTTACAGATATATTCCTGTTCAGTGAGATAAGATATGAAACCCTGCAATTTAGCCAATATTAGAATTTATAAATCACAAACGACAAAATTGCGACTAAAGGACTGGGAACGTAATAATTCCCCCTTTATTCTGTTTAACACAAATCTCAACGTAATGTCAAATTATTGCGACATTACTTTTACGACCTTATAACCTCGTAGCTACTTTAACGCCCAGGTATGATCAAGGCAAATTTATTTGGTTGGTTACATATTAGAAATTCAAAACTTTTTTTTCTTCTCAATAGACAAAATGTACGTCCAATTTACTTTAGTTTCGCAAGCAGTAACCTTCAGCTTAAATCTACGTTTTTAGTTTGATTGTATTGTAAAATTATAAATATGAAGAAATTTATAAGATTAGGTTCCCAGAAATAACATGCATGTGACGCCTCAGAACACTTCTCAACCCCAAGTTCTAGCTATTCACTCTCATAGGCAGAGTAATTGTTTCTCGTTCTCAATCATATATATATATATATACAGATATATATTTATATATATATATATATATATATAGTAGGTCGTATATCACCTACATATATAAATATATATATGTATATATACATGAAACATAATGTATAGTAAGATCATAATAATATAATAAAATGTTTTAAATTAAAGCTGATTCTTTAAATATATATATATAGAGAGAAGTTTTTGAGAAGGACTAAAAATCCTATATAGATCTTCATCAAGCAGGATACACAAAGAGACTATAATTCAACCCATCTGATCAGAACAGTGATACAAAGAAAACAAGACAAATTATTTGGTTCAATCCTCCTTTAAGTGAAACAGAGAGAAAAGTAGCGGAAAAGGTCTTTAGTTTGAGTGATAAACATTTTAGAAAAACAGAACTGAGAAAATTGTTTTATAGATTAACGATTAACCTGATATATATATATATATATGTATGTATATAGATATATATATACACCCTTATATATATATATAAATATATCAGTTTATAACATTTTATTAATAAACAAATTGTTTCATGCTTTGCTTTTATGCAATCATCAGTATGAATGATTTGAGAATTTTTCACAGATGTTTCGCGGATTTTCACGAGATGTTAAATTAGTTTTGAAATTAATGTTACATATAGATACATACAATAAAACAAACATGATGTTAAAAAGAAACATACTTTATCACACTACATTTACTAGAAGCATCTTGTTTTTATGTCGACATTTTGACATAACTGCGTGTCTTTTATTCAATGATAATGTTCTATCTGCAAGGATATAAGGTATATCTGCATGTATATCTACCTGTATATATACATGATGTCTTAAAAAACGGGGAATAAGGGTCTACAGAGTACAGACTCGTTTGTAATTGGATTTTCAAGATTGAGGCCATTTTTTAAAATTACGTACAATTTCCGATTCAATGAGTCCAATCTTAGGCTTGCAGATATAAAAATAACAATTTTAAAGACTCCTAAAGTTTGCAACTGGAGTGAGTAAATTTGGTAAAAATAAAGATAAACTCCGCTTGCACATATGGGTGAATGCAGACTTGTTTGTAATCGGATTTTCAAGATTGAGGCCATTTTTTAATATATACTTACAATTTCTAATTAAATGAGCTCAATTTTAGCCTTGTAGATCTAAAAATAACAATCAAACTGCAATAAAATGTAACCTAACATTGAATACAAAATTGTGCAAATGGCGATTATCTTTTACTTTTACTTCGCTCTAGTTGAAAACTTTAGGAGCCGTTAAAACTGTTACTTTTAAAACTACAACTCATTGAATCGTAAATTGTACGTAGATATCAATAATGGCCTCAATGGTCTGTAGTCTGGAGTCCCTTATACAAAATTGTGTAAACGAAGATTATCTTATTTTTACCAAATTACTCACTCCAGTTGGAAACTTTAAGAGCCTATAAAATTTTTAATTTTAGATCTACTCTATACAAATATCTACATGTATATTTACCTATATAAATATCTACCTGTATATTTACCTATACAAATATCTACCTGTATATTTACCCATATAAATATCTATCTGTATATATATCTACCTGTATATTTACCTATACAAATATCTACCTGTATACTTACCTATATAAATATCTACCTGTATATTTACCTATATAAATATCTACCTGTATATATATATTTACCTATACAAATATCTACCTGTATATTTACCTATATAAATATCTACCTGTATATTTACCTTTACAAATATCTACCTGTATATTTACCTATATAAATATCTACCTGTATATATATCTACCTGTATATTTACCTATATAAATATCTACCTGTATATCTATTTTATAAATGTTTATGTTTATTGTTACAACCCTGTATATCTGTTGGTATGGGGTTAAAAATGACCTTTTTTGCCGTCAGCAAATGCTTGAGTTGGTTGCTATATATATGTTCTCCTCAGGAAAAAAGACGACCTTTTAATGTCCATAATGCATGATCTGTTGGTATGGGGTTAAAAATGACCTTTTTTGCCGTCAGCAAATGCTTGAGTTGGTTGCTATATATATGTTCTCCTCAGGAAAAAAGACGACCTTTTAATGTCCATAATGCATGATCTGTTGGTATGGGGTTAAAAATGACCTTTTTTGCCGTCAGCAAATGCTTGAGTTGGTTGCTATATATATGTTCTCCTCAGGAAAAAAAACGACCTTTTAATGTCCATAATGATGCTCATGTGTAATGGTACACTCTGTAAATCTGTTGGTATGGGTTCTTCACCCTGTATCCTGCTGTAAAGTATAAATATATATATATATATATATATATATATATATACGAAGTGTACTCTTCGCGCTAAGCGGAGCGCAGTCACCCTATTATACCTGATACTAGGCGCCCCACACACATTTCAGATTCAGGGCTTTCAGTTTCAAGCAGTGCCTTTAGTTAGGTTAGGACTTGGTGGAATATAGCTGGTAGAGTTGTTTTATTAAAATAAATGTCAATATAGAACACAGTGATTTAATGCAAATTACTAAAGAAGAAGAAGTTTTTGTTCGTTACAAACCGAAACTTAATAACTTATCACAGCAACACAATAATGCACAAACGAAACCAAAAAGAGACACACAAATTATTCATATATCTAAAAGTTATAAAAAAAACTAAATAACTAAATATAACTCAATTAAAGTTTACATGTTTTAAAGAAATAAATCAGAACTAAACTAAACAAAAAAATAAAAAAAAAAATTAACAAAACACAAATAAACAGAAATAAACACAAATATAAACTAAACACCTTATTATTATAAATAAACACAAAATAAAACTAATAAATAATTATTAGAAATAAACACAAAACATAAACTAAACACAAAAGTTTAGAAATGAACACAAAACTAAACTAAACAAATAATTATCAAAAATGATCACAAAAGTAAACCAAACTATCGTTTATACAATCGTTGTTATTTGTCTTAGAAACTGTAATGGAAGACGACCCACAATTAATTTCAAGTCTAATTAAAGCTGTTAAAGTTGGAAGTCAACTTTTAAGATGAAACATTGTTTTGATTTGGAAACCATTAGATAATGCATAAAACTGCATAACACTGTGAAAAAAATCCACACATTTAATACTATACAAACACAATTTACTCAATTTAAAAAATAATTCTTTTGAAAAAGAGAACAATGTTAGGAAGCTAAATTTTGTCTCAAAATAAGTGGTTTATCCTTACAATTGGCAATTGTTGACTCATAAACAAATTTTATAGTCTAGAGAAATGTTTGATCCGTAAAATACACAAAAAAAGGGAATAAAGCTTGCAATTTTTTGCGTTACATCTTGATAACAAATTTTAAACGCATATTATATTCAGAGGGAACATGCCATTCTTTTCATGCGTAATAAATCTTTGGTAAAAATAAACCCTTAATCATGAGCAAACCTATCGATAATTCCTGATCAAGCTTAAAAATAATTATCACTCTATAAAACTCTATTGATTTTACAATGCATTTTTTGTTAGAAATGTCTATTAAAGGGATTGTAAGGGTAATTTCAAGTGACCCTCAGGCCTCACTGCAAGGATGACAATGCCTGATTTACGACGGTGGAAACCCTGAGCTGATCAAACATGCGGAAAATACTTTATATAATTTTCCCCAAAATTTTTCAGAAATCTATTTGTTTATAAAAATCTGATAATCTAAGATTTTTATTCTTTTATATAAACAGTATCCTTGGGTGTACGTTTTGGTGTCTGTTTTTGTCTGTTTGTTTCTCTGTGACTCAAAAATTCTATAAAAATCCCACTGAATATCTAAATTTAGATCTTGTGGGATTAAATTAGTCAGATTCAGATTTGACCTTTAACAAAGTTTCAAAGTTTAGGGGTATTGGAAAAATCAGAAATATGCATGTCAATATTTATTTGGATCGTTTGTTTGCATCTTCAGTAAACGTCAACATGGCTAAATCAATGAGGCCAATTTTATTTTTGGTAATTCATGCGAGGTTCATGTCTAGTTAAAAAAAAATTTTTTTTTTTTTTTTTTTTGGAGATCCACCAGAAAAACATGCAAATTTGTGAAATTTGTTATCGTTATTATTTCAATTTAATTTCGGACGATCTCTAAATACAACGATATTTCTGCAAATAAAACAATATTTAAATAAATAATTTTATTTCAGAAAAAATGGCGACAATGATAGGACTGTTCAGTTCTATTGGAGAACATATTCCTATATTCAGAAAAGATAAAATTGTGGAAGCTTCTGCAGAAGGAACAATTAACAGGTCTAGGCCTAGGTCTAGGTCTAGGTCTAGGTTTAGGTCTAGGTCTAAAGTGACCCTTATTTTAAAGAATGACATGCAATTGTCGAATTCACATCAGTACGACTTAAATCTTATTTATGTAACAATGAAAAAGATAACGTTGTTTCTCATCTTGTAAAATGTTATATTTAAAATTTTAAAATGACCAACAGAGAAACCTTAATTTAAAAGGTTTAAAGGGTACCGTTGTGAATCTGATAGGTCACAGTACGAAGTTACGTAGGTAGTTCTTTTAAGTGCAGTTACATTATTAATATTTACACATTTTTTATTATTAGATAACAAATAAATATTTAGATTTCATTTTCGAGGAACAAGTCTTTTGATCCTGGTTTGTTGTGTTATGGTCACATGTACAGAGTGGATTTCTGGAACAGGAAGTATANTTATTATTATTATTATTATTATTGTTATTATTATTATTATTATTACTATTGTTACTATTATCATTATCATTATCATTATCATCATCATTATTATTATTATTATTATTATTATTGTTATTATCATTATTTTTATCCTTTTTATAATTTAGACTGCATACATGGTGGGTCTATACCTGATAATGTGATAAATATGTTCTGTTATATTCAGGTGCATAATAATTATAAATGTTGACATTTCGTAACTTTAAATTACGAATTATTTAATGAAAATTTGAGCCGTTGCCCTTTGCATGTTTAATGGGTTACTTTCTTCCAACCTTTTATTATTATTTTTTATTTCGCTTAGTGTGAATTTAATACTCATATTATTACTATTTTGGATCAAGATATCATAATATGTTCTAAGATAAGGATACGCTATGCTATTTCCCATTAAACATTATAATAAAAGACGACTTGGAGGTCGTTTTTGTTCTTTAAAATCTATGTTTGGCTTCAAAGCTTTTCAAAATGTGGTCTATCTTCTTTTATTCGAAATTATCTTAAAGATATTAATGCTAAGACCATTCATGGTTTTACTTAATAAATAAAAAAGAACAATATTCTTTTTATGTTTGTAGACCCTAGATAAAGAAGACGACATTCAACTCCGCTACATAACGGTTATTTTTCAGGGAACTTTCAGTGTACCAATACACTACAGAGACCATGATACTCAGATAGGATACGATGTGAGTCAGACAGGCGTGGGACCATACAATCCAGAAAAGGATTTTATAGAGGTCAAACAATACTATCAGTAAGTACATTATTATGATCTAAGGTGGATACGTTTTCAATGAAAAAGTATTTGTAGTAAAACAACTACGTTAATTAAAGAATGGCTGAATTCCATGCAACTATAAACTAATTTCTGTCTTTGCCATGAATGATTAAATAATTTAAGACATGAAGACTTAATTTAAACGTAGGATCGTCATTCGTCATATTGGAAGAGTTTCAAGTCATCTTTACCGTCTCATCCTTTCTCCGGGTAACCCTGTAGTAATAAATACAGGATAAAGAAATTCTTTAAAGTCAAACAGTTAAACAGAAGATAATCATAAGACTGGTAAATGTTTTAAATGCCCATTTTTTAAATTGTTTATTTTACGAAATATAGTTAGCGTATTTGAGATTTTAATCTTTGTTCTAATTAAAATAGAACTGAGATGCTTGTCACAAAATATTGAAAGAACCAAGTACTAACATTTTAAAATCTTATTTTTGTACTGTTATTACTATTGAATTTTATTATCATTATTATTATTACAACAATCAATACAGCTATAATTTTTATCAATATTTATTGGTCTTGATTGTGTCTAACATTATTATTGTATTCATTATTGAAATTAATATTTATTTCGAAATATTTAAATTCTCATTGATTTTTTTTTTCAGATGGGTCCCTTTTGTTCTATTTCTGCAAGGAATCCTATTCTATGTTCCTCACATAATATTTAAGAGTATAGAAGGAAGCAAGGTAAAACACAAACTAAATCTATTCTATTAAAAAACTAATTTAAAATAGGAAATTATATACATTTTCCCTGTTTTAAAATATCTACCCTTAAATTTTATATCACTGTAAACCAAAATACTAGTTTTATCTATATAATTCATATGTGCACGAATTTAATGAATTGGAGAGGTGGCTGAATTACCTACCGCCGCCAGGTTCAAATCCTAAATCACCGATTCAAATCCTCATGCATCTTTAATTTTGCAATGGTGATACAGGATTTGAACCGGCAGTAGGTGTTCAAATCATTTAGATTAAGAGAATAAGGACAATATTGAAGGACTAAAGCGTGAAATTGTTCAAAATTGGTCTAGTCTAGTCTAGTTTTTAATGAGCATGCTTTAAAAAAAGCAAATCTAATAGTAAAGAAATTGAGTCTTTGGAACAAAATCAAATATTTAAACCTCAATATCTTTAGAACTCGATGTTGTAAACCTTCGATATTTCAAACTCTGATTATTTGATTTAACAGAATTCATAGTTTGAAATATCTAAGGTCTGCAACATTTGGTTCCAAAGATATAGTGATTAGAAAATCAGAGTTTGTGGCAAGGATTCAATTCCTGTACAATTTGACGCCTGTTTATTTTTAAAATTAAGGTACAGGTTCTTTAGAGTGTTTTTTCAAAAACATAAAGAATGTTTTTTAGGTGAAAACGATAATGGGAAGTTTAAACCTGTTCATGCTGAAAACTGAAGCAAGGAAAGGGGCAGAGGAGGAACTAGCAGATTATTTTATCAAGGTTCAAAATTATTCAAACATTTAATCCATTTTCGTGAAATTGGGGAGTTCTTGACTAATAAAAAAATATAATGAATCAGAGGATTACAAACACTATAAATATATATGACAAGGTATTTTTTGTGCCCATTGGATTGGACATTATTTAGATGTCCAAAAACATAAATACATAAATTCATAATAAGTTCATGATAGAGGCTCGTTTTTACTCTAGATTTAGCCTTTCGTAGATTTTGAAATAACAATAATAATAAATAATTATAAAATTTTAAAATTTTATTTTTATTTAGACACGCGGCATTCACAACAACTGGGCGCTTGGTCTTCTGTTTGCGCATTTCCTGTATCTTTTAAACGTTGTTGGACAAATATTTTTTACAGGTAAACACAGTAAAAAATCTCTATTAAAAAACATTTTGTTTTTTAAAGAGGGTAGTTTGTGATGCTACGAAGTTCAAAATCATTTTTATTTTTACGGAATTCTGCTACTTTCAGCTTTTTTCTATTTTATAAACCAATACTTAAACGTTTCAAATATTTTATAAAAATGAAAAGAAAAAATTTGTTAAAATTGGCTTATTAAGATTACAATTAGATATGTTTCTTGGGTATGAGTTTTCTACCTATGGGGTGAATGCCGCAAGTTTTCTTGAAGATCAACCAGAGGATAGAATAGATCCAATGTCAAAAGTTTTCCCCAGGTAAAACTTTTTAATCTAATCCTGTCAAAAAGGAAAAATTCCCAGAAAATTTTGAACGTCAGAAATTAATGCAAATAAAAAAAACCATTAACTAAAAGTAATAGGGATGCCAGGCAGTAAGGGTGGGGGAGGGGGGGAGGTCCCAACATTTTGATTAAGTTGTTAAATTCAAGTAAGATAATAAGCTATAGTTTCAAAAGAATTGAATTTTATTTATGAATGTGCAGATATTTTATGATGCTCCTAAAATGATCAAAATCTAACAATTATGTTTTTAACTCTAAAGCAAATAATGGTTTAAACACCAGAAACATTGCGTACTAAATTTATTTATAACAAATAGTTCAAATTTAGTTTTTTAAATGTGAAAATGTTTTAGGGTGACAAAGTGTACGTTCCACAAGTATGGTTCTTCAGGAACCCTGCAGACCCATGATGTTCAGTGTATTCTGCCGATTAATATTATAAATGAGAAGATCTATGTATTCCTCTGGTTCTGGTTTATGATACTTACAGTCCTTACATTTATAGGTAACTAGCTGAAGAACTCGGCGTCGCGTTGCCTAGGTTTATATCATAGTCATTGTTACTCCCGTCGTTTACCCGCGCTTATACTAAATCATCACTTTAGCTCAAATGCCCGGCATTGCCTGTGAAATTCTGAAATTTGTTAGCCTTTGTCATCATGGGATGCCAAGCTTGTACACTAAAAAAATCACCTACTTTGGTGCAGCCATATATATATATATATATATATATATATATATATATATTTGAGTGAAGAGCCTTATTATACAAGTAGAGGGGGATAGGAAGTATAAATCATTTTTCTTTCTTTGGTAACTAAAAAGTGAAATAATGATGCCTTTCTATCTTAAATCATGAAATATGGATGAGAATTTTGCAATTTGTTATTAAATCATCTCTAAAAATATGCCCCATAAAGTCAAAACATTAATTTTTATATTGTGCAGACCTACGGATCAATTTAATCCTTCTTTATATTATTCCGTGAGGGTCATACCCTGCAGGGATAACTTTTATTGAGGGATTAAGCATCTATCCTCAATATAGAAGTGCACACTATGTATATCGAGATCAAGCGTAAAATTGATTTCATATAATAATTATTTCCCATCAAACTACCTAAAATTTGTTCGAAAAATATTTCCGACATTTTAGTTTTTTGCCCTTTTAGGATATTTAAATAAATGCCTTCGTTTGATTAAATAATTTAATTATCAAATTTATTTTCTTGTTCTGCCATTTTCTTATATTAGCTTTTAATTAGATGTGATTCATCATGTTGGTCTGCTATCCCTACCTTCTGTTCGTCGCATGATCATTAAACGAAAATTGAGAACAGCGCCTTTATTTAAGGTAATTGCACACAGTCCCTTTATTCAAGGTAATTGTTCATAGTCCCTTTATTCAAGGTGATTGTACACAGTCTCTTTATTCGAGGTGATTGTACATCGTCTCTTTATTCAAGATGATTGTACACAGTCTCTTTATTCAAGGTAATTGTACACAGTCTCTTTATTAAAGGTGATTGTACACAGTCTCTTTATTCAAGGTAATTGTACACAGTCTCTTTATTAAAGGTGATTGTACACCGTCTCTTTATTCAAGGTGATTGTACACAGTCTCTTTATTCAAGGTNAAATCGAACATTTTAAAAATGATAAATATCGACATTTTTTCCATGTAAAATATATTTCACTTTTAACAATCCTTCCCTGAGTTGCCACAAAAAATGGCCCACTCGTTTTCGTTTTGACGTTTATTGGATCCAGTGCTGTAGGAGGCAAGACAAGTTAAAAAATGTCTTCAACAATGTTTATATAAAATTTCAAAAATTACCAATAAAAATATTTGTTTGAAGGTGACTGGTATGGATATAGATACTAAACTAATCTTGGATAATATCAGCTATGGAGACTGGAAACTATTCTATCATCTCATCAGGTATACATTGTTAGAAGAATCCATAACATTTTGTTGTTTTTGGTAGTTCGATGAGATGTTAGAGGACGTTGCGTTGTATTAATGTTTGTCTGGAAGGGTGTTCCTAATAAATCCCACAATACTATATAGACTTTACATTACTAATTATATATGATAATTAAATGCTATTGTATATATTATAAGTTAGAAAGAAAAAAAATTTTTTTCCAAAATCATTGCTGGATATTTTGTCTTAACTTCTTTTCCAAAATTCCAAGCACCTTTCCTCCCCCCTTTCCATTTCCCTGCCCCCTCCCCTTTCTTCCCTCTCCCCCTTTTCCCTCCTCCATCCCCCCATCTTTCTTTCGCAATTCATTTAGTTATATAGTTAAAATCATAAAAAACTCATTCTATTCCTAGAGACTTGTTCTATTCCACAAAAATTCCACTTTGATATATTGTTGTACTAAATTTAAACAGTTCACTTTAATATATTGTTTTATTTACAAGGAATATGGATTCTATTACTGCTATCGAATGGATGCAAGCATTGACTACAAAACTAAGGTGATTAAGTCTTTACTTGTCTTGTCAGCTTGTTTTTCGGCTTGATTTGTCCGCCTGTCTTGTCAGCATGTTTTGTCAGCTTTTTCTGTCCGCCTGTCTTGTCAGCATGTTTTGTCAGCTTTTCCTGTCCGCCTGTCTTGTCAGCAAGTTTTGTCACCTTTCCTGTCAGCTTGTCTTGTCATCTTGTGCTGTCAGCTTGTCCTGTCAGCTTGTCTTGTCTTCTTGTCTTGTCAGCTATTCTTGTTTGTCAGCTTCTAACATTATATACAATATTATCAGGGACGAGGTTGAAGATCAGCTTCATACATCAGAAACACTTCCACTCAAATCCAAAATATTAAAGGAGTAAAGCACCCTGAAGAAGAAGATTTGTCTGAGGCCGGTATGATCATTGATTGGTTCAGAAATCATCTGTTAGTACTTTGGATGGTTCCAGGATCATCAGTTAGTACTTTGGTTAGTTCCAGGATCATCAGTTAGTACTTTGGATGGTTCCAGGATTATCTGTTAGTACTTTTAATGGTTTCAGGATTATCTGTTAGTACTTTTAATGGGTTATGGATCATCTGTTAGTAATTTGGATGGTTCCAAGAACATTTATCAGTACTTTAATTTCAGTATGATCTATTTTGTGGTTCCAGGGTTTTAAAACACACTTAATGATTTGTTTAATGATTTGACAGCATAATATGATGCGTTCAATGAAAATACGCAATATGCTTTAACACAACAAACTTTTTCTAATGCTTTACAAAACAATGAAAGTGGATTTTAAATTTTTAACTATCAGATTTGCCTCTGCTTTCTAGAAACAGGAATGTATTGGTAATCGCCCAGAGGAAGCTTAAATAATAATTAGGGGAAGGGGGGGGCTTATATCCCCCCACCCCCCGATTAACTGTCGCTCTTAGAAAACCCTGTAAAAAAGATTTACATTTAAATAATATGTTTTGTAAACATGATTTAAGATCTGCTGTAGAAGTAATTTCCAAAGACTCTTCATTTATATAGTGGCATGTCCGATTCACAAGTTCATAATGGAACCCTTTCAAGCTTTGTTTTGTCAAGAATGGAAGGTCCCTTGAAGTAACATCGACAGCCTCTTTTTAAGCACAAAAAGTAATGTAATTATTTTGTTCGGAAATGTATTTAGCTAGTTCAATACAATTTTTATTTACTTTTTTTTTATAAATTTTGTCATGTTTCAAAAAGTATTCTTGATCTGTCGATTTGTTTTGGAAAAGATTTTTAATAAAATATTTGTGAAAATAATGAAATTTTAAAACTGCCGTAGGAGAAAATCTTTATTTTCTATTGAAAATGTAATGCATAAAGATGATTTTGAATTTAAAATTAGGGCACCACACCTATTGTTACATATTAGCACATTTCTTAAAGAAAGGCTTTGATTTTTATGATTTAGTAACGGGTAAATGCGCCTATTTTAAGTTATGTAATTTTTGTATGTATTTTTTACTCATTTTTTTTTGTAAACTTGTATCATTTTTTTGTCACTGAAGTTTTCAACATTTTTGGCTCTAACTAATTTTATTTTGTTTTGAGGGCACTCATTTATTTCGAGATTCTAACAAAATTATTATTTTAACAGTGGAAAATTAGCCAAAGAATGTAAGCATTTTTCTTTCAAATGCTTATAAAGCCATATATGTCATACGAATTGTTATGCCCAAGAAGGCCATCTTAATGTGTTTTTTTTTTGGTAGATTCAGGCCATAAAGTTTACCTGAAACGAGATTTGAATTTCAACAAGCCTTTTTATTTTTCTGATAGGTCAATGTGTATATTTTTTACACTTTTAATCAATTAAAGTTTAAACAAAGCAATTTAGATAACATTTTTACATACCTCATAATTATAACTCTGTTATATATATATAACATATTAATAAATAATATTTTGTATCAACTTTTGTTATTCAGTGATAACCAGAAAACTCTAAAACAGGAAAATGAGTTTTTAAATTTGATAACTTTAAATAGTCTAATGAACAAGAAACAAAGGGATTGTGATTTAATGAAGTGGTCGGCGATTATATCAATACAATGAAGACGACTTATTAATAATTCTTTGATTCATAACCAGCAAATTTGTTCAAATCTCAAGTTTAGATTAACTTGATGTCGTCCTCACTATTGGGTTTTTTTGATTCATCAAATTGTGCTAAAAATCCAATGTTGTTATTTGACCATATTTGGTAATTTGTTAATTAAATTAAATTTTCTAGCTGAGTTTTTAGTATGTTCTACCAAATCATCTCATAATTGTGAAAAATATAGTTTTTTTGAGGGGCTAAAACTCCTTAAAGATATATGCTGATCAAAATGATGAATTTGTAAATCATGACTTCAAGATAATTTACAAACGTTTTGAAAGTGCTAGCACTAAAGCTGATCATGGGAGAAGCTGAAATGCGGTTTATGCACATATTTCTTAATGATAAAGCTATATAACCTACGAATCAAGCCAATTTTTGCTTTTGCATTTATTTTTTTAGGATGTACATTTTAGATTTAGTTCTCAATGTGAATTAACCAATGTTTTGTCAAGTAAAAAAATAAATTGATCAGATTTTTTGTACAATTTGATATATCCGATAAACCTGATATTTGATTAGTGTCTTCCTTTTTTAGTTTAATTAATGGCGTCAAAATTTTTAAATGTTAAAATATTACGTTTTGTATGTTTTGCTGAAATTTTTAATTTCTAGTCAGGTCTTCCATGCCTTTTTATGTTTAATTTCATTTAAGAAACTAGTTCATTTTAAACGTTGAAATAAAAAAGTATTATAAAGGAGATTAAAAATTCCAAGAAATCCAAGTTTGGATACATAAACCAGACAAACTTAACTTTTCTTTTTCTTTGGTAAATAATACTACTGTAATATAGTTGACAAACGTTTTATTCAAGAAAAAATGCATTTCAAAAGTTTCATAAATAGACTTGTTGTTAATCACTATGCAGCCTGTAATTATTGAGCCCACAAGTCTAAACTTCAGTGAGCCCATCCTGTATAAAAGTTACGTTTGATAACAATTACAGATACAAATACAATTCCATATCGATTGGACTAATATCCGATTGAATTAAACTCAGCTGTTCACCAGTCGGCTTTTAGAGCATTTAAACAAATATAAATTTAATCACGTTAATATGAAATTATTAAAAAACATAGTTTAGGACCATTGTCATTGCTAACTAATATTTGGTAGGAGCTCAGTTTTTTTTAGAGTCATGCACATGGCACAATTGACATGTGCAAACCAACGCACATTGTACAATTAATTCACTCATCTATAAAATAAAACAAGACATACGTATATATATATATATATATATATATATATATATTGCCTATGGCCGGCCAAACGGCTGAACCGATTGGGCTGAAATTTGTTGTGGACACTCATGGGATGCCGGGAGATGTTCTAGGCTAAAATGCATTTTTTATTTCTCAACAAAAATTTTTTTCACGAGCAACGCCGGGCCCCTCAGCTAGTCTGTCATAAATTTCAATGAGTTAACAGATAGGACAATAGATGTAGTCTGTTCAAGATTTAGGGGGTTTTCTTTCACAATAACCCTGAGGCAGAAGCCAGAAGGAGTTACGCGGCAACGGCGTAGAACAGGCTATTTGTTGCCTAAATTGCGTAGTTTATGATCTTATAAATTTAAATGACACGATAAACAAACAAAATAATTTATTAACCATACAATATACTGGTTGTGGGTTGTCAAATCCCCGGATCCGCAACACAGGAACTGGCATGTTTCCGAACTGAATTAGAGAGATTATTATTGCAAATTGAGGTGAACTCTAGATTGAATATTTGTGAGGATCACTGTATTAAAACAAATATTAAATTGGTGAGCTTAAATTCAGAGCTTAAAATAATCTATAATAAATTGATTGGCAATGATATTCCAAAGATTGGAAAGACTCTGCCAAAAGAAATGAGTTTTTGTCAAAAACTCAAATTTTCTAATCTCTTTATCTTGGCAACCTGATGGCGGACACCATTGATATTTCATACTGAGGCTATTTGATCTAACAGAATTCATAGTTTGAAATATCTAAGGTCTACGACTTTGGGTTGCAGAGATATAGGTATTAGAAAATCTGAGTTTGTGACAAAGACTCAATTCCTTTATAATCAATGGGTTGGCAATAATATTCCAAAGATTGGCAAGACCATGCCAAATTTAACCATATATTGGTAAAAGTATTCAGCAGTAAACTTATGAATTTGTTAGCAATAAGATTGCTGACACAACAACAAAATAAGCAATGAACTTTTAAGATTTTGAATTCCAAATTAACTGTGAGCTATTGGAGCAATAAAGTTGCTTATATGAATTCCAGTTTTAGAAAGTAAAAATTAGCTTACTTGTGCCGGGCTGAATCACAGGAGAAGAGGAGCTAGAAGGTAGCCTACAAATGGAGAGCTAGAAGATTGCCTAGACCCAGACCTCTGACCCAGACCTCTCAGGATTCACCTCAGATCTAGAATTTCTCCTCAGACTTAAGATTCCTTCCTCTCTCAGATTTTGTCGCTTAATTAAACATGAGGCTGTAAATAAGGTTTAAACAGTAAGGTTGAAACGGTAAGAATAAAAAATACAATATTATTTAAACGTTAAATTGAAATGCAAAATGAAATGCAAAATTGAAAGTTTCATAAAAAAAAACGTAAAACCCCAGAGTAAACTCTAGAGTAGATTTACTCTAGAGTTAACTGCTACCCTGGGTAGAAATTTCCTCCGATTTCATGAACAAGTTTCTACCCTGGGTAGTTCAAAATTACTCTAGAGTAGAATAATGCATGCTTTTCCAGGGTAAATACGTAAAACTTGCTTATAGCGAATGTGTATAAAATTACGTCAACAAATATGGATGATGATGATGATGATGATGATGATGATGATTTTTAGGCATTCACATGATTTTGGTTAAAACTTTTAAAATTTCAATAATAAATAATATGCCAAGATGGTGCTATGGAATTGNTCTCTCCTGGAATAAGGGTTTCTGGTTCCCTGATACAGTTTTGAGTTAAACGGGATGCAATCAAATGTCTGGAGAATAACAGCGCATAAAAGTTCTGCTGCAGCAGTTTCTGATGAGTTAGACTCACTCATAATCTCCAATGGTGAAGGCAGAATAGTAGGGATAATAACTATAAAAAATACATATAGAGATCCCAGGATTGAAGTTAAATCACCGATATTATACACTGTAAACTGCCAGGGCATCTTCTTATAACTTAGAGCCCAGTCAGGGGCGCAACTAAGTTTAAAGTTCTTTTGAAGAATCCCTCCTAGGGTTTGATACCTAAACATAGCCAAACCAACCGAGTCCTTGGACCATCCTCCAATAGAAGTCCAGAGGGAACAAACATCTATCCAGGAACCAGTTTGGTTCCACTCTTTACCCTCCAGGAGGCTGAATGCAGTCTTGATTAAACCAAGATCGGCGGTACAATCATTTCCAACAAGGAGTAAGCTATCATTATTAAAGAGACTGTTAACACTTGGAGATAATCCGCATCCTTCTCCTCTTAATCTCTTGTCATTGGTTAGAGGAAGGTTGATCTCTAAGAAGCACGAAAAATTCCCAAGATGAATTTTTGCGGGTATCACGGCAGAATCTGCATGAGATCGCTGTCCTTCTACATCAAATGCGCAAAGCACAGAAGGAATGGGAGAAACTGCTAAACCGGAGCTCTTAACTTTAGCAATAAAATTGCTTATAGTTTCAGCAATATCTATCTCTGGAGTAGAACCTATAGTAACAGAAAATATAGAATTTTCTTCTTCCATTGCTTCATAATCTAGAAAACACGGGGATCTATATATCGACAGAAAATCCATTACAGACAGCAAACTACTCTTCCAAGAAACCTCAGAGTTCTCCAGCTTAAACCTCATTTGATCAAGAAATGGCAATTCCTCCACTAGGCATTCCTCAGTTGCTCCTACTTTAAGAGCTACATGTTTCAGAGTTGGATATCGGTTTTTAATCTGGCAATCTGGTGGGCAGATATGCCAAACATGTTTGGGTACTATCTCCTTGTACAAATCTTGAAAACACTTTTGACCAGGATTTTTCTTTGTACAATTACTACTACAGAAGTGCATCTTCTTTAACTTGCTGAACGAGAATGTATACTCAGACGGATGAGACGAATAAATAGAGAGATCTATTTTCTCTTCATAATCTGCCATCCTAAAATAATTATTTCAATAAAATCAGTAAAGTGCTGCAAAAATTGCGCAAAAGTTTTGCGAATGGAAACCCTAGTCTTTAGCTATATATTTTTATAATATAAAGGACTTGAGCTACATGTTTATGAGAATTGAAAGGTCTTGAGCTATATGTTTTTTTATAATATAAAGGACTTGAGCTACATGTAAATGAGAATTGAAAGGATTTGAATCTTAAAAAGGACTTGAGCTACTTGTTTATGAGAATTGAAAGGACTTGAGCTATATTTTTCTCATAATATAAAGGAATTGAGCTTTATGTTTCTCAAAATATAAAGGACTTGAGCTATATATATCTCAAAATATAAAGGACTTGAGCTATTTTTTTTTAATATGAAGGACTTGAGCTACATGTTTATGAGAATTGAAAGGACTTTAGCTATATGTTTTTTAAAATATAAAGGAATTGATCTACATGTTTATGAGATTTGAAAGGTCTTGAGCTCTATGATTTTAATGAAAAAAAGGACTTGAGCTATATGTTTCTCAAAATATAAAGGACTTGAGTTATATGATTTTAATGTTAAGAAGGACTTGAGCTACTTGTTTATGAGAATTGAAAGGACTTTAACTATATGTTTTTCCTAATATAAAGGACTTGAGCTATATTTTTCTCAAAATATAAAGGACTTGAGCTATATGATTTTAATGATAAAAGGACTTGAGCTTCTTGTTAATGAGAATTGAAAGGACTTGAGCAATATGTTTCTCATAATATAAAGGACTTGAGCTACATGTTTTGTAGAATTGAAAGGTCTTGAGTTTTATGATTTTAATGAAAAAAGGACTAAAAATATAAAGGACTTGAGCTATATAACTTTAATGAAAAATAGGACTTGAGCTACTTGTTTATGAGAATTGAAAGGTTTTCAGCTATATATTTTTTAATATAAAGGACTTGAGGCTACATGTTTATGAGAGTTGAAAGGACTTGAGCTATATGTTTTTAATAGTATAAAAGAATTGAGCTACATATAAATGAGAATTGAAAGGATCTCAAAATATAAAGGACTTGAGCTATATGTTTCTGAAAATATAAAGGACTTGAGCTACATGTTAATGAGAATTGAAAGGTCTTGAGCTATATGTTTTAATGATATAAAGGACTTGAGCTACATGTTTTGGAGAATTAAAAGGTCTTGAGCTATATGTTTTAATAATATAGAGGACTTGAGATGTATGTTTTTTATAATATAAAGGACTTAAGCTACATGTTTATGAGATTTGAAAGGTCTTGAGCTCTATGATTTTAATGAAAAAAGGACTTGAGCTATTTGTTTCTGATTGAAAGAACATGAGCTATATGATTTTTTTTAAAAGGTCTTGAGCTATACTTCCTTAAGGATAAAAAGGACTGGAGCTGTATGTTTTATTTAAATATAAAGGACTTGAGTTATATGACTTCAATGATAAAAAGGATTTGAGCTACATGTTTATGAGAATTGAAAGGTCTTGAGCTTTAAGTTTTAATATTATAAAGGACTTGAGCTGCATGTTTACAAGAATTGAAAGGTCTTGAGCTATGTGTTTTATTTATACAAAGGACTTGAGCTATATGTTTTTATAATATAAAGGACTTGAGCTACATGTTTATGAGAATTGAAAGGACTTAATGATTTTAATATTAAAAAGGACTTGAGCTGTATGTTTCTCATAATATAAAGGACTTGGATCTATATGTTTCTCACAATATAAAGGACTTGAGTTATGATTTTGATTAAAAAAGGTAAGCTTTTTAAAAATTGAAAGGTCTTGAGATATAATTTGATTTAAGTTTTTCTTATAATATAAAGGACTTGAGCAATATAATTTTAATGAAATTAAGCTTAAATGTTAACTAAAATCTGTGTACTAGCACTGTTTACTGCGTTGACAAAAATACTTGTATAAGCAATTAAGGCAAATGCTCAGAACATATTATTTAGTAGGATATTGTAAGACGGTAAATAGTGGGGAAGCGCTGTATCAGTATTGAATAATATGTTGTTCTCTTTCTTGATTTAAACATTTTTAGAGCTCCCACAGTTCATTTAAAATGTTGTAAATATATTTATTATAATACAAGTATTTTTGTATGGTTTTGAATTTCAAAAAGGACTACTTAATTCTAATATTAAAAAGGACTTGAGCTAATATTTGCAAAAATTTTTGAGAATGAAAAGGACATGAGCTATATTTTTCTAATGCTAAAAAGGACTTGAGCTATATGCTTTTATGATAAAAAGGACTTGAGCTTGAGCTAGATTGTTTGATCATAAAAGGGTCTTGAGCTGTATGTTTTTGAAAAAAAGGACTTGAGCTATATGTTTTGAATAATACAAAGGACTTGAGCTATATACTTATCAGAATTGAAAGGACTTGAGGTTTGATGTTGTAATAATAAAAAGGTCTTAAGCTGAATGTTTTTAATAATAAAAAAGACTTAAGTTGTATATTTTTCAGAATTAAAAGGTCTTGATCTGTATGTTTTTTTTCAATTAAGGACTTGAGCTTTATGTTTTCTTTTAATAAAAGGACTTCAGCTATACTTTTCTAAAGATTTAAAGGACTTAAGCTTGATCTTTCTTATAATATAAATGACTAGACCTATTTGTTTTGAATCATTAAAAGGACTTTGGCTTTATGATTTTTTTTAAAAGAAAGGACTTGAGATATAATATTCTAATAGTAAATAGGTTGTGAGCTATATGTTTATGAGATTTTATAGGTCTTGAGCTCCATGATTTTAAGGAAAAAAAGGACTTGAGTTACATGTTTACAAGAATTGAAAGGTCTTGGGCTATGTGTTTTATTTATATAAAGGATTTGTAATAAAAGGTCTTGAGCTATACTTCTTTAATGATAAAAGATCTGGAGCTATATGTTTCTTAAAATATAAAGGACTTGAGTTACATGTTTACAAGAATTGAAAGGTCTTGGGCTATGTGTTTTATTTATATAAAGGATTTGTAAAAAAAGGTCTTGAGCTATACTTCTTTAATGATAAAAGAACTGGAGCTATATATTTCTTCAAATATAAAGGACTTGAGTTAAAAACTTCAATGATTAAAAGGACTTGAGCTAAATTTTTACAAGTATTGAAAGGTCCTAAGCTATCTGTTTTTTATAATATGAAGGACTTGAGCTACATGATTATGAAAATTATAAGGTCTTGATCTCTTTAATTTTAATGAAAGAAAGGTTTTGAGCTATATGTTTCTCAAAATATAAAGAACTTGAGCTATATGTTTCTCAAAATATAAAGGACTTGAGCTATATGTTTCTCAAAATATAAAGGACATGAGCTATATGTTTCTCAAAATATAAAGGACTTGAGCTATATGATTTTAATGATAAAAAGGACTTGAGCTTCTTGTTTATGAGAATTGAAAGGACTTGAGCTATATGTTTCTCAAAATATAAAGGACTTGAGCTATATAACTTGATAAATAGGACTTTACTACTTGTTTATGAGGTTTTCAGCTATATATTTTTATAAAATAAAGGACTTAAGCTACATGTTTATGAGATTTGAAAGGTCTTGGGCGTGAGCTATAGGTTTTGATAATATAAAGGACTTGAGCTATATGTTTTATTTAATATAAAGGACTTGAGCTACATGTTTATGAGAATTGAAAGGACTTGAGCTATATGTTTCTCATAATATAAAGAACTTGAGCTTTAGGTTTCTCAAAATATCAAAGACTTGAGCTATATGATTTTAATGATAAAAAGGACTTGAACTATTTGTTTATGAGAATTGAATGGACTTGAGCTATGGGTTTTAATAATATAAAGGACTTGAGCTATATGTTTTTTATAATATAAAGGACTCGAGCTACATTTTTATGAGAATTGAAAGGACTTGAGCTATATGTTTCTCATAATATAAAGGACTTGAGCTACATGTCAATGAGAATTGAAAGGTTTTGAGCTTTATGTTTTAATGATAAAAAGGACTTGAGCTACATAATTTGGAGAATTGAAAAGTCTTGGGCTATATGTTTTAATAATATTAATGACTTGAGCTACATGTTGTTTGTGAGAATTGAAAGTACTTGAGCTATATGTTTTTAATAATATAAAGGACTTTAACTATATGTTTCTAAAAATAAAAAAGGACTTGAGCTTTATGTTTCTCATAATATAAAGGACTTGAGCTACATGTTAAAGAGAATTAAAAGGTTTTGAGCAATCTGTCTTAATGATAAAGGACTTGAGCTACATGTTTATGAGAATTGAAAGGACTTCAGCTATATGTTTCTCATAATATAAAGGACTTGAGCTACATGTTAAGGAGAATTGAAAGGTTTTGAGCTATCTGTCTTAATGATATAAAGGACTTGAGCTACATGTTTTGGAGAATTGAAAGGTCTTGGGCTATATGTTTTAATAATATTAAGGACTTTTAGCTTTATGTTTGGGAGAATAGAAAGGTCTTGAGTTTTATGATTTTAATGAAAAATGGACTTTAGCTATATAACTTTAATGATAAATAGGACTTGAGCTACTTGTTTATGAGAATTAAAAGGTCTTCAGCTTTATATTTTTATAATATAAAGGACTTGTGCTACATGTTTATGATAATTGAAAGGTCTCGAGCTATATGTTTTTTAAATTATAAAGGACTTGAGCTTCATGTAAATGAGAATTGATAGTTTGAATCTAAAAAAGGACTTGAGCTCTATGTTTTTATAATATAAAGGTCTTGATCTACATGTTTATGAGATTTATTTTTATGAGATTTATGAGCTATATGTTTCTTAAAATAAAAAGGACTTGAGCTATTTGTTTATGAGAATTAAAAGGACTTGAGCTATAGGTTTTAATAATATTAAGGACTTCAGCTATATGTTTATGAGAATTGAAAGGACTTGAGCTATATGTTTCTCATAATATAAAGGACTTGAGCTATATGTTTCTCAAAATATAAACGACTTAAGCTATAGTTTCTCAAAATATAAAGGACTTGAGCTACTTGTTTATGAGAATTGAAAGGACTTGAGCTTAATGTTTTTTATAATATAAAGGACTTGAGCTACATTTTTATGAGAATTGAAAGGACTTTATCTACATGTTTATGAGATCTGAAAGGTCTTGAGCTCTATGATTTTAATGAAAAAAAGGACTTTAGCTATATGTTTCTCAAAAAATAAAGGACTTGAGCTCTATATATCTCAAAATATAAAGGACTTAAGCTATATGATTTTAATGTTAAAAAGAATTGAGCTACTTGTTTATGAGAATTGAAAGGACTTGAGCTATATAGTTTTAATATTATAAAGGACTTGAGCTATATCTTTTTTATAATATAAAGGACTTGAGATATTTAACTTTAATGATAAATAGGACTTGAGCTACATTTTATGAGAATTGAAAGGTCTTGAGCTATATGTTTTTATAATATAAAAGACTCAAGCTATTTGTTTTTATAATATAAAGGAATTGATCTACATGTTTATGAGATTTGAAAGGTCTTGAGCTCTATGATTTTAATGAAAAAAAGGACTTCAGCTAAATAATTCTAAAAATTTAAAGGACTTGATGAAAAATAGGACTTGTTTATTAGAATTGAAAGGTTTTCAGCTATATATTTTTATAATATAAAGGACTTGAGCTACATGTTTATGAGAATTGAAAGGACTTGAGCTATAGGTTTTAATAATATAAAGGACTTGAGCTATATTTTTTTAATATAAAGGACTTAAGCTACATTTTTATGAGAATTGAAAGGACTTGATCTATATGTTTCTCATAATATAAAGGACTTGAGCTACATGTTAATGAGAATTGAAAGGTTTTGAGCTATATGTTTCTCATAGTTTAAAGGACTTGAGCTATATGATTTTAATGATAAAAAGGACTTGAGCTTCTTGTTTACGAGAATTGAAAGGACTTGAGCTATAGGTTTCAATAATATAAAGGACTCTTGAGCTATATATTTCTCAAAATAAAAAGGACTTGAGCTATATGTTTCTCAAAATATAAAGGACTTGAGCTTTATGTTTCTCAAAATATCATGGACTTGAGCTATATGTTTATGAGAATTGAAAGGACTTGAGCTTTATGTTTCTCATAATATAAAGGACTTGAGCTTTATGTTTCTCAAAATATCATGGACTTGAGCTATATGTTTCTCAAAATATAAAGGACTTGAGCTATATGTTTCTCAAAATATAAATGACTTGAGCTATATGATTTTAATGATAAAAATGACTTGAGCTACTTGTTTATGAGAATTGAAAGGACTTGAGCTATATGTTTTTTATAATATAACGGACTTTAGCTACATTTTTATGAGAATTGAAAGGACTTGATATATATGTTTCTCATAAAATAAAGGACTTGAGCTACATGTTAATGAGCATTGAAAGGTTTTGAGCTTTATGTTTCTCATAATATAAAAGACTTGAGCTAAATGTAAATGAGAATTGAAAGGTTTTGAGCTAAATGTTTTAATGATAAAAGGACTTGAGCTACATGTTTTGGAGAATTGAAAGGTCTTGGGCTATATGTTTTAATGATATTAAGACTTGAGCTACATGTTTGTGAGAATTGAAAGTACTTGAGCTATATGTTTCTAATAATATAAAGGACTTTAACTATATATTTCTCAAAATATAAAGGACTTGAGCTATATGATTTTAATGATAAAAAGGACTTGAGCTACTTGTTTATGAGAATTGGAAGGACTTGAGCTATAGGTTTTAATAATATAAAGGACTTGAGCTATATGTTTTATATAATATAAAGGACTCGAGCTACATGTTAATGAGAATTGAAAGGTTTTGAGCTTTATGTTTCTCATAATATAAAGGACTTGAGCTAATTGTAAATGAGAATTGAAAGGTTTTGAGCTATATGTTTTAATGATAAAAAGGACTTGAGCTACATGTTTCTCAAAATATAAAGGACTTGAGCTATATGTTTATCAAAATATAAAGGACTTGAGCTATATGTTTCTCAAAATATAAATGACTTGAGCTATATGTTTCTCAAAATATAAAGGACTTGAGCTATATTTTTCTCAAAATATAAAAGACCTGAGCTATTTGATTTTAATGATAAAAAGGACTTGAGCTACTTTACTTGTTGATGAGAATTGAAAGGACTTGAGCTATCTGTTTTTTATAATATGAAGGACTTGAGCTACATTTTTATGAGAATTGAAAGGACTTGATCTATATGTTTCTCATAATATAAAGGACTTGAGCTACATGTTAATGAGAATTGAAAGGTTTTTTGAACTTAAAAGTTAAAATTAGGTTAGGTTGGTTAGGTTGGTTAGGTTAACTTGGTTACAGCATGAGCACTGCATTGTAATTATATATATTTTAAAATTTTGATTTTTTTATAATAATCATGAAAAGCAAACTTATTTTTTTTGTGTTCTTCACTCTTCAGTTAAGATTTGAAAAGTGTGAAAGGCTTGCAGAATTCTATATATTTTTCTGATATGAAATATAGTTAAAATGTCAAGTAAAATCTGTGGACTATTTCATCACTGTACTGTTTTTTTTATTGCACAAACAAAAATACAGAATACTTGTATCAGCCAATAAAGTGAAATAACGCTATATGTTTTTTTAAAATTGAAAAGGACTTAGTTTTCTTATAATGGAAATGTCTTGCGATACATGTTTTTAATGATATAAAGGACGTGAGCTATAACCCTAGAAACCAGCCACGTCGCTCGACCAGTCCCATTAGGTCGAGATAGGTCAGGTTAGGTCGGGTTACGTCAGATTACCAAATTGGTCGCAATATGACCAGTCCCCTTAGGTTGTGTTAGGTCAGGTTAGGTCGGGTTAAATCAGATTACCAAACTGGTCGAAACATGACCAGTCCCCCAGGTTGTGTTTGGTCAGTTTAGGTCAGGTTAGGTTGAGTTACCTAACTGGTCTCATACTGGTCTTAACCTGACCAATCCACTTAGGTCAGATTTGGTTGAGATTGGTTGAGTTATGTCAGGAGACCTAACTGGTTGGAACATGACCAGTCCCCCAGGTCGTGTTTGGTCAGGTTAGGTTGAGATACCTAACTGGTCTCATACTGGTCTTAACCTGACCAATTATGATTTTAATGTTAAAAAGGACTTGAGCTACTTGTTTATGAGAATTGAAAGGAATTGAGCTATAGGTTTTAATAATATAAAGGACTTGAGCTATATGTTTTTTAATATAAAGGACTTGAGCTACATTTTTATTAGAATTGAAAGGACTTTAGCTATATGTTTCTTATAATATAAAGGACTTGAGCTATATGTTTTTTAATATAATGGACTTGAGCTACATGTTTATTAGAATTGAAAGGACTTTAGCTATATGTTTCTCATAATATAAAGGACTTGAGCTATTTGTTTCTCATAATATAAAGGACTTGAGCTATATGTTTCTCAAAATATAAAGGACTTGAGCTATATGTTTCTCAAAATAGAAAAGACTTGAGCTATATGATTTTAATGATAAAAAGGACTTGAGCTATATGTTTCTCATAATATAAAGGACTTGAGTTACATGTTTCTCATAATATAAAGGACTTGAGCTATATGTTTCTCAAAATATAAAGGATTTGAGCTATGTGTTTTATTTATATAAAGGACTTGAGCTACATGTTTCTTATAATATAAAGAACTTGAGCTATATGTTTCTCAAAATATAAAGGACTTGAGCTGCATGTTTACAAGAATTGAAAGGTCTTGAGCTATGTGCTTTATTTATAAAAAGGACTTGAGCTATATGTTTTTAAAATATAAAGGACTTGAGCTACATGTTTATGAGAATTGAAAGGACTATATGATTTTAATATTTCAAAGGACTTGAGCTGTATGTTTCTCATAATATAAAGGACTTGATCTATATGTTTCTCACAATATAAAGGACTTGAGCTATGATTTTGATTAAAAAAGGTAAGCTTTTTAAAAATTGAAAGGTCTTGAGATATAATTTGCTTTAAATTTTTCTTATAATATAAAGGTCTTGAGCTATATAATTATAATGAAATTAAGCTTAAATGTTAACTAAAATCTGTGTACTACTTGTGCACTGTTTACTGCATAGACAAAAATACTTGTATTAGCAATTAAGGCAAATGCTCAGAACATATTATTTAGTAGGATATTGTAAGACGGTAAATAGTGGGGAAGCGCTGTATCAGTATTGAATAATATGTTGTTCTCTTTCTTGATTTAAACATTTTTAGAGCTCCCACAGTTCATTTAAAATGTTGTAAATATATTTATTATAATACAAGTATTTTTGTATTTTTGTATGACAATAAGGACTTCATCTACATAATTTTAAAATTTAAAAGAACCTGAAGTATAAAGGACTTGAGAATTAATTTTCTAATGATTTTTTAATATAAAGGACTTGAGCTATACTTTTCTTGAGCTAAATTTGAGCAATGTGTTTCTCAACATATAAAGGACTTGAGCTACACATTTAATGATGAGCTAGATGTTTTAAAATATAAAGGTCTTGAGCTAGATGTTTTTTAATGAAAAAATGGACTTGAGCTATATGTTTCTATAAAAAGCTTTCCTAATGTTTTAATGATAAAAAGAACTTGAGCTATATGTTTTTTTAAATAAAAAGGACTTGAGCTATTCTTTTCTAATGTTTCCCTCCTGTGATATAAAAATCTAAAGGTGTTGAGATATTTTTTTTCAGATAAAAAGGACCTGAGCTGTATGTTCTAATAATGTAAAGGACTCAAGCTATTCGATTTAATAATAAAAGGTTGTGAGCCATGTGTATTTTCTAATAAAAAAAGGACTTGAGCGATATGTTTTTCAAAATATAAAGGACTTGAGCTATTTGATTTTATGATTTTAATGAAAAACAAGAACCAAAGCTACATTTTTATAAGAATTGAAATGTCTTTAGCTATATGTTTTTAATATAAAAAGGACTTAAGATATAAATTTTTCCTAGATCTAGCTACAGGCGGTTTCCCAGTTAGACTTCAGCCCGTAGTTTTTGGTCCAAGCTTTACTCAGTGACTGGCCTAATGTAAAGTGTAGTAATCCAGTGTTATGTTACAGGTGATTAGTCTATATACATATAAAACAGCTAGTTCGTTCAGAGTTGTTCACTGTTAAAAAGTTAAATGAAAGCTGTTGTTTGTTTTAATTTTATTTTCCTCTTTTAAAAATTAAAACTTGTATGTTAGAAGTAACTTTCTTTAGTGAAAATTTAAACTTAATTAACCTGTTTGAAAACTGAAAATGAAGAAACGAAGGCTTTTAAATCTTATTATATGTAAAACAGCCTAATAGATTTTGTACATCGTTCTCTAGTAAAATTTAAACTTGATAACCTTTCTTTGTAAAATTCAAAATGCTTCTTTATCCATAAGTAAGTACATATGTCAAAATAGTAAGTCACGGCGACGTAAAAGAACTTTTTTATCGGCGTATTCACACAAACAGTAAATTATAAAAAACAAATTCTCTATCATTTGTATTTTGAGCTAGGTAAACTGTGACACAGCAGAGCAAAGGACTGGCAGATGGGGAGCACTGATATCCACTTCTCTATATAGAACCCAACAAAGGATGCCTGGGATAAGATAACGGTATAAAAAGATTTTCATAGACATGTTAATGGGAAAAAAGATCTCTTCGAACTTTACATAGCGGTGAATATATTTGAGAAAATTACCTTTATTTTTTTTAGAATTTTTAACAAATAAGATCATTTTACACAATAGAGTCTAGAAATATTTACCCGGCCCTACATCCAAAACTGTCTTTCAATTCTCTATTTAATCAACCTCCTACTGTAAAATGTAAATTTATCTACTATGTTAATGAACCCAAAATGATAAGCTCATTCAAAGGCAATCTTCAATCTTAAACTTATGAAACATAAAAACAAGATATAATTGCAAAATCATTTTTCAATTTTTTAACGCGGAAATAAGAGGGAGAAAAGTTTAAAAATTATTTTTTAAAACTGACAAACATATACTTAGGATGCGGAACCTGTGTACAGAGAAAGCAGAAGACGTGAGCAACATCAGTCATGCTATAGAAGATTATGAGGATCAACAAAAAACTACCCTATTAGCTATAATACAGTTTAGCCCAGAACTTGGAAGACATCAAAAGAAATTATAAAATGTCTAAACCTACTGACAATGGAATGCAGTAAGATATTTAGTTGTTCAATCGAATATTTATATGGAGTATTTAAAACCTTAAAAAAAAATTATTTCATGGCTAATTATATGTTTTTACAATTACTGAGATTTAGGTATAAAAGTATAACAATTGTCAAGACGACATTCTTTAAATTCTTTCGACATCTCCGAAGTTCTGGGCTAAACTGAGGAGAAATCTTTTTGTTTCATTATCTCTCATTTATAAATGATGTCAATGATAATAAGAAAGGATCCGCTTAATTTACAATTACGTACATGTTATTCCTTGCTCCTACAATGGATAGACAAGCCGATCCGTAAACGCAGTTCCTTGTAAAGAGTATAAAATTAACCAACAATGCTATTTTCGAGTCAAAAATAAACTGATCAATGACAGCTTTTCTTTCGCATTTTCTTTCCTCCTCCAATAATATTGAATTTCCTTTTTCATACTAAAAACATGTCAAACTGACTCAGTACTATTATCTTATTTTCCATTTATGCTCGAGGTGAGAGTAACCTAGGATGATCATTTTATGAGAGTAATTAAAGTCTTGTATGTTTCTTTGATTGAGCCAGTTGTTAGCCATGATAAGCCGGGAGGTGCCAACCATAGCACTAACGATTGGGATGTGCTTCTTCTAGCGAACTCTGTCCTTTTTACAGGATTGAATCCTGGGTACTTTTACATTAAGTAAAAGGTTTTTAAAAAAATCAAATGAATTCGTATTATGCCTGGAGAAAATAATTTCTTCCATCACATTGTAATAATATATGTAAAACTTGTAAATAATTGTAAAGCACTGATTGGTGAAATTAGTTTATCAGTATGTATGCTACCAAAAACTCTTTGTGAGAATAAATATTTATATCTTGAAAAAATATATTATATAGAGGAAAGAATGCAGTCGAAATAATTTTTATTTTCCTTGTTGATAGATACATCTTTTAGAATTAGAAAACTTTAGAATTGTAGATATTGAGATCAATGCTTGATCTTCTTATTAATCTTAAGATTGATTTAATCTTTAGTTTTTATCCAGAAAAGTTTATAAAATTCAACCAATAGAGCAACGTACAGAATTTCGAAATAGTTTTTATTTTGCCATTCAAATTTAATCTTAAACTGTACAACAAAGAATGAGAGTTTGTTGAATTTAAATTGTATGCATCCAGCTTTTTGCTTAAATATGTGTAAAAACCGGCATTACATTCCAAACTGAAACTAGAGATTTCCAAAGTCCAATAGTTATCTTTAAAATTTTGTATTAATTTGCATTTTCCCATTCAGGTGCTGATACAGGAGGAAGGCTAAATGGTCGAAGACCCCCCCCCCTTTAGATTTAGCAAGTTTCTACATTCATGGTATATATTTAACCTAACTTCTACATTCAATGTATATATTTGTCCTAACTTCTACATTCAATGTATATATTTAACTTAACTTCTACATTCAATGTATATATTTAACCTAACTTCTACATTCAATGTATATATTTGTCCTAACTTCTACATTCAATGTATATATTTAACCTAACTTCTTCATTCAATGTATATATTTGACCTAACTTCTACATTCAATGTATATATATTTAACCTAACTTCTCGTAATTTATTAAATCCGACCACTGTTCACACAGTGCAGTGATTGAAATGTTGCAAGCTCTCACACAAAAATTGTTGAGAATTTTGCCAATTAATCCTTAGAACTAAAAAATCTAAAAACAAATGTTTTAAAGTTTAATGATATGTATATGGATTTGTTTGTCTATGAGTTATAAGCAAAAAAACCAAGGCATTGCAATGCTTCAAAGTCGACCCATGCTTTAAAAACTGATAAATTCTTCATAGCATTCTGAATCTGTACTGAGGTTCCAAGATTTTTGTTTTTCTTTAATATAATCTTAAACAATCAACATACAATAATAATGTTTCTTTTGCTGAAACTTTTTTGTTTAAAGATTCAATATTTATTCCAAGCATATCTTAAATATACCAACACTGAACACTGAAAATAGGTTTTCTTTAAAGTGAATTTAATTTTCACTGAAACCATTTACTTCTGTAAGATAACGGCAAATTAAAAGCAAGTGACCAGTTATAATTTTACAATAACAAAATTATGAACATTTTCTGTCATCTATTTTATAAAAATTAAATAAAAAAATGCATTATGGAAATTCATGTTCCATCGTTAAATTTTACATTCATTCGATATACATATATTAATAAAGATAAAGAGGTTTCATTTTGTTTATTACAGATTAAAATATAATTAATGACATCGACTTCTGGTTTCAAACAAATGCTTGATGAGTCTGTTCTTTCTTCAGATCTTCTTTCCGCCGTTTATTTACACTTACACAGCAGTCCTATAATGTTTATTTACACTTACACAGCTGTCCTATAATGTTTATTTACACTTACACAGCTGTCCTATAATGTTTAGTTACATTTACACAGCTGTCCTGTAATGTTGAGTTACACCTACACAGCTGTCCTATAGTGTTTAGTTCCAGTTACACAGCTGTCCTATAAGGTTTAGTTATACAGCTGTCCTGTAATGTTCAGTTACATCTGTCCTGTAATGTTCAGTCACACAGCTGCAGTATAATGTTAAGTTGCACTTAAACAGCTGTCACATAATGTTTAGTTGCACAACTGTCCTATGATGTTTAGTCAAACAGCTTAGCAGTTCTATAAGGTGTATGGTATAGTTACATAGTTTTCATATAAAGTTTAACTATACAACTGTCTTATAATGTTTAACTATACAACGGTCTTATAATGTTTAACTATACAACTGTCCTGTAATGTTTAACTATACAACTGTCCTGTAATGTTTAGTTATACAGTTTTCAGATAATTTCCTATTAAGTTTCATTATACAGCTGTCCTATGATGTTTATTTATACAGCAGTCCTTTAATGTTTAAGAATACAACTTTTCTATAATATTTAGTTATACAGCTGTCTTATAATGTTTAACTATACAACTGTTCTATAATGTTTAACTATACAACTGTCCTATAATGTTTAGTTATACAGCTGTCAGATAATGTTTAGTTATACAATTGTCCTATTAAGTTTCATTATACAATACAGCTGTCCTATGATGTTTATTTATACAGGTGCCCTTTAATGTTTAAGAATACAACTTTCCTATAATATTTAGTTATGATGTTTAGTTATACAGCTGTCATGTGATGTTTAATTATACAACTATTATTCAATGTTCAGTTTTTTAGCTTTTCTTTAAACCTTATTCATCTTCCACAGGAGGAGAATAGCAACGAGAAAAAGCAGGAATGATATCGGTAGAAGAACAGCTAGCACAGTTAACAGCTCAGATCTATATCTAAATGATTCAACATAGGTAAGACCATTACGAAAAGAAAAAAAATAATTGTGGAAGTTAGTTCTTTTAACGCAGTTTTTACCTAGAAATAGAAGATTTTCCCTCGGAAAGCTCTGCATTGCTTAAAACCTAAAATCAATTTGATAAAAAGTTGAATTCTTTTAACCTCAAATTGGTATATGAGCATTATTGAAATGGTAAAATAAAAGTATGGTATAGTGATGACCAGAAAATAATGGAAAAAAGACGACGTTATTGCAATACTTATTTTTATTGGCTGTTGTTACAAAGCAAATAGTCTTACTATATACACCATTGAAACCATTAATTTAGTGAATTGGGTCTGTTTACACTGCACAAATGTTGTGCCTCACTCTCATGCTCGTAGGGCTTTTTAAAATTACATTTGGTTCTAAAAGTCGTCCTCATGTTTCATATTTATTTAAATTATTTCCATTGTTGTAAAATAATGTTGGATAAGATTCTAGACTTTAAAAACCTTGCTTTTCACTTACTTTGACAGATCCAAATTGGGAATCAAATGCTTCGTTGAGATTGTTGGCTCCCGGAAGGAAGACGACACAGACATAAATTCCTGCATCAGCAGGCTGCGCGGCAAGAATACTTAACCTGAACATAAATACATCTTATAATAAATGATTTAGTTTAATGTTCAGTTCAGTGGATTTTTTTTCAGTTTGTTAATAAAGTTGACGTTTGTTATCGATCTCTATTAGATTAAGGCAATCAGAGGCGTATTTACGGGGGGGCTATTGGGGCAAAGCCCCCCACCCCCTGGATCAGTGAAATCTATTGATTTCAGGGGGTTTTCATGCCCGAACGGGTGTTGAGTCCCCCCTGGAAAGAAAAAAATTCAAGCCCCCCCCCCCCTGGACAATTCCTGAATGCGGCCCTGATTGTAATTTATTGTGAATTACTTTTTCTAGCTAGTTATTCAGTTCGTTTGACGAGAATTGTAATTCCATCTTATGTCGAGTAGTTTAAATTTAAAAAAAACATTCTTTCACATTAGGAAAAATTTTTTAAAAAAATTTTTCATGCAATTTTTATTTTAAAAATAAACGATATTTTCCGTTGTTTCTTCTTTTAGTACAGTTCATTTTGATCGTTAATGATTTGAGAATTAATGTTCTTTCCGTTTGTTACATTTGTAAAAAGACTTTTTCGTTGATTTTTGAAAACCACCTGTAGTTAATGAAACGTTGGCAAGCTCTACTTAACCCTCAAGCTTATGCTTACCTATGCAGATATTGACCATCTTGAATTTGATATCCATCTGTAACAGCAAATCTTTCATCAGTTGGCTCTTCAATTACCTGAGTAAAAAGATTTATTTTATACTTTGTCTAAATGAATATTTTCCTGTTTGATATTTTGTTTCTTAAACATGTCTAAATGGCGGAACACTACCGATTCCATAGTTTTGTGCTAATCTAAAGACTTAAAGGGAACAACCTCTTAGTGGCAGATATCCTATAGGTCGGTATTCTAGGGTCACATTTTCCACAAGAATCGGAGTCTGCTTTTTCACAGAAACGTCCATTTCGTAAGTGAAGATTAAATGCAAGGAACATTAAATATCTAGATATGATGCAACATTACAAGAATATGGGGAAGGTGGAGAGGGGGTACATGACTGCTGAGTGCTGACCTTAAACGAGCTCTCGTGAAGTTGATGCAAGTTCTGTTCCTCAACATCCTTCTCCAGTTTAATCCATTTCAGTGTCAACTTATCTTTAAACTAAATGATAGTAGTTTGAAAAACAATTTCATTGATTTCAAAATAAAAGAATGTATACAAATTTAACTTTTAAACAACACTTCATTAAAAAATGTCAAGAAACTTTCAAGGGTAGCATTTCATTGTACTGGATTATTTGTTAGTAACAGCTGTAAAAAAAAATTATTTCGTAAAGGAGTTTTTTTAAATATCAAAATTTTAAATCAGTATGAACGTAAAAATGTATTAATATTACCTTGACTGTGCAGGATAACCTTATGGGGAACCCTTCTCTCACTGTAATATTTCCTAGTTCTCCTGGTTCAAGAACACTTCTTATATCTAACAATGGATGCAATTAGGATTAGGGATGTTAACGTTTTCATTTTTTTGAAAAACGATTTTTTTTTTTCGTTTTCCTATCGTTTTTTGTTTCGTTTTCTGGTGGTTTCAAAAACTATCTTTTTTTTAAAAAGTTTTAAAACGATTGTTTTTAAAATGATCGGAAAACGAAACAAAAAAAAACGATAGGAAAACGAAAAAAACGATCGTTTAATGATCGTTTTCAAAAACGATTAACAACCCTAATTAGGATACAAGAAGCGTACACAAATTTTCTTTAAAAATTGTTTGTAAAAATATAGAAAAAAGACAAAAGCTTCAGATGGCAAAAAGGGAGAGTGCACCAAATAAAAAAGAGAGAGTGCACCAAATAAAAAAAGGGAGAGTGCACCAAATAAAAAAAGGGAGAGTGCACCAAATAAAGCATCCTTTTCTCCTAAGATTACTGCGACATAGTCATTATTATCATTTTTATTTCTACAGAAGTGGAATGAAAACCTGGACTTTTAAAAGAATAAAATCTTTACTTAGAATTTTTATTTGGTTTTACAAAAGAATCATATTTTTTAAATTAATATGAAAAAGTGTCTTGAACATTAAGTTTCAAGCTTGATTTTATTTTACCTAAATATTTAAATGATTCCTCCTGAGTATAATCAACCCGAAAATTGAATTCCTCTGAACCAAATCCATTCGTTCCTCGGCATTTGTACCTGAACAATTAAACAACATGTTAAGGACAAGAGTAGAATCTTATTAGAATTACATTAAAAGCATTATTAATACTGAATGGGATCAACAAGATCGGACATCACAAAATTGAAAAAAAAGATATTTTTTCTGCTTAATGACGCGTTTAGTTTTTTTTAGTGCCTTGACATGTAGAAATTATTTCGTATAAACATGTTAAAGTCTCAAAGGAACTGAGTCTTTGCCACAAACTCTTATTTTATAATTCCTATATCGTTGCAATCTGATGGTGGAAACCTTTGATATTTCATACTTGTGTTATTTTATGGAACAGAATTTATAGTTTGAAATATCTAAGGTCTACGACATTGGAATCCAAAGATAAAGGGATTAGAAAATCAGAGTTTGTGGCAAAGACTCAATTTCTTTGCATCTAACTATTAAGTATAAATATGTATTGCAACATTTAAGCAAATGACCATATCTATTATCTACAGTTTTCACAACAACAAACCAATCGTAACCTTCTATAATAAGTTTGAAATTCTGACCGTCCAAGAGTTTCCTCTGAGAGTCTCTTAATCTTGAGAGTTCTGTGAGATCCTGGAGATATTCTAAACCATCCCCAGAGTTCATCTATCTCCTCTCCATCCTTCCACCATCTGTAAAAACACAATGAATTGATGTCTAATGTTTAATGTTAGATATGTCTCGATAATCAGCAGTTCTTAAAATGTCTTCGATGATCGGGAGTTCTTGCCCCCTGGTAGAGCAACAGGAAGTGGAAAACTCTGTAGTAAACAATGAGACCTATTTTAAAATAAAGTTAACCAAATAAGACAGAATGAGACCGAAATAAGCCAAGCTAGACCAAATAAGACAGAATGAGACCGAAATAAGCCAAGCTAGACCAAACAGATTGAGACCGAAATAGACTGAGCTAGACCAAACAATAAAGAATAAGACCTAACTAGACTAAACAAGACAAAATGAGACCGAACTAGACCAAGCTCGGCCAAACAAGACTGAATGAGACCGAACTAGACTGAACTAGACCTAACAAAACAGATGAGACCAAATTACACCTCGCTGGACCAAACAGGACTGACATTTCTTCCATGTCCTCCTATAGATGTCTCAATTGTTCACTTTAAAATCTTATTCCATTTCTTCTGATAAAGGGTTTTTCTCCTGTAGAAATCTCACCAAAATGCCTGGATTGCCTTATTTTGGATTGTGCTTTATAGGCTAACCTTAAATAGGGATTTTCTAGAATGGACAGATAAAGTAAATAGAGTGGATCATTTAAATAAAGTAATAGAATACCAGTGTAAAATTTTACCCACAAGAAAAACAAAGAGTTGGCGTAAAGATTCGAGATAATTCAATCCAATTATCGACTAAACGGGTTTAGTGCAAATTTGCGTAAATATGAAATAAAGCAACTATTTAACTGCAAACAATTTTCGTTAGTTGTACCTGTAGAACATATTTCCATTTCCAAAAACCGGACATTTTAGTTTCATCTCTTCTCCCCCTTCACCAGATAGTGCCCTGATTTAATCACAGTATTAAACAAATAAACAAAAATCTATAAATTAATATGATAATTTTATACCATCAGTAGGGCCAAAAGTAAGCGGTGTTTACCTCCAAGCAAACTCTTCCTTGACAGTTGGAGGGTCTCCCCCAATCTTCAGTTTAAATCCTGTAATCATATATTTACATTAGTTTGAAAACTCAGCTTTCCCTGGAAACTAAACTTTCTCTGTTTAAGTGAAACCAGATGATTATATACTCGTAGATACTAGCATGGGAACCCAGGAATAGTATAAAGATGAATATATACTAGTAGATACTAGCATGGGAACCCAGGACTAGTATAAAGATGAATATATACTAGTAGATACTAGCATGGGAACCCAGTAATGGTATCAAGATGAATATATATTAGTAGATAAAAAGAAAATTAAAATGAAAAAGGAGAAATGATACAAAGATGATTTTTTTATTTTTTACATTTTTTACAAATTACAATATAAAGCGACTGAAACTTGTTTTTAATACAGATAATCATTTTTTCCAATATTCTTCTTTCCTGGCTACCTTTATACACTTTATTTAACGTGGAGAAATTTTGAAAAGATAGGAAGAAAATAATGACGAATATTAGAAAAACGGAGAAATGATAAAATTTTTCTATTCAATTTTTTTGCCTTAACATTAGATTATTAAGAATATATACTTACTTTCGTCGAAATATTGAAAAATTTCATCGCAGCCCACTAAACCAGCTGAAATATACTTTTTGCCATTAAAAATATTTTTATGGATATTAAAAAATGACTTGTTTAACTGAAAGCTGTCAAGTTTGTTAATTTTGAATAACTTACGAAAATGAAAGAATTTCCAATTAAATGGAAGATGGAAATGGAATAATTTTAATAATATTTCAAGTTCCTGAATTAATTATAAAGAGGAGTAGTAGAATAATCTTCATCCCACCTTCTTTACATTATTCTTTTTAAATTAGATTTAGGGGACTTCATGCGTAATTATAATTGACTCTTTCTTTAAAGTGGAGGCGTAACAAGGAAATTTGTGGAATCTTGGAATTTCTAATTTATTTCCACCATTTGCTATACCGTCTTTGTCCTGTGAATTTTCCTTTTTGATTTATAGTCGCACCTTTGGTTTAAACAGTACCAATAATCCTCATTTATTTCCTGAATCGAATAGTATACGTATATTTAATGATAAATGTTTGTGCATCGAGGTCAAACATTGTAAATTTTCAAAGTTTTGACTTCTTAACTGTTTGTTTAAAACAACCCAAGTAACAAAAGTGAGGAATTTCTCCAGATTATCCAACCGTGGTGACTTTCTTTAAGGAATTTCCGAGGAATTTCTCGAGAATCATTTCCTGTAACTGATTCCTCGGAAATTCTCGAGAAATTTCCCTATAATTGGTCCCCAAGATGAGAGATTTTTGTGGGATCACAGTTTTGAGACTCAGTTTCGAGAAATTTCTGAGAAATTCTCCGGATTTTTTCCCCACGAAATTCATCAGAATTTCTCCAGAAATATTCTCTGGAAATTCCTGAGAAATTCTTAGGACTTTGTCACCATGTTTACGGATTTTTCGGGGAATTTATTAAGAGAATTAGTTTCGAGAAATTCCGGGGAATTTCTCCGGAATTTCACCCCAAGAAATTCCTGAGAAATTCTCCGGAATGCTTCTCCGGAAATTCCTGAGAAATTCTTAAAACTTGGTCACCATATTTAGGGATTTTAGAGTAATTTGTTAAGAGAATTAGTTTCGAGAAATTCCTGGGAATTTCTCCGGAATTTCACACCAAGAAATTCCTGAGAAATTCTCCGGAATGCTTCTCCGGAAATTCCTGAGAAATTATTAAAACTTGGTCACCATATTTAAGGATTTTAAGGGGAATTTAATAAAAGAATTAGTTTCGAGAAATTCCTGGGAATTTCTCCGGAATTTCACATCAAGAAATTCCTGAGAAATTCTCCGGAAATTCCTGAGAAATTCTTAAAACTTGGTCACCAAGTTTACGAATTTTTCGGGAATTAGATAAGAGAATAAGTTTCAAGAAATTCCTTAGAATTTCTCAGGAATATTTCTCCGGAAATTCCTGAGAAATTTTCAGGACTTCCTCACAGAATTTTCGAGTTCCGTTTTTCACCAATAGGTGTCTCTGAGGTTCTCTTCTTTTATGCACTGCTCAAACTAAATCTTTTTTCTTTGCATCCTTATTGATCAAAAATGATAATTTACTTCAGAACCATCTTTTAAAAATATATTTAAGCAGCTGCAGGAGAAAGATCAGCATCCAGCGGCGTCGGCAACAATTTTAAAACATTTTTTAAAATTTTTTATTGACAATTCATTTGTCTGAATAAACAAAATACATGACAACTTCAGTAAGATCAAAAACGACTATAACATTCTGATTTAAGAAGATGGTTATACTTCTAAAAAGTTGGAGGGGCAATATAGTTGTTAAGCTATTCACTACTTTTGTTTGTGAATATTTCAAGATATTCCTGAGGAACTCTTGAGAAAATCTTGGGAATAGTTCTAGGGAAATTCCCAGGAATTTGTTCTGGAGACCTTTTTGCTACAAATTTTCTCTGGTTTTTCTGAAGAATTGGTAACAAGAAATTCCCTAGAATTGGTTACAAGAAATACCTTGGATAGAGTTACGAGAATTTCCTCGGAATGGGTTACAAGAAATTCCTCGGAATGGGTTACAAGAAATTCCTCGGACCTGGTTCCTGGGAATGGGTTACGAGAAATTCCTGGAAAAAGCTGTCGACATTTTCACCGGATTTTCCTGTGAAAGATTCCTGTGAATTTCCGCGGATTTTCCGCAAAATTGTTACTTGGGAAACGGTAGCATAAGGACTAATTAGCCTGGTTGTTAAGTTAACTTAACTAACAATAACGAATTGAAAGAAGTACCCAGCCTTAACTTTATCTATTAAACGCGATAAAGAGCAAGGAACTATGCAGTAAAGTTAAACTCAGTTATGTTAGGTGTTATGTGGTCCACACTGTATAGACGAACTATATTCTAGAGTTAAGCTATAAAGTTATCTTGTGTTATCTGGTACACACTGTAAAGAACAACTATATTCTAGGATTAAAATATTAAGTTATCTTGTGTTATCTGGTACACACTGTAAAGAACAACTATATTCTAGGATTAAAATATAAAGTTAGCTTATGTTATCTGGTCCAATTTAGAGGTCAACAATAATAATAACACATCAAATATCCCCCGAGAAATTGCACCATTAAAGAACTTATCCCCAAATTTAAATAATATCTAAATAATATATTAAATACAGTGAAACCCTTTATAACGAATACATCGGAAGAATTTATCAAATGTTTTTTACTATATTACGTAAATTTCATTATTTGCGAAAATAAATAAATAGCCATGAATATGCGGGAACAGTTTTAAAGAGTTCCATATAATCATTTAACTAAAAACTAAATATCTGCAACATTCCATTATCAGAAAGTGAAGAATACGACATTTGATGAATTCTTTCGATGTATTCGTTATTAAGGGTTTCACTGTAGTAATATTGAATAATAAAAAGAGTAAATTTAGAAATTGGGCATGAAAAAATTAGTGTTGCTGCTTGTAACATAAAAATGTAAAGTTAACTCATATATGTTTACTGATACATTGTATATAAAGAAGAACTACATCCTAGGCTACAATATATTAATTTTATATGCACGACCTAATTACAGTATGATTTTGTTTCTTGTATTTGTATTCATTTTCGATATATACTCTTATAGTTCTTTTTTTCTTCTGTTTAATTGTACCTATTATTTAAAATGTGTACGTTTACGAAATAAATAAATAAATAAATATAAAGTTATCGTGTTCTCTGGTACACACTGTATAGAATAATTTCATTCCAATATTTAACTTTAAAGTTTTTTCGTGTTATCTGGTACACACTGTATATAAAGAAGAACTGAGCAGATTACAGATTTAAACTACAAGTTATCTAATATCAATATTAACCTCAAAACTATCCTGAACTAACCCTCCCTCAGTTAGGTGAGGAATATCAACATTTTGAAAATTCTTTTTAGGAAATTTGTTGAAAACTGCATGTTAATTTCATACTTCATTTTCAGGGCCTCGAATTTATTGACAATTTTTAAAAAAATTAAACTTTTTAAAGCAATTCCGGGGCCCATGTTTTATCTGTTGTATGTTTAATGTTTAGGTAGTAGTGATGATACATAGTAAAATAATATTTACATACATATCTCTATCTGTTTATCTATCTATCAATTCTTAAACTAAAAACAGTTCTTTCTCAAAACTTGTAACCCTGATAACTTGAGGAGAAGGGTGGGGGTGCAACATGCTTTTGTAATGAGTTGGTATTATTAAGTTAGTATAATATATTGGTTGCATAACTTGTTTTATTGACAATAAAAAAGGATCGGCAAAAGTACCAAGTGTTCCTCGTGCTTATCCTGTTCAGCTTGTGGGGTTTCCCGTGCCCATTAGTTTTTATCTTAAACGGTTTCCCGTGCCCATTAGTCTTTATTTTATACGGTTTCCCGTGCCCATTAGTCTTTATTTTATGTGGTTTCCCGTGCCCATTAGTCTTTATTTTATGTGGTTTCCCGTGCCCATTAGTCTTTATTTATGTGGTTTCCCGTGCCCATAAGTCTTTATTTTTTGTAGTTTCCCGTTCCCATTAGTCTTTATTTTATGTGGTTTCCCGTGCCCATTAGTCTTCAAGTCAAGGAGCAATATTTTAATTAAATTAAGAAAATTTCATGAGCTAGCATGAATCTCACAAAGCAAGACATTTCATTTTTCTAATCTTTTGTTCTAATATTACTAGATTAACAACTCAGCACAAACCTAAAACAGATTTGAAATTTAATCGTTTTCCTGGAATAAACTTTCAGTTAAACTTTCTGTCAAACAAAATAATAGCTTTGTAAAATTGTAAATCAAAATCATCCGCATTTAAGATTATTCCCTGATCCGATCATAATCTAATCATATCATTCCCTTATCCGATAAATCTTTAAAGCAGATTCATCTCCTAATTACACCCTTCTCCTAAATCATATCCTTCTCCTAATAATATCCGTCTTCTAATCATATCTTTCTTATAATCATACCTTTCTTCAAATCATATCTTTCTCCTAATCATATCTTTCTCCTAATCATATCCTTCTTCTAGTCATATCCTTCGTCTAATCATATCTCTATTCTACGCATTTCTTTCTTCTAATCATATCTTTCTCCTAATCATATCCTTCTCTCCCAATCATATCCTTCTCCCAATCATATCCTTCTCCTAATCATATCTTTCTCTTGATTATATCCTTCTCTCCCAATCATATCCTTCTCCCAATCAGATCCTTCTTCAAATTAGATCCTTCTTCAAATCAGATCCTTTCTTAATTAGATTCTTCTAATCATTCTATCAATCAGATCCTTCTCCTAGTCATATGCTTCTCTTAATCAGAATTTTCGACTTATCAGTTCTGTTTGCTAATCATGGATATTTCTTCTAATTTAATCTTGCTCCTAATAAGATCTATATTCTAATCAGATCTATCTACTAATTTGATCTTTCTCCTAGTGAGATATATCTTTTAATTAGATCTTTCTCCTAAAAGATTTATATTCTAATCAGATCTATCTTTTAATTAGATAAATCTTCTAATTAGATCTTTCTCCTTATAAGATATTTCTTCTAATAGATCTATCTTCTAATTATATCTTTCTCCTAATCAGATCTATATTCTAATCGGATCTATCTTTTAATTAGATCTTTCTCCTAATAAAATATTTCTTCTAATCAGATCTATATTCTAATCAGATAAATCTTCTAATTAGATCTTTTTCCTAAAAGATCTATATTCTAATTAGATCTTCCTCCTAATTATATCGGTCCCCTAATCAGATCTATATTCTAATCAGATATATTTTTTAATTAGATCTTTCTCCTAATCAGATCTATATTCTAATCAGATCTATATTCTAATCAGATCTATCTTTTAATTAGATCTTTCTCCTAATAAAATATTTCTTCTAATCAGATCTATATTCTAATCAGATATATCTTTTAATTAGATCATTCTCCTAATAAGATGTTTCTTCTAATCCGATATATCTTCTAATTATATCTTTCTCCTAATAAGATCTATATTCTAATAAGATCTATATTCTAATCAGATCTATCTTCTAATCAGATCTATCTCATAAGCATATCCTTCTTCTAATCATAAAGGAATTGACTCTTTGCAACAAACTCTGATTTTCTAATCCCTATATCTTTGGATTCCAACGTCGTAAGTTTTTGAAATTTCAAACTATGACTTTTGTTGGATCAAAAAGTTTGAAATATCAAAGGTTTACGACATTGGGTTCCAAAGATATTGGGATTAGAAAATCAGAGTTTGTGGCAAAGAGTCAATTCCTTTCTCCTCATTATATTCTTCTCCGTCTGAGCCCGCGATTTAAAAAATTCGGGAAAATACGGCTCGGGTCGAAGCTGTCGTTGGGTCTTATCTACGACTTGAGCTTTTGGATTCAAGCTGCATCTTATTTTCCACAGAGTTGAGTTAAAAAAAAACACACTCAACATTGAGCCTTATTCTCCGCCAAAACCAACCAAGGTCGGTTTTATTTTTATTGGGTCTAACCGAGCCGAAGATCTTGCAGCTGTTAATTACGTGACACAAGCTGTCGTCAGAGTTGGGTCGAAGATTGGGCCTTAAAGTCGGGTTTAAAGAAGGCTCAAGCCGAAGATTCTTCTCCTAATCAATCTTTCTCATGATTTTAAAATCTATCAATAGATTAACAAATAAATCATAGAAAGTTAAATCTTTATTTGTAAATCAAATCGTAAATTTCGTCTATATCCAAATTCTTCGGGAGTTTAAATGACCTTCATAGGGACCTCGGCTTTAACTACTTCTATAGATTGATATATATATATATATATATATATATATATATATTTGACCAAATATGTTAACAATTACAGGTAGTGCACAATTATTACATTTTAATTTAGCCCTTTTGCAGCGATAAATACATAAATACATAAATACATACAAAACACAAAGTTTGAAATGTGTTATGTTATAATAACAGGGGAAAGAGGATAGAATCAAGATTTAGCAACAAAAGCACTTTCGATCTATACAATGAAAATTATTATGTTCTACAAGAAATTTTTGGTTTTAAAACTTGTTAGGAAGCCTAGAGATTTTAGTTCCAATGGAATAGAGTTCTGCCGCTCCCTCCTCTCCTTCCGTTCCATCGGTTCCATCGGTTTCCTTCCCTCACCCTGCTCCCTCTTCTTCCTCCGTTCCTTCTGTTCCTTCTGTTCCCTCTGTTCCATCTGTTTCCTCTGTTCCATCTGTTTCCTGTGTTTTCTCTGTTTTCTCTGTTTTCTCTGTTTTCTCTGTTTTCTCTGTTTTCTCTGTTTTCCCTGTTCCAATTGAGTCCTCTGTTCACTGTGTTACCTATAATTGAGCCAAGGGAACCCAAGACATCGTTCCATGTCCATATGGTGTTCGGCTCTAAAACAGGAAATAAAAACACTATAATTTTTAAATTAAAGTTGGTTGAAATGACCTCAAAAACTGTATTCGAGATCACACAGTATACTGAAGGTAATGTAAAAACCAAAGCTTTTTTAATCGAAAAATCTTGTGTTCTATGTTTCCTGTGTCCGCATTAGTTTCGCTATCAATCTTCAATGTCGGTTTGATACCAGTCCCAGGCGTTTCATCCTCGTCGGAATCTAATAGGCAAAATTAGATAAAGAAAAGTATTATATCTAAAATGGTTGCCATTTTTTATTTTTATTTTTTTGCTTATATCTGTTATATTATAGGACGAACTCCTGATGATGCCCAAGTTTTTGGCGAAATATATTGAGAAGAAAATGATATAATTCTAGTGCTAGGGAGTACGATTGAGATTTGTTTAAAAACGATCTAAAGTTTATGGTTGCCAAGGGAGAAGGAACCTCAAGTAATTATCTTTGTTAGTCCACATAGATTCAGCCTCCTTATAAACAGTCTCATCAATTTTTAAGACAGGGCTGACTTTGAAGTGTCGCAACGCCCTAAGCTTTGATTTTACCGCTCTAACTCACTTCTGCTTTTCTGTAGCCCTTTACATGTACATTTTAGCACTGTAAAGCACTTTTTGTTAGATTTGGTTTTTTAGAAGTAATTGGCAAAATTCTCAACGATTTTTGCTTGAGAGCGTGAGACCATTAAATCGCAGTGAGTCCAGTGGCCGAATTTAAAGAATTTGAGCGGCGGTTTAAATTTAAGGCGCGGTTTAAATATGGTTGGTTCCACTTAAAATTGTATCAAATATTTCAAGATTTAAGCCGGCGCTTAATTTAAACCCGGTATTGGCGGATTTTAACCGCGGCTCAAATTCTTTAAATTCCATCTCAGAGTCTAAAACTAAAGAACGAAAAGTTTTGACTTAGATTTTAAGTTCATGGTTAAATGCCACTTCTGACTTAATTTAAACCTGAACTTTAACCGCGAGGTTAAATATTTATAATTTAACCCTGTGGTGAAATATTTTGCTCGCTGAAATCGACGAGTTAAAATTTAAACACAGGTTTAAAACCTTGAAATCCTGCATTTTCCCTATTTGTCTAATATTCAATCATCATTCACCTACAGCTGAGAAAGCGGCATTCAACTTAACGATATATTTAAAAGTGAAAACCTTGTTAAAGAAATTTCACGTTTTAGATAAATTAATTTTTGCATGTAAACCCAAAAAACGGTTGTATGTTTTGTTTTCGGTGACGTAATAACAGCTGATTAGCGATGGTTATGTAATATTCTCCGTAAATCCTTTTCTCTGATTGGTTCAGATTTTTCCCGGGAAATTCAAATTAAAAATTGAGAAAGTTTAATATTTAAGTAGCTATTCATTATTTTACAGAACTTTTAACCTCGAACTTAAAATTCGCGCATTCTTTAGTTTTAAACTCTGTTTTTTTTGCAAAGTGACGTAATATAAATGGGAATTTAGTGACAAAACTTAAATCATCTTTTATTCTCGGAAAGGAATTGAGTCTTTGCCACAAACTCGGATTTTTAAATCCCAATTTCTTTAAAACCAAATGTCGTAGACCGTAGATATTTCAAACTATGAATTCTGGTGGATCAAACAATGTAAGTTTGAAATATGAAAGGCAAACATCATCTGGTTGTTGAGATTTTGGAATTATAAAATTGGAAAAACTCAATTCCTTTGTTTGAAAATATCAAAAATTGCTTATCCGACCTACACATGTGCCAATCCGACCTAAAAAGGGGCATCTGACCAACTAACGTGCAGTCCAAGCAACAGCAGTTATAGTAGGTCGGATGCACCAATATGCGTTTTTGAAGTGCAGTGCATCGGACCTATAGCAGCTGTAAAACCTCATGCTAGTAGGTTTTGAAGTACAGTGCATCAGACCTATAGCAGCTGTAAAACCACATGCTAGTAGGTTTTGAAGTACAGTGCATCGGACCTACAGCAGCTGTAAAACCACATGCTAGTAGGTTGGATGGGTAGTAGAATGGATGGGCGTAGGTTCAAAAATACATCATCAAAAATATGACATCTATAGGTTTTCCAAAATGTAATCTGAAAGGTAGAAAGACTTGCAGCGATCCATGTAAAAAAACAGATATATGTTTACAAAATTTCCAACAGCTCTGTTGAAGATCAAATAAATATGATTACCTTCCTCTGATTTATCAGAATGCTCTGTAGTGTGTTTATAGGATGTTTTATAAGTGTCTGCAATTAGCTTGTAATCCAGTTTATTTGAATCTTTGCAGTTCTTTACTCCAGACTTAAATTTAAACACGTCAACCTGAACCTAGAGACAGAATTACTAGCCTTCTTTGAGTAATGTTGTGTTAGAATAGAAGTATTGTTTAAATTGTATTCTTTCGGTTGAGAAATATTGTTTGAGCTGCTTATTTATTGAATTTAAACTAGTTTTATTGCAGTTTTTAGCATCACTAACTGTTTAGTTTGAGCGAAGTAAAAATTAATCATATCAAAGAATATTCTTTAAAGTTGGGAAAATAGAATCAGTTGAATCAGCCGATGCCAATTCTACTACGTTTACAATTTCCAAACTTTAAATATTTTTTTTGTTGTTGAAATTTCAGTAGTAAATAACAAAAAAAGATTTTAGTAACTCTAACCTCTTTAAGTTGAAAGTTATTATCACACATAATGTCTCCTAGAGTTCTCTTAAGTATCTGGTTTCTGAACAAACCAAGAAATTGTTTACAAATATAGACAGCTACGTCATAACACTGCGGTACCGAGTCAAATTCACGATGCTTGAAAATCAAATAATTAATTGGTGGATTGACAATGGTGGATTGACAATGGTGGATTGACAATCAACAGTTTACAGATAAAGTTTTTACTTAAAAGGGAAGCGAAACGCCCCCTTAGCCTACCAGTTTTACAAATGCTTTGTCCCAAACCTATTTTGAAGAGAGATTTTAAGCAAATATAAAATTACTAAAAAACAAATTTTGTAAAAATCTGGATATAAAACTTGCCTGATTTTTCGGGAAAGTCCTTTTCCATTATTTTCTGCCGAATGAGTGAAGAAATATCTTTAATTTAAAATATCAAAATATTAAAATATATCAATTGTTTACATTCTATATGGTCCATAGAGTAGAGTCTCCCTTTCAAATAAATCAAATCTAACGATCACAGAAAATAATTTCAAGTCCCGATAAAAATTTTTCTGTTAGGACTGAAACTTTTTAAAGTAAAAAGTGGTAAAAATTATTGTGATAACCATAAACCAAGAAATGACTCTCCGTCTTCTTAATTTTTCTTAATTATGATAAGTCACTCAAGATGTTGTAATTGAGATCTGTCTAAAAATTTGCCTCGACATTTTTCAGAATACACTGTTTACCTGTCACCAAACATTATATTATGAAACTGTAAACCAATCAGATTAGCAAAGGTCGGTCCAACCTGAATTATTAGATTAATGGTTAATGGTTATAGGGAGCTGTGTTTGCGCTGTATCGGAATATAATCTAGTAAAAATCTGTTTCAATATTACTTTACTGATGTGTTTCGTTGAATTGATAACACCTTTTACTTTTAAACGAAGGAATTTTATTTGAAACTAGCTTGGGAACCCAGCGCTGCCAAGGTTACTAAAGGTACTCCCGCCGTTTACCCGCACTTGGACGATTTTACCGGGGAACTAAATTTTCGCTATTAAAGTCAACATATTCAATTTAGAATCTCAAAACCAAGCTAAGAACATTTCCGTGGATCTTCCGATTTCCCCGGTCAAAATTTGAGGCAAATCGGTCCAGGGGTTCCTGAGTTATGAACGGACAAACAAACAGAGATTACAACTTTATGTATATAGAATAGATATATTCTTTACATTATTTGTAATACTTCACATATCAAATTGCTTTTAGAAAAATGTTTTTTTTTTTGCAAAAGAGACAGATCTTTCAAATAATATTTAACTGATTATTTCTACAATGGATATTGTATACATGAACAGTTAAATACCTGCCCTCCTTTAACATGGGTCTCGGAAAGTCCTCCAACCCATAGATCCATTCCTTCATACTGATCCCTGGTAAAGGAATTGAGTTTTTGCCACAAACTACGATTTTCTAATTTCAATATCGCTGCAACCCAATGTCGTAGACCTTTAATATTTCAAACTAAGAATGCTATGAGATTAAATAATGCAAGTTTGAAATATCAAAGGTTTACATCAGAAGGTTGAAAATATATAGGTTTTACAAAAACTGAATTTGTGGCAAAGACTCAATTCCATTTCAGAAAAGTTTTCTTTAAAGCAACATTTTATCTTTTAAAAATAAGATCCAGGTTACTGCAGTGGAACCCATCTAACTGTGGAATAAGAGGAAGACATTTCAGAAATCTTTTGTGTTATTGTGATTAACCAAAAATGTTGAAAAAATGTTGAGCCTCATAGTCGTCTTCTTATGCCACAGTCTTATCGGTCACCCTCCTGTTCAAAGATTAATTTTTGTTAAATAAACAAACAAATTGCTTTTGATTGTTTCAAATAGTTGTCATTTGCAGGCCATTTGAATGTCATTTAGGATGTAACAATAAGTTAGTGATGACTTACTCTATTTCCTCGTACAGTTTCTCCAGCAAGCTAAACTTATCAATAAAATCTAAATTAGGTTCAACCTCTGGTAGTTTAAAGAAACCTCGAACTATATTGTACGGTGGTAAACCGTGATCTCGGCCTCTACCAATATTCCTAGAATAAAAACTTTTAACAGGCAGAGTTCGTAAGAAACATAATTAGTTATAGATAGCACAATTTTTTATATAATTTTTCCAAATAAGGCAAGGGAGCGTTCAACATAACTTATATCTATAACTACGTAAAAAGAGGGGTTTTCTGATTCTCAGAGAAAACATATCTCCTTTTATTTATACCATTTATTAAGATAATGATAATGGCCTACAACTTTTTTCTTATTAACAAGTCTTTTTGTAAACCATTATTAATGTGCTAAGCACGTTGAACATGCTTCCTTATTGACGAACACCACATTGTTCTAATAAGTTCATTGTCTAATATAATTGTTGGTTAAAAGGGACTCAACGGACCCTAAACCGTTCTCTGTTAAAGGATATTTTCGAAATTATATCTGAAATCGTGTTGGATTCTCACAATTTTATTACTCCTGTCGTAAAAATCCGCAAGTCGTTTTTACAGAAAACCAACATTTGAAAATATTAAATTTTCAACGTGACGAATAAGGATATCTTATTCATCCATGAACAGCCAAAAGTTTATTTACCGTTGTGAATCGTAAATGCCCTCTATAAACGAAGGGTTCCATAAAAAATTATACTTACATCGCAGCTATATCCCTAACCCCTGTGATAAACGCCACATTGGCATGGTCCTTCATATGGCTTGTAACTACGCTGTCAACTTTTTCACAAGGCTGAAATTCATAAAATTGTTGGTTTTTTTGCAAAAAAAATACAAATCCGCTTCATTAGTACGAAATTAAAATGGTGGAGTCTTAAAAGAATACCAACTATACTGTACCAAGACCAAACAGAGAAATTAACTAAACCAGGTCGATCTCTTTTAATTTTGCTTTAAGATTTAAGATTCATCTGGGTCGGTCAACCTATTCTCCTAACCCCTTTCCCCCCCACCCACCCCCCAACCCTTAGTTCAATGAACATTTCTTTCAGTTTTGACAATACCACGATTCTTTAAGGTTGACCATAATTTTTACACTTTTCATATTTTTCATTCCACTTCAAAAAAACCCCCCTCCCCTAATTTGCTTACCTTTTTATAAATTTCTAGAAAGTTATTTGTTACATTATTTTTATTTTTAATTTGTAATAATTTTGGTCATTTTCTGTAGGACTGATGAGGATATAAAATATATCGAAATTAATTTCCAAACCCGAGTTTTTCTACCTGTGAGAGTGAAACCTTTTTTTGCCAGTTTGGACAATTTACTTTAAGATTGGTTTTGATTGAATGCCCAAGTATGGGAAGAAAAAAACAAGTAAATATGGTTGCACATTAAAAATTTTTTGTCCTTCTCAATAACTCCTCAAAAAATGGAGCTTTGATTATAAACATGTAAGATTTTGATACAAACATGATATTTTCTTTTATTCCAATTGTTAATTCTTAAAAATCCAGTTTATTTTGAAAATATTACCGAGTTGGAGCTTCCTCTGAGAACCGTGTGGTAATTATCTTTAGTTAGATCCATCTTATTTATGAAGAAACTCTCATGAAGATTATGTTTTGTTTCGTCCTTTGTGTTCATTATCCCTAAAAAAAAATATTGTTCGCGAAAATTTAATTTTTGTAAATTCGGTCCTTGTTTTGACAGTTTTTGATTTTTCAGGGTGTACACACAAATCCGCATTCCTTTAAAAAAAGCTGATTTTTTGGTGTGCAACAATATTAATTTGATCCCGCCTCTTTTAAAAATAACAATAAATTAGAAAAATAATTATTTTTACAAGGGAATGTCATTTACTCTCAGACAAATTAGAATCAATAGATATTTAAACTCCCTAGGGATGCAATTGATAACCCCGAGGGCTGGGTTTACATACATTTAATCTTTCAACCTTTCACAGAAATTAACCGTACACCGAAAAAATATGTACACTGTACACTTTACAAAATCCTCATTACAATATTATCTTTTACAGGCAACTCTCAATAGCTCTAATATGTTTTGAAAATCAGTTTCCTTACCTGGTATTGTAGAATGTCCATATCTAAATGCTGCTGTTGTAAATTCATTGAAAAGAGTCGGGTTGATTTCAGGATCATATTTGGTTTGTGTATCATCCAGATCTAACTTATACTAAAACATGCATGCTATATCATATACCATATTAATTTAGCGGCAAAGATCTACCTCTGTCGAGGACAAATAATTGAAATATCCTTGTCTCTAAATCTTATTATTGCAAATGAAACTGACCTCCTTTATAATATTTGGACCAAGAAGCAATGGTAGCCAAGTGTTGTATGTAATGGCCTGAAGCTCTGCTATAACTATACGTCGAGCAACCTACGGGTGAGAATTATTATAAATAAATTACTTTTTATCTCACAAGAAAATATTAGATAACGATTTTACTTGAAATATTCGAAATCCGTCAGAAAGTCCTGCATCTCTGAGTTCATCAGCAATTCTAATGTTGTCAAACAAATTATGCCAACGTTAAATTTTAGTTATTTTGAAAAAGGAGAAATGCAATTACTCTTTTTATTAAAAAAAATAAGTTTAAATACATACATAGAGAATTACGAGGCGTGATTAATCAGTTTCGCTAAAATTTGCTTAGGAGGTATACCCGTACTTATAGAAGTCTCAGCTCTAAACTTTTTTTAAGTTCACTATATTTGTTCCAGAAAAAGCAGAACCTGATCATGTGCTGGGGACAAAAACATCTCTTTAAAAAAGTGATGTAAAATGTGTTCTCCTGAAGGTGGATTAGCTTCGTTGTCACAGCAAAGTGATATTTAGAACATTAACCAGAGAAAGGGATATTTAGAACATTAACCAGAGAAAGGGGACACTGCGAAGGCTAGGTTACCGAAAATTGCTTTTATTAGACGATGCAAAAATTAAGTCAAATCCTGAAACATGATCCAGAACGCATTTTAAAACGATTTTATGAACTTTAATGGTGATTTTATGGGACTAAGAAGGAAAAAATAAATATTTGAAGGATTATGACATGTCCGGACGGGACAAGACCATCCAAACCCAAAAAATAGTCCAAAATATTGCAAATTGTTCAAACCGTATAAGCAGATTAAAGGAGATGAGTCTTTGCCACAAACTTGAATATTCCATTCCCTTTATCTTTGAACCTGACGGTGTAAATCTTTGATATTTTAAGCTTAGATTACATGATCTACCAGAGTTTTTAGTTTGAAATATCTAAGGTCTACGACATTGGGTTGCAAAGATAGAGGTATTAAAATATCAGAGTTTGTTGGGAAAACTCAATTCCTTTGTCTCAAAGTCTCTGACATAGGACCAAAGTGATTACATTGATTATGGATACCAAAACCTGAAATTTCCTCAAAAGTCTTTCACACATTTAATACTAAATCTTTTTTTCTTAACAAAAACTACGGGGCTGAGACTTCTACGAGTACCCCTCTAAAATGTTTAGCGAAACTTATTGATCACACCTCGTATATAAATTTTACTAAATATTTTAACAAATAACAATTTTTTCATTTTAATTTAGCCAGAACCTCTAACCATTGATGGTTGTTTTGAATGAGAGACTCTTTGCAGCGATAAATAACATGTTAAATTAAAATTAAACCAAACGAAACAAAAACAATTTAGAACTAAAGAAAAGCAAAGAGAGGCGAAGAAAAATGAGTAGATAGATGAAAAGGTATTTAAGAAAAGAGGGAAAGAAGAAGAAAGGTTCACGTAAGGGGGGGGGGTGGACAACCCAAATATATTTTATCAGTTAAAAAGCACCAATCTTTTTGTAACATAATATATTACTATTGTAGTGTACATTACAGATGGCTTTTAAAGGGACTGTAAGCGCAATTTCAATTGACCCACCTTACAAAGAGGGCGTGGCCTGATTCACAATGGTACCCTTAAAAGCTTTGTCTGAAAAATTATGAAATAGATCTCAATGTTTATTATTTTGAAACTGATAATTTTTATTTGTGGTTTCTCTACAAACGTGACTTGCGCATTTCTACTGTAGGAAAACATGCTGTTACGCGAGCCATGCTCCGTGTATGAAGTCTATGTGGTGCCCCTGTGAATTCCTGAGTTCTCCCTGCGGATCTGTACAGAACGTATTGTGAAAAACTAGTTTGAGAAGCTGTTTACAGACCGACTACGCATGCGCAAGTTTCTCGCGTGGAAGCGGACAGTTTCTACCGTAGTATTTATTTGTTTGTCTTGCAAGTTCGTCTATTATTAAACCGTGCTTAAAATTCTAGGATCACTGCGGTAATTATTCTTTATATATATGTATGAATATCGTTTGTTTATGTTCGGTTATGGTTTGATATTTTATAAATGTAATTTGTTGGTTCCATTCCACAGTTTTTTAATGCCTGAGTTGATTTATTTGTTGTATTTGTATGATTTTATCACTCAATGCTTTTTCTGTGGGTTTATTAAAATTATTTAGATTGAAGTCTTGGAGAAATAAACGTTCGGAACCATATTATTATCCTTTATTATGGAGAGCGGTCAGAAGAGGAAGGCTTACAATCCTATCTTGAGAAATACCGCACGGTACTTATAAAGATTTCATTAGGTCTTTATGTAGCGAAACACATGCAATATGAATGATCAGAATTAAAAACTTATATACCTGGAAAAACTGAATTTTTTCACACAAATGATCAGACAAAGGTTTCAAGGGTACCGTTGTGAATAGAGCATTGCCATTTCTGTATGGAGATTGGAGAGTCACAAAAATTGAAATTTTGCTTACGGTCATCGACCTCTTTGATGATGTATAAATGTATCTATGTTATATGTAAGTATAAAATTTGTAAAATGGGTTAATGCTATAAAATTCGTAAAATGGGCTAATGTTATAAAATTCGTAAAATGGGTGAAGGCTATAAAATTCTTAAAATGGGTTAATGCTTATTGTAAAGATATTAATTGTACTTTATAAATACTTCATTGCACAATTTAAATTGTTCGCGTTAAGAGACCAGTATATAAAAGTGAAAAAAAATCAAGGTACCTAGAATGCTCAAAATTGAAAAGTGCTTGCAAAGACATCAGCGTTGGAATAGCAACACACCTAAGCAAATTGAGAATTGTTCTTTGTGTATTAAGATGTTCATGGTACTTATGTTTTATGAAGGATTCCTCGATTTTCATTAAACCTCAATTTTAAATTTTCTTAATACATTTACAAAACTATCCCGTGAAGTTTTTGTCATATATATTCTTAATTACTTTGAATTGGTATACCTAGGATCGCCACAATGAACAGAACTTTTGAAACTATCAAAACTTTTTAGTCTCCCTGTAGACATATCTCCATTCTCACTAAAAGTAAACAAAGAATCTGTCTTGTAATGGTAAATCCTTATCAACAAAACTCAATATATTTTAACCATATAGCAGGTAAGCTTCATGGCTAATTATACGATGCAATGCTTTTAACAAAATCCAAGAAATACTTAACTATAACAAATGGATTTCGAATTTCGGTTTATATTCTAAGGCTTCCCAAAAGCTTAAATTGTACGTTGTATAAGTTTACGTTGTTCACATTACGTAATGTTACGTTTTAGCGCGGACAAAAGATATTAAAGGAACAGTTATTGTAATTTCAAGTTACCCTCCATTAAAGAAAAAGAGGGGCATGTGCGATCCAAAACTGTACTTGAAATTCTGAAAGTTTCTCCATTGTTTCTAAAGCAAGAAAGGTGCATGTCACTGGTGAAGAGAAACCACAAATGAAAATAATCAGTTAAAAAAACAGAATCATGGATATCTTGTTCATACTTTATCAGGCAATATGAAAGGGACAATTCACTCTATCTATGGAGGGTCACTTGAAACTATAAGTTTACAGTTCCTTTAATTAAGGAAACAATTTAATAAAACTATTTAAAAAACAAAATATCTTAAAGGAGGGTCACTTGAAACTATAAGTTTACAGTTCCTTTAAGGAAACGATTTAATAAAACTATTTAAAAAACAAAATATCTTAAAGGAGGGTCACTTGAAACTATAAGTTTACAGAGATTGAATTTAAAGAATTTAAGCCGCGGTTTAAGTCCGCCAAAACCCGGTTTAAATTAAGCGCCGGCTTAAATCTTGAAACATTTGATACAATTTTAAGCGAAATCAACCATATTTAAACCGCGGCTTAAATTTAAACCGCCGCTCAAATACTTTAAATTCGGCCACAGTTCCTTTAAAAAACAAAATATCTTAAAACATTTTATCAAACGATTATAGAAAAATATGCCCACTTCTACCTGGCATTGCCCTGTCCCTTGAATAATACCTGATAGTTCTTGTATTTTCCTCCTTGTATCCATATATCTGGGTTCCATGAAGAAATGAAGAGTATCCATTAACCTGCTCAGATCTAACAAATTAAAAAATATTGTTGAATCTAGAAAAAAAACTATGTATGAATAAATAAATAAATATGATAATAAATTATGACTGATACGAAAACTACTATTTATATAAATTATTGTTTGAAAAATTTTCATTATGATTTGCTTAAATTATATATAGAGGGTATTGGATAAACTACATTTTTATGAAGCCCTCCAAGAAACATCAAGAGTTCTAAGAATTCTCTGGATGTTCTGCCAAATCAGCTTTATTATTAAAAGACTTGGGGTTATACTGCATTTTTGGCAAACATTCTCTTTAAGCAAAATTTTTTGACGTGAAGTCCAGTAAGAAGTAAAATGAAAAAGCTATATAACTGGAAAAATTGTTTGGAACAAAAATGTTAAAATTATCATTTATTCCCAAAATTTAAAGCTTTAAAAATTTAATAAAATGGATATTTAACAATGTTATGAATGAGTGAGCTCTAAATTTAATTTCAAAAAACGAACGGAACACTCGACACAAATTCTTTAATGTAATATCTTTACCTTTCATAATTGTTTCAAAATATAAAAAATGTTGAAACACACAGTCTAAGTTTGAAATATTAAAGGTTTACAGTACACATATCATGTTGCAAAGATATAGGGAGACGAAAATAAGAGTTTGTGACGCGTGTTCAGTTTCTTTACTTTAAAGATAGTACATCATTTTCACAGGGGTTTAAGGGAACTCTGACTGAAGATATGAAAGGATAACTATCTCGACCATTGAGCTTGTCCTGAAATAATATGAAAATTTTAAAAGAATTGATAAAAATTTATCAAAATGTTTTCTTTGGAAAATAGGTTAAAATATATTTTTCTTCAGATTTCGACATTTCATCCTGCACGGAGTGAAAAATACAATAAAAGAAGAGTTCTTTTTCATTTTGATTAACAATTGATTCTAAACAGTTTATAATTTAAACGATTAATTCAAAAATGGTTTCACTCACAGAAGTTGATCCTTGCATCCTGGCACAGAAAGCATTACCATGTTCTTTATTCTCGGGGCACTCTTTATCTGCATCAGCAAAATCAAGAGATGCCTAAATATTTACGTAAAAATATTAATTTCTTAAATGAGAAGGGAAACTATGTTTATTTCATAAACCCATTAATACACCCTCCGTGAAAACAAGTGACTACCGGTGACAACCAGTGCCAACTTTTCTGAAGAGAGCCTTGTAGATTTAAACAGAACGAGACTCATTCACAGCCATTTTTATATCCTAGCTGAGTAATATCGTGGGCCTCTAACGGCCTCATTTCGATACACCCCTCTGCCCTAGCTGTATACCTGAATAATATCGTGGGCCTCTAACGGCCACATTTCGATACACCCCTCTGCCCTAGCTGTATGTATACCTGAATAATATCGTGGGCCTCTAACGGCCCCATTTCGATACATCCCTCTGCCCTAGCTGTATACCTAAATAATATCGTGGGCCTCTAACTGACCCACTATTGAGAATAGAACAGACAACTCTATATTCTATCTGTGTACGTATACCTGAGTAATATCGTGAGCCATAAACTGCCCCCCTATTGAGAATAGAACTAAGACAGGTAGTCTTCTGATACCTGAGTAATATCTTGGGCCACAAACTGACCCCACATTGAGAACAGAACAAACACATATTCGTCTGATACCTGAGTAATATCTTGGGCCACAAACTGACCCCATATTGAGAATAGAACAGACTTAAATTCGTCTGATACCTGAGTAATATAGAGTGCAACAAACTGACCCCATATTGAGAACAGAACAGGCACATATTCGTCTGATACCTGAGTAATATCGTGGGCCACAAACTGACCCCATATTGATAATAGAACAGACACAAATTCGTCTGATAACTGAGTAATATTGTGGGCCACAAACTGACCCCATATTGAGAATAGAACAAGCACATATTCGTCTGATACCTGAGTAATATCCTGGGCCACAAACTGACCCCATATTGAGAACAGAACAGACACATATTCGTCTGATACCTGAGTAATATCGTGGGCCACAAACTGACCCCATATTGAGAACAGAACAGACATGTAGTCGTCTGATACCTGAATAATATCGTGGCCCACAAACTGACCCCACATTGAGAACAGAACAGAAACATATTCGTCTGATACCTGAGTAATATCGTGGGCCACAAACTGACCCCACATTGAGAACAGAACAGAAACATATTCGTCTGATACCTGAGTAATATCGTGGGCCACAAACTGACCCCATATTGTGAACAGAACAAACACATATTCGTCTGGTACCTGAGTAATATTGTGGGCCACAAACTGACCGCCGCGCATATTGAAAACAGAACAAACACATATTTTTCTGCTTCCTGAGTAATATCGTGGGCCACAAACTGCCCCCCTATTGAGAATAGAACTAAGACAGGTAGTCTTCTGATACCTGAGTAATTCTTGGGCCACAAACTGACCCCATATTGAGAACAGAACAAACACATATTCGTCTGATACCTGAGTAATATCTTGGGCCACAAACTGACCCCAAATTGAGAACAGAACAAACACATATTTGTCTGATACCTGAGTAATATCGTGGGCCGCAAACTGACCCCATATTGAGAATAGAACAGAAACATATTTGTCTGATACCTGAGTAATATCGTGTGCAACAAACTGACCTCATATTGAGAATAGAACAAACACATATTCGTCTGATACCTGAGTAATATCGTGGGCCACAAACTGACCCCATATTGAGAACAGAACAAACACATATTTGTCTGATACCTGAGTAATATCGTGGGCCTCAAACTGACCCCATATTGAGAACAGAACAAACACATATTTGTCTGATACCTGAGTAATATCGTGGGCCACAAACTGACCCCATATTGAGAATAGAACAGAAACATATTTGTCTGATACCTGAGTAATATCGTGTGCAACAAACTGACCTCATATTGAGAATAGAACAAACACATATTCGTCTGATACCTGAGTAATATATTGGGCCACAAACTGACCCCATATTGTGAACAGAACAAACACATATTCGTCTGATACCTGAGTAATATCGTGGGCAACAAACTGACCCCATATTGAGAATAGAACAAACACATAATTGTCTGATACCTGAGTTATATCGTGGGCCACAAACTGACCCCATATTGAGAATAGAACAGACAAATCTCTATCCTCGCTCTTCGGCGAGGGTAAACCAGATTCCCTCAATAGATTCATCTTTTTATTAGCAATAGAATTTGAAGTCATTTTGATTTAATATTTAATTTTTAGAAACATGGTACTTTTTTATTATACTGGTAAGTTTGATAATATTGCATGCAAAGCAAGTATTTGAAAAAGAAAATAAAGAAACAGCTGAAAATAATTTAGTTCAAAAAGCTTTTGTCTTACTGAATTGACTAGGATTTGTAATACAAGTCTTTAGCATAAAAAAAGATATACATGGTGTCGTTATTGCAGCGCACCAGGAAAAAGGCTTTTGTTTCTTCAATTAGATCGAAAAATTGCAATAGATAATTTTGATGCTAAAATAAACAAAACCTTGCCAAGAACTGAGGTTCTTTTGTTAAGTACTTTTTGTAAAGAGACATTCTGTATATGAATATAGAATTTTATAGACATGCGTAGTTTGTAGATCAATTGAATCTTTGCCACAAACTTAAGTTTTCCAATCCCTATATCTTTACAACCTAATCTTGTAAACCTTTGATTTTTAAAACGTTTACTATTTGATCTAACAGGACTAATAGTTTGAAATATCTCAGGTCTACGACATTGGGTTGCAAAGATTTAGGAATCAGAACATTGTTTGTGTGAAAGACTCAATTCCGTTGTAAAGAATTAGAAAAAATAGAAAAATTAATCTTTACCAGGATACATCACTGTTCATATAGATCTGACTGAATGTATAGAAAATTAATTTAATTGAAAGTTCAGTTTGATTCCTTAAACATATATCTTTCTATTTCTGCATAGAAAACGAATGTAATAAAGATTAAAGTAATTGTAAAAAACTAAGCAATTGTATACATTGTACATGTTGTTGTGAATTATCGAAATTGTGTACACGTTTGTTTAAAATATCGGGAAAATATTATATAACACGAAAAACCCCGAAAAAACTACAATTATTTTTTTTTTACAATGACGCAGTACAAGTAAGTTTTTGATAAAATATAAATTTTATTCTATTCCTGACTTCTCTTGGGCTGGGAAACCCATCTTCCTCACTCCAGGGCTTAACAAAACAATAAAATCAATTAATCAGAATGTAAAAATCAAACGCCAAATGATCAAAGCCTTGAAATTTTCAAACGTTAAAGACAAGTACGATTTCAATTTAGGAGATCTAAAAGCTAGAATTAAGGTTAAACTTCAACTATATAACAAAGGGATTATCTTAAATATTATAGAAAATAAGACAACAACTATAACAAAGAACTCTTGAAAAAAAGGAACTTGAGTTTTAACCAATGATATTTCAAACTATGAATTCTGTTCTACCAAATAATTTGAGTTTGAAATATCAAAAGTTCACAACATCAGGCTGCAAAGCTAAAGGGATAGGAAAATTTGAGCAAAAACTCTGTGTGTTAAAGTAGAAATTAGGAAAAATATTGAAACCTTTAAGAGATTATCCTTGTAGAAAGATTTGCCGCAAAGTCTTGCATAAGGTACACCAGCTCCACCCCAGCTAGCTGCAGTACAAAACCATCGTTAAGGGATTGTTAAGAAATTTTAGGAAAATGGTAAAAACCAACAAATGACAAAAAGAACTGAAAATCTATAATTTTGGGAATTTTTGTGTAAAATCTTTAGTTTTTTGAGATAACAGTTTTAAATATCACAAAACTTACGATTTTCCAGATTGTTACACCAACCATCATACTCGGGGAACTCAGAATCTGAATTGCGGCACCCAGATTCTATACGTTCGCAGAACTCATCCTAAATATTGTAAATCTATGGTGTGCTGCTATCCAGAATATTGTAAATCTATGGTGTGCTGCTATCCCGAACATGGTAAATCTATGGTTTACAGAACTATCCAGAATATAGTAAACGTATGATTATTATGCAGATTACAGAACTTTGCTTGTTTGTTTGTAGTTTGTACCCAATAAACATCTGAACCGATCAGGCAAAAATATAGTGCGGCAAATCACAAAACCCCAGAGATGGTTTATGGACGGTTCAAGATTTTTAGCAAGTCTATAGTTTACAGAACCTATCCTGAATATATTAAATCTATGGATTACAGAACCTATCCTGAATATCTTAAATCTATAGTTTACAGTACCTATCCTGAATATCTTAAATCTATGCTTAACAGAACCTATCCTGAATATCTTAAATCTATGGATTACAGAACCTATCCTGAATATCTGAAATCTATAGTTTACAATACCTATCCTGAATATCTTAAATCTATGGTTTACAGAACCTATCATGAATATCGTAAATCTATAGTTTACAGAACCTATCCTGAATACCTTAAATCTATGGTTTACAGAACCTATTCTGAATATCTTAAATCTATAGTTTACAGAACCCATCCTGAATATCTTAAATCTATAGTTTACAGAACCTATCCTGAATATCTTAAATCTTTGGTTTACAGAACCTTTCCTGAATATATTAAATCTATGGTTTACAGAACCTATCCTGAATATTTTAAATCTATGGTTTACAGAACCTGCCCTGAATACCTTAAATCTATGGTTTACAGAACCCATCCTGAATATCTTAAATCTATAGTTTACAGAACCTATCCTGAATATCTTAAATCTATGGTTTACAGAACCTATCCTGAATATATTAAATCTATGGTTTACAGAACCTATCCTGAATATCTTAAATCTATAGTTTACAGAACCTATCCTGAATATCTTAAATCTATGGTTTACAGAACCTATCCTGAATATATTAAATCTATGGTTTACTGAACCTCTCTATTGTAAAGGAATTGAGTTTTTGCTACAAACATACATTTTCTAATCCTTATATTTTCTTATTTTATAATTTGAAATATCTAATGTCCTACGACAAAGCGTTGTCCAAATATTGGGATTAGAAAATCCGAGTTTGTGACAAGAACTCAAATTATAGAAGATGTCCTGAATATTGTAAATATAAAGTGTGTCGAACCTATCATTTATTTGCATTTTTATTGTTGTTTTTTTAAATTATATATTTTATTGTAACTTGGTTCATATTTACCCTAAGAGAAGTTGAAACTTTTATATCTGCATAATCCCTAAATATTTTACAAATAGAGGAGGTTTTAGGAGGAATACAGGTCACAGGAGGTTCAGATGAAGTTTATAGGAAATGTACAGGAGTTTTCTAGGAGGTTTGAAGGAGGTTTAGAGGATGTTTGAAGGAGCTTTAGAATAGGTTTATTTCAGTTTTTAAGAAGTTTAGAGGAGGTGCTAAAGAGGTTTTAAGGAGTGTTAAAAGAGGTTTAGAGAAGGTTTAGAAGAGTTATAAAGAAGGTCTAGAGGAGGTTTAGAAGAGGTATAAAGAAGGTTTAGAGAAGGTTTAGAAGAGTTATAAAGAAGGTCTAGAGGAGGTTTAGAAGAGGTATAAAGGAGGTTTAGAGAAGGGTTAGAAGATGTATAATGAAGGTATAGAGGAGGTTTAGAAGAGGTATAAAGAAGGTTTACAGAAGGTTTAGAAGAGGTATAAAGAAGGTTTACAGAAGGTTTAGAAGAGGTATAAAGAAGGTTTACAGAAGGTTTAGAAGAGGTATAAAGAGGTTTACAGAAGGTTTAGAAGAGGTATAATGGAGGTATAGAGGAGGTATAGATGAGATTAAGAGAAGTTTTAGATATATTTGAAGTAGCTGGTTTCAGTGGAGGTTTATGGATCCATATCAATGAAAAGATAAAACTTTGAAAACACCTTTCACTATCACGTTTTTTTTGTTCATTCTCCTTTTCCAGATAAGCTTGTATGTTCTGCATCGCTGAGACACAGGCTTTCTATAAATAATGCAGGAACATAACAGAATTAAATTTATTTATAAGTTAATATTTTACGCTAAGTGTTTGGTTGGATCCACATGTATCAAGTCCACTTTCTAAAAATAAGATTTAAGATAATGCTAGAGATATAAGATTCAAAACTTCAAAGCCACGGATAGATAAGGTACAGTGTTACCCAAAAAACTCTGGAATAGGAAGACGACGTTTAGAATCAAGCTATAACATTAAAAAGTGCAATGAGTATGCTACACAGCAATTGAGCATTGTAAACAAACCCATTTTACTAAATATAGTAATTATTTAGTGTCTAGTACAACATCAAATACACTAAAATACTAAAATACTAAAATACTAAAATACTAAAATACTAAAATACTGCTATAATTTCGTTTCCCTATTCCATTGTTTACTGGTTATCACTGTAGATACTAAGATATTTTAAGTTCCAGAACGAGAATATATTATTTGTCTAAAATGAGATATTTGATAACCCAATACGAGCAAAGAGTTCATCATTGTAGTTTTATTATTTGAGAATAAGTTTAGCCATTCCTGCCCAGTAGTCAGCACTGGCTATCAGTATTATTAAAACTTTGTAAAGGAACTAAGTTTTTGTCACTAACTCTGATTTTCTTACCCATCTTTGGAACCCGATTTCGTAGACCTTTGATATTTCAAACTAAGTCACCAAATCTAAGTTTGAAATATTTGATACATATTTGGAACATAGATATGGGATTAGAAAATCAGAATTTGCGGCGAAAACTCAGTCCCTTTCCTCGCTTCTCTAAATTTTCTATAAAATACAACTTTAATTGAGTTCTTCCTCCTTATTCTACGTAAACTATGGTATGATTTTTAGTAAATTTATCAAAGTAAAAGCATGCCATGTTTCTAAATATAACTAAAGCTTTGATCGGATCCGTCCTGTTGTACCATATTTATTGCAATATATATTTCAACTTACTCTCTACCCAGAGTGCATGCATTACTCCGAGTAGTGTAGGTTCCTTGGCCACCTCTCTCACATCAGGGTTTATCTGAACCCAACGAAATCTTTTATTCTGAAATAAATAAACTTGATTTATTATCGTTGTGAATTTAATTGTAAGGGTATATAACCGATTCTTATAGCTACCCTGTAAACGTTTATATGATCAATAATGTGGGATTTATCATCGTTTTTCTAGATTGAAAACAGAACTGATTTAATTGGATTTAATTAATAGCAATTTTAGATCAATGTAATATCGTGCAGAGCTATAGATTTTAAAAAAGAATGGCAGTCACTTTATTAATGATTCCATTCAAAACTAAAGAACTTAGTATATTTTATTGATTTTTTTTACCAAATTCGTAAAATCCAGAGTTTCCCTAAGTTTAGCTTCAGCTTTTTCCTTCAAGATCTTTAAATCTAAAAGAGCAAATGTCAATCTGAATTAGATAAATGTTCACTGATATAAAGTCATGAGGTAAGTTGTTTTTTTCAGCTTAACAAAGCTTAAACCTATAACGCATTTAAGTTGCAGGGTTACTCACAAAGCATGAGACTTTAATGATGACCGAAAATTCTGATGATCTGATTTTTGAATTTAGCCTTTGTGACATGAAAATGCTAGATGATCAGGCAAAAAAGAAACATGTTTGATTTTACAGTGAACATATAATTATAATATAAAAAGAATGAATAAATATTGGACAGTCTTTTCTGAAGTCTCATTTTATGTGGGTAATCATGCATCTTCGATAAACGGGTAATACACACTTAGCCTGAGCAGGCTTTAGGTTAGAAAACAGTGTACGGAAATAATGTCGTTTGAATCTTAACGGAAAATATCTGATGATGTTGAAAAAATTAAACCTATGATATTTTGGTATGGCAGGCCCACCTGAACAATGTAGGTGAATCTACTTAATTAGAAAACTCATATTTTTGTGAAATTATGGATTTTCTAGGGAAAACAAAATCCTTCATAATTTTAAAGACTTAATTCCTATGTAAGATTTTTTATAACAATTTCACAGACAACCCAAAATATGTTTCAAAATCAAAAGATCAAAAAAAGTTTTCAGAAATATCAAATAACTGTTCGTTCTAAACATTTTTAATGAATTTTTACGAATTTTTGTTCAATACTATCGTTTTCGCTTTAAAGATAGAAATAAGGACGGTTTAAAATTTTATTAGTAATAGACAGGTCTGTCCATATCTTGTTTAATATTTTTTCACAATAAACTTCTTATTTTGGATTTTTTTCTGTTAAGTAAGTACAATTTGCAGGCACTGAAGCGTGTATAGTGTATAATTTTTTGAGTAAAACGTGGCTTGCATTTTTGGGACTAAGTACTGTATATATGTCCGTAACCAAATTAATAAGATAAGCTTAAAAAATAAATGTAAATTTATATATCACTTGTAATTAATAATTAGTTTAATAATGTTTTTTTCCCTATAGTCGATTTGATCGAAGAAAATGGAAAAATATTGAAATAATTTGCTAACATTCATTTTACTATAAAATTAAAGATACAAAGGAATTGAGTTTTTACCACAAATCCCAATTTTAGAATACCTAAATCTCAACAACCAGATGATGCATACCTTTCATATTTCAAACTTACATTATTTGATCCACCAGAATTGATAATTTGAAATATCTATGGTCTACAACATTTGGTTTAAAAGAAATTAGGATTTAAAAATTCGATTTTGTAGCAAAGACTCGATTCTTTTATGCGGATTTTTACTTATTTTAAAAATTGGTATTTCACTTTGACCACCTTCATTTGATTTTACACAAATTACGTTTGTTTGACAGTATAACTTGCAAAAAAAAGGATTCGTTAAGATCTTGTAAATTTAAGACGTATTTTAGGTTGTCTGATTATTAGAAAATATCTTACATAGCCTTTACAATTATGAAGCATTTGTTTTCCCTAGAAAATCCATAATTTCACAAAAATATGAGTTTTATACTTAAGTAGATTCACCTACATTGTTCAGGTGGGCCTGCTATAACAAAATATCATGGGTTTAATTTTTTCAACACAAAGTTTGTTAAGCAAAATGTGAAATTTGATATGGATATCTTAAGAAAATGAAAAAATCCGCGAAAATATTCAATATTTGCCTCGGGCATACTTTTTTGATTTTCCTAAATACTTTTCCGAAACGGAGATCTTCAGACATTTGTTCCGTACACTGTTTTCAAACCTACAGCCTGCTCAAGCTAGGTGTGAAAAGGCATCATGGTAAATTAACTATTTTTGATACAATAGAATGTATCAAAAACTGCACTAAACAGAAATATGTTGACCTGCGTCAGCAAACGAAACATTTGGAGAATTATCAAATTTAAGGTTCAAAACATCCTCTGGGATACCGGTATCTTCTTCTCCTGAACCTCCGGCATCTTTCTTATCCCCTGAACCTTCAGTATCTTTTCCATTCCCTGAACCTCCTGTATCTTTCCCATTCCTTGAACCTCCAGTATCTTTCCCATCCCCTGAACCTCCAGTATCTTCCCAATCCCCTGAACCTGATCCACCATACTCTCCATTCTCTGAATCTCCGATATCTTTATTTTCATCTTCTTTTTTATCCCCTTGACCCTGACTATAATAGGCATCTTTTATTGTTAAATATGTTTAAACAATTTTTAACTACTTGTTCCTACATGCAGCAGTAAGTCTAAATACCAATGACAATGCCGACGAAATCCTATTTGCAGCTTTGCCTTCTAACCATCTTACGTAAATACGTACATCACATACACGCAAGATATTTAATGTCAAGTATAGCCCATGTTTAAGATGAGTAGACAGCAACGTTGCAATAGTATGTAGTTAGCATTGTATATACGTATAGTGTACATTGAATGTGAAAAGGGTGAAACTGGAAAAGTTTAATCTTTACAAATATCCCAATCTATGGGCTAGTAATAAGGAATTGATTACTCGCCTAAAACTCTCTCGCACCGTTACCCATTTCTCATTCTTTTCAACCTGATGGTCTAAAATGGACAAAAAGACAAAGGTAGAAGGTCAAATTTATTTGACATTAAAGGGACAGTAAAGGAAAAATGAAATGGGGTATAGGCTGAAAGCTAATCACTTTAGCTCTTGATCGCGACCCATGAAAGTTTTATCTGATGTTCCTATCTCGAGAAATTGATATAAAACTGTGTCAAATCTATACGAAAATTAATATATATACAATTTTGTATAAAAGTAGTAGGTTTAAACAGATCATATTCAGCAAATAAGCAACCAATCTGAAAACGATGATATCCCAGAGAAAGCTAATTGTAATTTAGGTTTACTTTTATATTTGTTGTTTGTATTTTCAATAGAGACACGTGACCAGTATACTGCTCTGCCATTGGTGATAGTTCTGGTCACGTGATTTAAGTTTCAGATTTTCAAAATTTTACATATATGAATTTTCGTATAATTTTAACACAGTTTTATATCAGTTTCTCGAGACAGGAACATCAGATAAAACTTTCATGTGTCGCGATCAAGAGCTAAAGTGATTAGCTTTCAGCCTATACCACCTTTCATTTTTCATTTTCTGTCCCTTTAACTTGTAACTTTTTGACCTGATTTTTCCCACAAGTATTAGAAAATAAAATTTATTAGGTTACACATTGTTCTTCTCAATAGTTTTACATCAGGAGTTATGATTGAAAACAAATGAGATTTCAATCTTACGTAAAAATTAACTTTAGTTTAACTTGATCAGGTTGAAATTTAGATTAGATGATTAGAGTTTGAGGCAAGTAACAGTTCTTATGACAAAAATATTGAAAAAAAACATGTAGCATACTTTGTTTTCTGAAAACAAAGGCCAGAAAAATTTATTTTTCAAAAATTGCATAAAGAGTAACACGGAAATGCTTATTTTATATGCAGCGTGATATCGCAAAAACAAAATTATATTCTGCACAATCAGAGCGTACTTAACATGGTGATCTTAAATGAAAACTGTTTCTAGAATTAGTTTGTACAATTTTATATTTAACGAAATATTTATTTTACGCAGAACACAATGTTAAGTACGTCATATAACAACAGCTAGCTGCGTTCCTATGGTTATTGTCCACGACTATCACTGAAAAGATTGTAAATGAACCACTAATATTTTTATTTATTTAATCCTCTAATTTACTCACCTAAATTTAATTGTCAAGATTATTAGAAATATTGTAAGACGTGCCATGTTCCGTTCCTGTCTAGTATCGTATGTCAACTAATTTAATAAAAACAAAATAAAACAGAGAAGTGAAAATTATACAGGAAACAAGAATATGAAGAAGAACAAAGGTATTTACAATTCTAGAGTTTTATGAAGTTATGCATGATCTAGATTTTTAGACGTTTAAATTTTAATTAAAATACCCTTTCAAAATTACATTCTTACTGTTTACGAAAAAGGAGCTAAATTTTCGAATTAGACAATCTCCATTTACAATCGTTTGCAAAACAGAACCCACTGTTCCCTCTTCACACAACATTAGATTGCATAATAATCATTTATTCAAGCAATGGACGGAAAGATTAGGAAAACCGCGTTTACCAAATATTCAAAGACTACTGAATAATAATCATTTATGATTCCTATAGCTTTTCTATCCAATTGTGAAAACCTCTAATATTTCAAACCTTCACAAATCAAATCGTTCTTCGTGTTGCAAAGAAAATTAGAACTTGCTTAGTTATATCTTTATTTATTTATTGTATTTTATTATTCTCCATTAGGATTCTAAGTTGGTAGATTTTTGCACATGCTAAATCTTATTCTGTTATACGTACTAAACTTTAAAACTGAAAAATAATTATTTTGTTATGCTGCACCTCGGTCTCTCTAAATTTAACTAGTAATCCCTGACTAATTATAATTTCAAAACCTAGTATATAATATTCGTCATATTGTAAAAGTTTTAATATTAATCAGGCGGGGATAATACCCAAAACAGCTTATTTCCACCTAATAGATATAATACATTCATATAGTTTACAATTTAAAAATAGTTTTTTTTGCCTGTAACATTATAACTTGTGTATTTTTAGCAATAAACTATATCTTATCTTATCTTATCTTATCTTATCTTATCTTATCTTATCTAAGAATCAAATAAGACAATTTAGAGAACCAATAGCATGCTTTTTACTTCAAAAGATTTGAGTTTTAAGTTCAACTATAGATGCTAAGACACGTATGAACTAATAAAGTGAAGTCATGTATAATTTGTTGAATAAAACGAGAAGTTTAAAACTACAATATATATGACGATTGATGCCCTCCTTTTTTTGTCTGATATATACTTTAAAAAAAGAATATATTTACGGAATATTCGTTTTGTATGCTTAGACCTACTAGATAGCGAAGAGTTTGAAAGCAGTCTTTTTAATTCTATAGTACTCCATATGCCGAGTCCATTAGCACCTGATCCAATCAGGGTTCAGTCATGTGTTTGTTGTCTATTCTGTACCAATAGAAATAACATGGCGGTAACATCTATCTTTCAAATCCTTCAATCGGCGCTATCAGTAAATGGAAATATATACTTCAACTGAAACAATAGTGATAGGTCTATAAAGAGAATTCGAATTCTGCCAATCTAGAAAGGTCAAAAGTAACGGCAAATTATTGGTGGGACTTAGCCCAATAGTTTATAGTTTTGATTTTTATTGGGGTGCATCTAAGAAATATTTTTAAGAAAAGGGAGCTGTGACTAAAAACACAATATTCAAATTTTGTGTTAAATACTTTTTTGGCTGTTTCACAATGTGAGAAAATTTTTTGTCTTATAATGCTGGGCGTCTAAAAACATAGGAATAAGATAATGCCCGAATTCAGATATCTTTATGGACTAAAATTACAAAGGAATTGAGTCTTTGCCACAAACTCTAATTTTCTAATCACAATATCTTTGTAACCCAATGAAGGAGACCTTAGATATTTCAAACTATGAATTATATTAGATTAAATAATCTAAGTTTGAAATATCAAAGGTCTACTGCAGTACATTATAAAGATATGGGGATTACTTTTTTTTAGTTGGTGACAAAGACTTAATTCCTTTGATCAAACTAAGACTGTACTACAAATGAGAAATCCATAACAAGATATATTCTCGTAATTTTGTAAGTTTCGGATACTTTCAATTAATCAATATTAGGATTAACACCATATCTTTACAAGCTAGTCGTTACATTTTGGAAATCTTACCTGTATCTTTACGTCTTTTATTATGATTTATCAAATTTACATTTTTATGGAGATTCTCTGTAATCAGTTTCTACTATGTATAAGCAAAAGAATATAAAGCAATTTTGTCTTTGTCGCAAACTTTAATTTTCTAATCCTAGGTTTACACCATCAGGTTGCAAAGATATATGAGTCTAAAATTTTAGTTTTTGGTAAAGACTCATTTCCTTTCTGGAACTACTAAAGAAATTTCGTTTCTTCTTCTTCTTCTAAAGAAGACAAAGAAGCAACTCAAACAATTAGATTTAAATATTTTATTAATTTTTCTATTAATTAATCTATTCATTTTGTAAACATATCGAAATCTGAAGAATTGTTTTCAATTTCAGAAAAATCATCTCGTTGACCTGAAATATTATTATTAGAAGATTTAACTTTGTTTAATGTTCATACAGTTAAAATTAAACATTCATGCAATGTTGGAGAAACTTGGTTACATTACACGACATCTTGAACTTCATCTGATGGTAAACTTTTTTTCTGGCATCCAGCCCATCCCCCTGGGTTGTGATGGAAACAAATGATTGAAGAGGAGGAACAATAAAGGTATAAAAGAACAAAAATACATTGCAAATTAACAATTTCATCCACAGAAATTAGAAGAAGGCCACAGAGTCAATGAAAGTGGAGTGGACAAATCGACCTACCTATAGTGAATCCAACCCTTATCATAATTGCTGACAGTTTAAGCATACTGAAACATAAATATATTTAAAGAATACTGGAAAATGATTTTCATGCGCTCAGAAAATTTAGAAGTTGTTAATTTATTTACCTATGCAACCAGCACAGAAAAATTAAATAGTAGGAACTACAACAGGCGAAGAAATGAAGAAAACGAGATCTAAAAATAAGGTCGATAAGTTAATCAAGCATGTAAAGCTTATCAAGGTAGCTAAGTAAATCAAGCTAAAGTAAAGCTAATCAAGCTAGTAAAGCTTATCAAGGTAGTTAGGTTAATCAAGCTAGTAAAGCTTATCAAGGTCGCTAAGTTATTCAAGCTCTAGTAAAGCTTATCAAGGTAGTTAAGTTATTCAAGCTATAGTAAAGCTTATCAAGGTAGCTAAGTTAATCAAGCTAGTGAAGCTTATCAAGGTAGCTAAGTTAATCAAGCTATAGTAAAGCTTATCAAAGTAGTTAGGTTAATCAAGCTAGTAAAGCTTATCAAGGTAGCTAAGTTAATCAAGCAAGTAAAGCTTATCAAGGTAGTTAAGCTAATCAAGCTAGTTAAGCTATTAAAGCTAGTTAAGCTAATCAAGCTAGTTAAGCTAATCAAGCTAGTTAAGTTAATCAAACTAGTTAAGCTAATCAAGCTAGTTAAGTTAACCAACCAACCCAACCAAACTAACCAAACCAACCAATTTAACCAAACCAACCAAACTAACCAAACCAACCAAACCAACCAAACCAACCAAACCAACCAAACCAACCAAACTAACCAAAACAATCAAACTAACAAAATTAATTCTAAACTAAACAAACCATCCAAACTAACCAAACAAACCAAACTAGCTAATTTAACCAAACTAAACAAACCATTCAAATTAGAATGTTAATCAAATTAACCTACCTAGATAAAATAAAGAGTAGAGTGTTATCAAGAAACTGTAAAAGTAGAGCTATCATCTTCTTTTCAACTAATGTTCAATTTGGAAATCATAACCTAAGCACTGAACAATAATAACGAATTAATTCTAAAATCAGTTTTTTTCCAAAAGATGAATTTCAGGAATAATATATAACCAGCCAAAATCAAAACAATTTGAAACATAGAACTAAATATATTTGACCAACATTCTTTTCTAGAAACAATACAATCTTTTTTGACAACGATAAAACCATTTTTACCAAAAAAAAAAAAATGCAAAACTATTATCCGAATCACCTTTTTAAAATCAGCTTATTTTACATTCTCGTCAAAAAATTGAAAATAAAGAACCACTGCAGTTAAAAATAATCAAATAAAAAATTATTTTCGGAAAGTTTACGGTCGTTACCGTTATTACAAAAGGCAAAGTTATAAGCAGCCACATGTCAACCAAAAAAAATTTAAAAAAAGACAGCCATTATTCTGTCTTATATCAGCTTTAATTGTATTAGGGCAGCTTTGGGCAACTTTTATTTAAACAAGATTCTGCACTCCTAAGTATATGTAGGAGGACCGGGTCTAAGAAATTACATAAAGTTTAAGATCTGTGTCCTAACTACTGATCGACAAAAGATTGTAAACAAACTCCTTCCCTTCTCTCTCGCTCTGTGCTTCTATATATACTTTGCTTGTCTGTTGGTATGTTTGTATCCACTTCAAACGTCAATACGGCAGAACCGATTAAGTCCACATTTTTTGTGGGACCTCATGTGACCCCAGGAAAGGTTTATGGATGATCGAATTTTTTAATTTGCCTCTAACAAAATTCAATTTTTGAAAATTTTGATAATCCACGAAAATTTATTTTCGTAAAATCCGCGAAATTTTTAGTTTGTTATTGTTTTACAATTTATAGAAAGAGAGAAAATATTCACAATTAAAATAAGGGATGGGCACGATGCGCCCTAAAAGCCTAGTCTAAATATATGCTTTTTTTGTCTGGGTGTTTTTTGTTTGTTTGTATCCAATAAACGTGAACCGATCGGGCCCAAATTTTTTGTGGGACCTCACATGACCCCAGAAAAAGGTTTATGGATGATCAAAATTTAAAAAATGTGCCTGCAAAAATTCGAGTTTCATGAAATTTAAAAGTAAAGTTTTACAATTTAGACAAAGAGAAAATGTTCACAATTAAAATAGAAGATGGGCACGAAGCACCCAGAAAGCTTTTATCTGTATACCTCCGTACTCCATCTTTTCCAACCAGTCTTTAACTAAATATTTAATATTAAGCTGAGCATGACAATCAAAGAGCATGACAAGCAACTTTAATCAGAATTGTTATAAATCCCACGCACAAAGATATTTTTTCTGAAAATACTATAAAATATAGATACAGATAGGAATTGAGTTTTTTTTCTAAAAAAATTTAATGTTCTAACCCCCATATCTTTGCAGCCTGATGGTGTATACCTTTGATATTCAAAAATAATCTATACTAGTTGTACTTGAATTCATAGTTTTGAAATACGTAAGATCTACCTTGGGTTGAAAAATAAAGGGATTAGAAAATCTGAGTTTCTTGCAAAGACTCTGGCTTTAATTTTATCATGACTCAGGAATAAAGTCTTTCATGACTGTCATATTTATATCATCTCAGCTAGAAACGACGTAAAAAGAGAAAAATGAATATATTTCTCACTAAAAGACAGTGTGCGTGAAAAATTGAAGTGGGTAAGTGGAAAATGAAAGGGGGAAGTAGGCGATATATTGAAGGGGAAGTAGACGATATATTGAAGGGGAAGTAGACAATATATTGAAGGGGAAGTAGTAGATATATTGTAGGGGAAGTAGACTATATATTGAAGGGGAAGTAGACTATATATAAAAGGGGGAAGTAGACGATATATTGAAGGGGGAATTAGATTATATATGGAGGGGGGAAGTAGATTATATATAGAAGGGAGAAGTAGATTATGTATGGAAGGGGAAGTAGATTATATATGGAGGGGGGAAGCAGATTATAAATTGAAGGGAGAAGTAGATCATATATGGAAGGGGGAGTAGATCATATATGGAGGGGGGAAGTAGATTATATATGGAAGGGGGAGTAGATCATATATGGAAGGGGGAAGTAGATTATATATGGAATGGGGAGGAAGTGCGATGAACGCGTATTCCTCATGTGTGCTTTTATCTAAACAATAATAATTCTTCGTAAATTACCCTAAAATATACTCACTCCTCGAGGACCTGTGGAGTAGGCTCATATATATATGTATACAGGGTGTCCCACGAAACATGACAGTTGGTGAATAGTTTAGAATGTCTTTTTCCCTAATTTGTTAAGTTGTTTGATACCAAAGATCAAAAAAAATATTATATGGGAGTCATATTATATCAAAATTCATTTCAAAGTAAAATATAATTAAGCAAAAGATTTCTTTAACTCAAAATAGCTATTAATTAAATGTCATGTTTCGCGGGACACCCTGTATATGAGCGAAGAGCTTTATTATATAGAAAAGGGCATATCATCCATTCCGTAAAAAAACACTTATTTAGTTATTTCGGTCAAAATAGTTTAGAAATTTTGTTTGGAATCGAAATCAGTTTATTTGCAATTCATATAATCGTAGAACTGGTGAAATATCGTCTTCAGCTAAAAGAAAATGTCAAATCTTATTCCGATGCAACTTGATTTGGAAAAAAAGGGTAAAATAGTCAAACCTAAAAATTCACATTAATTAACTTTAGAAATTGAAAATAGGAAAAATATGGAAAGCAGAAAATGGTAAAACTTAAAAGTCTAAAATGTGAAGGAGAAAAATGATCAGCCTCAGTAAATTGTGTTAGAATAAGACGTATTCGATATAATAATTGAAAGACGAATAAAAGTTCGAGGATGAGACTAACAGACGATCTGAAACTCTTTAAATATGACGTTTCCAAGGTTAGATCAAGTATTCGTCCATGAATATTGTATTTTTAAGGACTTTTTAATGATTGGGCAAAGAAAGAAAAGAAATCTACAGTTGCAGGTTATTCTAAATATAAAGAAACAGACCTTCTGAAATTTATCCAGTCGTCTCCTTCATGGGTCCCCCTGTATAGAAGGACAAACAAGATTAAAGCGGGAAAAATCAAATACAAATTTGAAGAATCAAAAAAAAATTTAATTTCAGAAACCTACAGCAATATGAGATTTTAATAAAAATATGAATAGGAAAAAAATAAGATTCAGAAAAATAATAAATAATTATCCGCGGAAATATTATGAAGTGGCAACATTTTGGGGAATATAACACTCAACTCTATCTGTCTAGTTATATCCTCGGAGGTTGGGCAGGGATGGAACAAGTTTTGTAAATACAAATTTTAGTATTTCAAAATATATACTTAACAATTTCTATCATGTTTTTCATTTTAAAAATGGAAAAGAAAATATAAAATCTACACAATTGATGACCTCCCGGATGATGCATCTCCGGTGTGTTGTAAACATTCCCTCTGGATCTGTTCCTACAATTCTATATCCGTTCTTAGAACCAGTTCTTGGATGTAAACAATCCCTTGTATCTATTCTCGGAGTTATATTGAAGAAACATTGTTTGTAAACGAAAATAATAATAGTGACTATTTCATTTAGGTTTAATTTTTGACGTGCGCGCAAACAAGTACTGATTGTTAAATTTTTGCATGAAGATGTATTTTAAATATTTTAAAGTACAAGATTTTTTTATTAATTCATACAAATAATTGGAAACTTTATCAATCTTACTTTATTTAGACCGTGCAGTCGGACAAAAGGGTTCAAGTATTTGTGAAAATATATTTGTTGTTATTTTATTTCAGATCTTTATAATAATGTTATTTAATTCTGTTATAGGGTGTCTTATTCCTTTTATTGGATTGATTTCTGGATCAAGGGTTTGTAATATCACTATAGAAGCTTTAGTTGGAGCTGAGAAACAAGGATAATATCCATATGATTCATCCATATTCATTCATTAGTCCTCTAGTATCATTCATCCATATTTATTAATTAATTCTCATTAATCCTCTAGTATCATTCATCCATATTGATTCATTAATTCTCATTAATCCTCTAGTATCATTCATCCATATTCATTCATTAATTCTCATTAATCCTCTAGTATCATTCAGCCATATTCATTCATTAATTCTCATTAATCCTCTAGTATCATTCATCTATATTCATTCATTAATTCTCATTAATCCTCTAGTATCATTCATCCATATTCATTCATTAATTCTCATTAATCCTCTAGTATTATTAATTCATCCTCATTAATCTTCTAATACCATTAATCCATTCTCACTCACCCTCTAGTATCATTTATTCATCCTCATTCCACTTCTAGTATCATTCATTCTGATTCTTTTTCTAGTATCATTCATCCATTCTCATTAACCTCTAGTATCATTCCTTCTTAGCATTATCCTTTCATCCTCATTTTTAAAAAGTATTTTTCATTCATTTTAATTCATCTTCTATTATCATTGATCCATTCTCATTCATTCTCTTCTGTCATTTATCCTCTAGTACCATTCATCTGTTCATTCATCTTTTATTATAATTCATCCTCTAGTATCATTCTTCCATTATCATTCATTTTCTAGTGTCATTCCTTCATTCTAATTCATCTACTCTTATTCATCCTCTAGTATCATACATTCATCCTCTAGTGTATCATTCAACCATCATCATTCATCTTCTTGTATCATTCATCCATCCTCATTCATTTTCTAGTATCATTCATCATATATTTATTGTCATTCATTGTCACATTGTCAATATTAATCAACTTTACTAATAATTTTTTAGTTTTTTTTCTGATATGGAAAATATGTTAAGTAATGAACCCTATATTAGAAGATGAAACCTATGGTACTGAACTCACTTGTTGGTATCATATTAGAACCAAACCATCGATATTAGGTAATATTCTATATTGTGCTAATAAACATTGTCAAAGTTGTTAAATTTTGTCGGATAAACAGAAGTGCTAATTTCGAATCCATCTTTTAGATCTAATTTTTTTCTCGAAAATCTGCATTATGTGATCTATTCATTTAGTTATCAACTTATAAGGAATTCTATCCGTTGAGACCTGAATTATTTATCTGTTTTTAAGTTGAATATTTGATATAAAAATCTGCGTATACTGATCAAAATTTTTGTTCTACATTTCGGTAAGTTATCTATGAGATTTTTTTAACAGTGAAAGATTAAGAATTTGATTTTAAATCTATCTGTTTAGATCTAAGTATAAGCCTGGATTTTAAATCTATCTGTTTAGATCTAAGTATAAGCCTGGATTTTAAATCTATCTGTTTAGATCTAAGTATAAGTCTGGATTTTAAATCTATCTGTTTAGATCTAAGTATAAGCCTGGATTTTGAAAGGTTTTCAGTTGGAAATCTTGCTGGAAATTCTTGCGTTGACGGTCATCTTCAGGTTAATAATAAATAAAAGAAAACATTAAATTAAATTCTTTTAAAAGAAGACAAGGAGATTGTATGCTCAAATATAATCACGTCCAAAAGTTTAAGAACTAATACAAAACCGACACATGTTAACTCTATGGTTTCTAGGTTTTAGACTCCAAGCATAGCCGAGTAAACGAGGATCTGGGTGTATACTGTGGTAATATCAACCAACCAAAACTAATAATTAGGAATATACATCTTCACAATTTATTTTCTCATATTTCAATGTTTTTAACGGAAGCAAATCTAAATTTTCTTTTTTTAAATAAAGAGTTCAGCACTCGCATGTTGAATTTAAATGCTTAAAGGGAGTGTTCGCGAAAACGAAAGGGGGTATAGGCTTAGTGCGATAAAAAAGCGCTTTTGATCGCTACTAATCTTACTTCTATCTGTTGCGTCTATAAGGAGAAAATTGTTAAAGACGTCTCATACCGAATAACTTAGCGGCCATACAAATTAAATAAATTGCAAGATACGACTTAGACTGTAAAAAATCAGTTTAATTTCAAACAAATCATTTAGATATTAAAACCTATAGTCATCGATTATCTTTCGCCACACTTTATATAGTTTATATTTTATAATATTTTTTAATTAATTTGTTTACGTTTCTCTTGTCACTTGCGCAACTATCTAAGAATGCCGCACACCACTCACAATTTTCGAAATCCGTTGAAAACGTTTTCTAGAAAAATAAAATATTATAAAATATAAACTTTATACAAATGTGGCGAAAGATAATCGATCAATATAGGTAGTAATATATCTAAATTTAAATTTGGGTTTGACAGTTTTTGAGATGAAAGGTGATGATATTGCATTTCAGGGAAACAGATATAATTAAACTGATCTTCTTTTCTCATAATGCAAGGTTTGTATATTGTATATGTTTTTTATCAATAAATAAAGTCTTGTGACTTTCTTTTGGAGTTAAAATAAGTTGTTTTCTAAAACTTTACATACACTTTGTCTCCGCTGGTTATTGAATTCACATGGAGGGCAATTTATGACGATAAACATTTTCTTTGTTACAGCAAAACCCTGGAGTGGAGCTTTACCGTCAGGTATAAGTTTATTTATAGTAGCTAATCTATTTCTGTTCTTTTTTTGCTATTTTTCTAAACGACACTTTTGGCAGACGTAATTTTTGCTTGAAAAAAGTCTTGTAAATGAAAACTCAAAAAGTTTGTAATTGTCATTGAAAAGTTTTTTCTCGATAACTTTTTTCTTGTATACCATGGATATTATAACCTTTAAAATATTTGCAGCTTACAATTCTATGACTTTGTTTCCTCTGTACATGTTTGGTGATAGAAATGCACTTTTTTGTTTTACCGTTTTTTTCATGGTTTGCTATCAACTCACTTGCTATTTACTACATTGCAATCAGCCTCATTTACTATCAGCCTCACTTCCTTATCCCCTCATTTGCTATCAATTCACTTGCTATCTGTTTCCTTGCTCTTGGCCTCACTTGCACTTAGGCTTTACTTGCTCTCGCCACACTTGCTATCCAGACTCTTTTGCTATCAGGTCAATTTGCTATCAGGCTATCAAAACTATCCAAAACTTAGTTACTATCAAAATACGTTGCTATAAAAATTAGTTGTTTCCTAAATAATTTGCTGTCAAAACCAGTTCTTATTGCAATCATAAACTTTTTGCTTCCTCAATAAGTTGCTATTAAAACAGTTCTTATTGCTATCAAAAACTTGTTGCTTCCTCAATAAGTTGCTATCAAAACCAGTCCTTACTTGTTATCAAAACCAGTCCTTAGTTGCTATCAAAACCAGTCCTTAGTTGCTATCAAAACCAGTCCTTAGTTGCTATCAAAACCAGTCCTTAGTTGCTATCAAAACCAGCCCTTAGTTGCTATCAAAAACTTGTTGCATTCTTAATAAGGTGCTATCAAAACATCTTCGTTGGATTCCTTTTGTAGAAGAGCTACGCGCTTTGCATCCGTTTCTGTATTTCTGGCACCTGTAGGTGGCCTGTGCATTGTATACCTTGTCTTTGTAGTGGAAATACAGGCAGTTATTAATATTTATCAGAAGGTTGATACCTATACTTGAGGCAACAAACTGACCTGGTTCCATGTCCACGCAAAGCTTTCCAGAGAATGAAGATTTCCAAATTTTTCCATTTTTTTGTCGATTTTTAGGAGAAAAAATGGTAAAAATAGGGATTGGGAGGAAGTTCTAAATTTGATAGCAAAATTGTTGATTGCGTCTGAGGATTGATAGCAAATTGGCCTGATAGCAAGTGAAGCCGGATAGTAAATGAGGCTTGATAGCAAATGAATGTGATTGCAACTGAGTTGATAGTAAATGAGTTTGTTAGCAAATGTTTGGATAGCAAGTGAGGCTGATAGCAACTGATTTTGATTGCATGTGAGTTGATAGCAATTGTGAGTTAATAGCAAATGATCGTGCTCCATTGTATTAGGGCAATTGGAAGAAAAGACTTACCACAGAGATTTGGATCTCATCCGGAATATTTCCCAGGTCAAGATCATAAATATAAAACCGTTAAACAAATATTAACAGGCCTCGATGAAGCTTGTAAATGCTTCTTGAATGTCAGACATATTCCTGTGTGTATTATAAAAAACTTTCGATGTAAAACTACGCTGGTTTCTCTGTTTTATTGACAAATTTCAAAACTTTTGGATAAATCAAAATGTTACTGAGGCAACCGACTAGCTACAACAATTACTGGGATCATGTGAGTTGCCACAGAAAGTTTAGGCCTGATCGGTTTAGCCGTTTTAATGTTTATTGAATACAAACCTAAAGAAAACCCAACAGACATTCAAATATATCATATAAAGAGTTTCATTCACTCTTATAAAATTCACCAACCATGTTTTTAGGAAGAAAAGAAAAGATCTGAATTCATATTTCGATTGAAAGAGAAAAAAGAGTATGACAGTGGATAAACTTGTTGTTTAGGACGAGTGGGAGCTGTTGTTGAAGGAACTTATTGTGAAACCGTGTTCCAGGATTGCAGGGAACAGTCTTGTTTTGTTCAGAGTCCAGGCTTCCCTGGAGTATATCCTAGAGGGATATCCTGCAGGTAAACCAGAATATATTCTAGATATCCTGCAGGTAAACAGAGTATATCCTAAAGGGATATCCTGCAGGTAAACCAGAATATATCCTAGAGGGATATCCTGCAGGTAAACCAGAATATATCCTAGAGGGATATCCTGCAGGTAAAACAATGTATATCCTAGAGATATCCTGCAGGTAAACCAGAATATATTCTAGATATCCTGCAGGTAAACCAGAATATATTCTAGATATCCTGCAGGTAAACCAGAGTATATCCTAGAGGGATATCCCGCAGGTAGACCAGAATATATTCTAGATATCCTGCAGGTAAACAGAGTATATCCTAAAGGGATATCCTGCAGGTAAAACAAAGTATATCCTAGAGGGATATCCTGCAAGTAGACCAGAATATATCCTAGAGGGATATCCTGCAGGTAAAACAAAGTGTATCCTAGAGGGATATCCTGCAGGTAAACCAGAATATATCCTGGATATCCTGCAGGTAAACCAGAGTTTAACCTAGATATCCTTCAGGTAATCCAGAGTATATCCTAGATGTCCTGCAGGTAAAAAAAAGTATATCCTAGAAATCCTACAGGTAAACCAGAGTATATCCTAGAAATCCTACTGGCAAACCAGAATATATCCTAGAGGGATATCCTGCAGGTAAAACAAAGTATATCCTAGTTATCCTGCAGGTAAAACAAAGTATATCCTAGATATCCTGCAGGTAGACAAGGAAAGGAAAGCTAATACTATAAGTATCTCTGTATCTAGGTATGTTTTATGGGAAAGCTAGAACTAAAAGTATCTCTGTATCTAGGTATTATACATATGAAAGCTAAAGCTAAAAATATCTTTGTATCTAGATGATATATTTAGGAAAGCTAGAACTAAAAATATCTCTGTACCTAGGTAATATATATAGGAAAGCTAGAACTAAAAGTATCTCTGTATCTAGGTATTATATATAGGAAAGCTAGAACTAAAAGTATCTCGGTATCTAGGTACTATATATAGGAAAGCTAAAACTAAATGTATCTCTGTATCTAGGTATTATATATAGGAAAGCTAGAACTAAAAGTATCTCTGTATTTAGGTACTATATATAGGAAAGCTAGAACTAAAAGTATCCCTGTATCTAGGTATTATATATAGGAAAGCTAGAACTAAAAGTATCCCTGTATCTAGGTATTATATATAGGAAAGCTAGAACTAAAAGTATCTCTGTATATAGGTACTATATATAGGAAACCTGGAACTAAAAGTATCCCTGTAACTAGGTATTATATATAGGAAACCTGGAACTAGAAGTATCCCTGTATCTAGGTATTATATATAGGAAAGCTAGAACTAAAAGTATCCCTGTATCTAGGTATTATATATAGGAAAGCTAGAACTAAAAGTTTCCCTATAAATAGGTATTATATATAGGAAAGCTAGAACTAAAAGTATCTCTGTATCTAGGTTTTATATATAGGAAAGCTAGAACTAAAAATATCTCTGTATCTAGGTATTATATATCCACCAAATCAGCTCTAATCAGGATGTATATAGACGGAGTGTTCTGGGATGCTTTTAATGTAGATTCCAGGTATTTATTTTACCAGGGTTTAAACATCTAATATTAAATATTAAACAGAGAGAGTAGTATAGGGTTTTACTGTTTTTAAATATAAAGGTTTTCTTTTAGACGATGTGAGAACTTTATAGAGTGCGACATCAGGTAAAATATTTGAAAAACAGTAATTTCTTCAAATAAAATACTCTTACTAGAAAGCAACTGCAGTGTTTAAATCGCTTCCAGGCTAAATGTAAATAAATTGTCAAATGTACAGTTTGACTATGGTGAACAGAAACGTTTTTTTTGTTTTCTATAAAAGTGATTCTTTACTCACTGAAATTATGTTTTTACTCATCAATAAAGATTATTTTGACAGAAAAATGTGTTGATTAAAATCATAACGAAAAAGCTCACCTACTTACTTTAGTTGACATTTAAACGACATGAATAGTATAATACTCGACTACAATTAACTCTTTAATTTAGTAAATAACATTAACAATTCTTAGACAGCTGGGAGCAGATTGTCCATACGACTATGTCAGGTATTAAGAGTAGTTATCTATATATAATTTAGTATTTACGACGGATTGGACAATGTTGACAAAATGTGTTTACGATGGAATAACGAATATTGATATTTAGTATACACGACGGAATGGAAAAAATATTGATATTTAGTATTTACGACGGAATGGAAAAAATATTGATATTTAGTATTTACGACGGAATGGAAAAATATTGATATTTAGTATTTACGACGGAATGGACAAATATTGATTTTTAGTATTTACGACGGAATGGAAAAATTATTGATATTTAGTATTTACGACGGAATGGACGAATATTCACCTTTAATTGGCAAATTTTGTGGAACTGGCTACTTTCCTCAGTCTATTGTAGGGAAGTTTTTTCGAAATCAAATTTTTGCATTATGTATTGTCTAGAATTATTTTTTATTCTAAATTGTATTGGTTAATTTATAAATTGTATATCTTACGACGCAAGCCTTTGATATTTCAAACTTAAGACTCTTTAATCAAACAGAATCCATGGTTTAAAATATTAAATATCTTTGACATTGGGTTGCAAAGATATAACATAAAATATAAGAGTTTGGGCAAGAATTAAGTAAAGCAATTTTTTGCCACAAACTCTGATTTTCTAATCCCTATTAGAATTTCGAACCAAAAATTCTGTTAAATCAAATTGTCTGAGTTAAAAATATCAAAGGTTTATACCATCAGGTTACACAGATTTAGAGAAATAAAAACTTGAGTTTAAGTTCTTTTTCTTTGATTTAAATTCAAATCAAGAATGATAAATACTAAGGCATTTAAATTATTTAACTATTTGAGAATGTGTTTTATGGTTATTTCACAAGTTATTAAATAAAATAAAAATATTTGGAATAAACTTCAAGAATTTAGGAACCACAAACAGATTGTTTATAGAGTTCGTTACTTCAAGGAAATCATCATGAACAAAATAATCTAATTGTGTATAATTAGAATAAAATAATTTGTATTTCACAACTTGCAGAAGCTCAAATTTTCTTTAACAAATGAAGAACTGAGTTCTTGCAACAAATTCAAATGTTCTAATCCCTATTTCATTGTAATATTAGGAACTTAGAAACATAATTTATTATTTATAATATCAAAAACGTCTACACGACATCCGGTTGCAAGCTAAAGGGAATAGTGGCAAGAACTCAGTACTTAAAAAAAACTATGTCAATTCTTTTAATGAATCAAAATATCAAATTAAGAAACTTTTTTTGCTTTTATTAAAAAATATTGAAACCTAAATCCTCAGAAATTTACAGTTTTTTTTAAGACCTTCTAATTAAATATGCAATATATACATATATTTATGTAATTGAACCGAGTAGAGCTGGGCCTCTGATGAACACCGGATTTGATTTTAAGATTACCAGCTCACCCTCTACAGGTTGAAATTATGATTTTTATCATTATTTATATTATCATTATCATTATTTGCTAGGTATGTCTACCAACCTCCTCCTGCAGATGATCTTGGTGATCTCCAGCAGCTTTGGTCTACTATATTATTATTATTATTATTAGTATTATTATTATTATTGTTATTATTACTACTATTATCATTATATCATTTTTACTACTAATAAATGCAGTATATTTTCAGGGTTACCTTTAATAAACAGCAGTTATTTGGAAATACAAAGCATTCAACTCAATGGAAAGGTATTTTTCAATATTACAGTTATCTATTCTCTTATTTTTGATCTAAAAAGAATAAAATTCCTATAAACAAATTCAGTAGCTTTTCAGAAACCACTCTTTTCACTTCGGATTTATGAGAGGGAGATTTAGCTGATTCTGTCTGAAAAAGAGCAACCTTCGAATATATATAATTTAGAGTTTCCTAGTTTTCGTTCCAATTTTTTCGTGAGATTCGCAAAATTCGTTTTAATTTTCGTATTGAAGTCAAAGTCGACAACTAAATTTGCTAATTTTAACACATAGCAGTCGTTGCAGAAATATTTAAATAGAATTTAACTCTCAGAAAATTATTTGCCAAAGATTCACATCAAACATGATACTCTGTCGTTTTTATGTCGTCAGTTCAGTTAAACACCCTATAATACAGGGTGTTCCAATAAACACGGGGATTAAGAGACGACGCGATATCGTCTTTGATCTCCAATAATTAATATATAATATAATAAATTGCATCAAAAAGAGACTGAAAGTCTAATGAGCTTTGCCAAATCTTTAAAATTGACACTGGGTTTGCAGAACTTTAGATTTGCTTTATTTGATGGTGAGATATATCCTCTTGAGCCGATTTCAAAAGGGTGAACAGACACATCCCTACTGTTTTTTTTTATCTGTGATAAAATGTTTATCTTTTGAGTGTTGGCATTTTTGATATTTGTTTCCAATGGGACAGTAAGCTCAAAAATATCCATCTATTTCGCCATTTTATCGATAAATACTAGATCTGGTTTCAGTGCGGTCACAAGTAGGTTGGGGGAACAGTACCTCCCTAACCTGACCTAACCTTTAACAGTATAATCCAAAGAAATAGGAGAGGACTGATCAGAGTTTTTTTTTTACATATTTGTTCGTTCTTTACAATAATTCATGTTCAATTTATTCTTTCCAAGTCACCATTTTATTTTACATGGGTCCATACAGATTTTACACAAAATGTTTTTTACAAAATTATAAAAAATTTCACCTATTTTTAGGATGAGGGAACGATTTTATCATTGGAACACTGGTATAAACCAGGAACTAACTGTTCCACACTTTTAAAAGGAACAAGTACTCAAGGTATCTAATATTTCTGGAACTTTGTTCTAAATACTGGAACTTACACCTCAATTCCTGAAATACTGGTATAAAACCAAGAACTAGCTGTTTCACATTTCTAAAAGAAACAACAGCTCAAGGTATCTAATATTTCTTGAACTTTGTTAAAAAAAACCCTTTCAAACTCCAAAAGGGAACAAATACTCAAGGTATCTAATATTTCTGAAATTTTGTTAAAAAAATCCGGAACTAACTGTTCTACACTCCTTAAAGGAGTAAGAGCTCAAGTTAGCACTGGTATGAAACCAGAACTGAACTGTTGCCTTTACCCACAAATCCCCATATATATCTATACGTTATAGACCTTATAACTTTAAAACTAGAAATATATTAATTTTTAATTTATGAATTTTTAGTTGTCAGACTTTACTTTGAGAAGATGAAAATAGTGGAGAAGGATTCTATACAAAGGTCGGTGATCAATGAACATATATCATACCGAATATTACATTAATGCACGGAAAACTAAAGTAAAATTTATGTTGGATTGAAATGTTTTCAATAACAACCTCTCTTATCGTAGTGCTGTTGAGAAGCACATAATAAATATTTTATTGTTTCTCTTCTCATATCAAATAGAGAAGCTACGAGGTCTAAAAGTACAAGTAAAGTAGAATAAATTTAACTATCTCCTTTAGCCTAGTTCAGAGTGAATTAGAATATTCAGAATACCATTTACTGATATTTATCACGAACAATCTAAAAGTGATGTTCTGGATCAAATGATTTGAGGATAATAAAGAAATGAAAACAGCTGAAAAAATTATTTAAAAATAGAATTTTCATGTTCAGGAGCTAATAAATCAAATTATTCAAGAGTTCTAGCTAAAGAGAATATAAAGCGGAAAGAAGATGATTGAGGTCGATTTTTAAAAAATTTTATGATCTCAATTGCTTTAACCGGATTTAAATGGAGCATACACATCTAAATAACTTTGATCCAAATAAATACTTTGAGAAATATATTTCTAACATCTATATAAAAAGGAATTTTAGAGGAAAATAAGTGCGCTCAAAGCCACTCAATATCATTCGCTTTATGTTTTGCGAAAATTACCAATTATTTGATCCCAAGCCCAAAAATGGGCACTAAATTTTAATAATTTTTCAATCCACAGGACAAAAGGAGAGGGTCAAATGTATTCGAATGACATTGTGACCTCGTAGCTCCTCTAGTTTTGATTTCACACACAAGTATGAGAAAAGCAAATTTATTTGGAATCGGATACTAAGAAGAAATTTAAATCATTGCTTTGCTTCTCTAAATGATGCCTTAATATCAAATATAATAAAATAAAAAGACAGTGTTCTTACTACATACTAGCAAAATTAAAGCATAAAATCAGCTTGACTAGAATTTAGAGATGAAATATCCGAAATGTTATTCATTAAAAAAGAATGCACTTCTAACTTATATAAAAGTAAATTGTTTAAAGCAAGAATGGATCATGTGAGGAGTATCTAGCCCTTTATGATGCTTCCTGGCCGGATCCCACCAGGGTTTTAAAGGTATTCAGAAACTCTTAAAAAGTTAAAAAATATTCTTAGACAGTGCATTTTTTATTAGGTTTTTTGCGATGGAGTTCCTCAATCAAATAAAAAGGTAATATTACAAACTAATACTTCACACTACACACTACACACTACACCTACACGCTGCACACTACACACTATAACACACTACACACTACCAAAGAGAATAGAATATATATTAGAGGGGATTTTATAGGATCCTTCGGTATGAATTTTGTCAGTCCCTTTCAGCCTGAAAGGTAGTTCAAAATGTACAAATCATGTAAATGTTCACAAATAATATGCAGTAGAGTACACTAATACAGTATGTTCCCTAGACTATTCATTTCAATTTCGAATTTTTAAAGCTGTTAAATAAACTTTATAATAATTTATGTGAATAAAAGACATCATTTGATTTATAGTTATAACATAACGGAAAATCATCGTTTGTAAAGTGAAAGGCATAGAGTCTAAGTGAAATGATCATTGGTCAATTATGAAACCAGCCTATTTTATAGTTTGGTTTTCTTTTGATATTCATTTTAGATTTTCTATAAAATGATGTTCTAGGGCCCAAAAGGTTATATAGCATAAATATGTGAAGTACACCTGCAGTATGTAAACAGTACAACAAAATGGCCGTTTTACACTTTTTTCTAGTAAATTCACCTCTAATATATATTCTATTCTCTTTGCACAGTACACACTACACACTACACACTACACACTACAAACTACACACTACACACTACACACTATACACTACACACTACACACTATACACTACACACTACACACTACACACTACACACCTACTGTTTCAGAAGAACTATATATCTACTGGACCAACTATGTTTGTGAATTTTGTATCTCATCTTGGTAGTTATTCAGGTACAAAATAAAAACCTTTATCTAAATAATGTAAACAAAAAACAATAAGGAATTCATCTGGCCAATTTTCTTCCTTGCTTGATCTGCTGAAATCCAGGAATCGATAGAGAATTTAAGTTATTTCAAAATTATAATTTCCTGTGTATATTATATTAAAATTGGTAATTTTGATTAATAGTGTAACTTTCAATCAATCTATTGACAGACTTACTTTCATGCAAATTTCATAATAACTGAATATGGTAATGTGTTTGTATAGAAGAGTGTATTAAGCATAGTTTACAGAACACACTAGGAGTTAGAGTGGTCTGGATATATCTGTTTACTCTGAACTATCAAGTTTTCATGTTTTCAGATATTATGTTTTCGTGTTTAATACTATTTTCTTACTTTCTTCACTAACAAGAAGATATTATGGACGTAATTAGCAAAAGAGGGGATTGTACGACATACGTTCCAATGTTCAAAGTGTACTATATTACCATTTATAACCATTTATCATGCATCACACCTGTCTCAAACTGTTTTCAAGCTAGTTTTTATTTCCACTTTTTTCCTAAATTTATTTTTACTTTAACCAAAAATTAAGATTTAAAAATTGAGAGTATTTACTGAGATGTTTTTTTTCAGGGTAAAAATATAACATTTTAAATAGATGCCCTTGTTGGTAATTCCAGGAATATAGGTTTTAAGTTGAACACAAGTTTTAAATTGAACCTAACTCTCTCCATTGGAAAGTTTGAACCCAACAAACATTTTTGAAACATTCCAGGAACTGTGTGTAGAGATGAAATTAAATAAAAAATGTTTTAATTATAGCAAAACAAGAATAACTCCACTCTATCATAGCATATCTGATTATTTTCAATGATTTTTGTTGGTAAAATGATAATAAATCTAAAATTCTATATTTCATTCTTAAGATTTTATTTCTAAAAATTATTCAATATTTTTTGTTACATGTTTGCAAATATCTTGTATAGAACTTTCTTTTAATATTAAAATGATGTTATTAGGTAGTTCAATATATTACTGGGGTGTTTAATATTAAAATAATGTTATTAGGTAGTTCAATATATTACTGGGGTGTTTAATATTAAAATAATGTTATTAGGTAGTTCAATATATTACTGGGGTGTTTTCGATTTTCATGACACAGAGACAAATGGCGAAAAGGTAAAACAAATTGTTCATGAGAATATAAATAAATGATAAAGTAAAGCTATGGCTAATTATTGAAGTTTTTAAGTTAAAAATCCTGCCTGATCATTATATAAACTAGAAAACAATCACAAAAGATCAAATTAAAGTCAAGCAGAAAGTTGGTTTAAGACTCTGTTAATAGAAAGACTAACTGAGTCTTTCATTTCCGATTTTTTATCAAAGTCTGAAAAAATTAGTTTTACTTATAGTCTGCTATTGCTATTATATAAGTACGTTCTCAGTCCCGCAGAGAAACTTATGGTAGAAATTTTAAAAAAATGATTCAAAGAAATTGAGTCTTTGTAACAAACTCTGATTTTCTAATACTTAGACTTTTTCCACCTGATGGTGTAAACTTGGATTTTTTCATGTAACAGAATTCATAGTTTGAAATATCCAAGGTTTGATTACAGAGATATAGAGATTAGAAAATCATAGTTTGTGACAAAGACTCAATTCCTTTATTGATTTATCCTTTCCATTCTTTTAATATTATTGAACACTTCTTTTAAGAGTTGTAATAATTAATCAATGAATGATTTCTTTTCTCCTGCCTTTAAACTTTAAATCAAATTTTTATTATTTGTTTAAGCTATTTTTTACATTTTTTGATTTCTCTTTTAATATTTTTATCCGTAGGTTCTTAACTCTAGATGTGATGAAGATTTTACCTCAAACTCTGGAACAATAAGGCAACACAATCTATTAAATAGTTTGTTTATCAATTTTTTATTGTTAACATTTCCCTTTTCTATGTTTTCCATCCTCCATTTAAACTTGTTTCCATTATCTTTTTTATTCTTTTTATCATTTTCTCCTTCCTTGTAATGTCCATGTTTTCCCTCGTCCTCTTTATGAGTGCATTCTTAAAATATTATAATATATAAACTATATACAAATGTGGCGAAAGATAATCTATGACTATAAGTTGTAATATCTGAATGATTTGTTTGAAATTAAATTGATTTTTTGCGGTCTAAGTCGTATGTTGCAATTTTCTCAATTTGTATGGATGCTTAGTTATTCGGTATGAAACGTCTTTAACAATTTTCTCCTTATAGACGCAACAGATAGAGTAAGATTAGTAGCGATCAAAAGCGCTTTTTTATCGCATTAAGCCTATACCCCTTTAATTTTTCGCGAATACTCCCTTTAATATTCACTCGAGTTTTTTAGATATAGTCCCTTTTAACCTTAAAAGCCGTTAGCCTTTTAAGTATAATAGCACCTTTTTCTCTTGTCGTCTTTAGTTCTGGCTTTTGGAATATAGCCCATTAAATCTGAATATAGTACAATTTTTTTAATATAACCCAATCATACTCTTTTCCTGTTAGCCCCACACATTACTAAAAATAGATCAGCCTGCTTTTTTGCTTTTGTCATATGTTTATCACATTCCATTCATTAACCAAGTATTGTGTTGTATGCTAGATCGCCTATAAATTCTCTACTCTTTTTGAATCCAAGAACGGTAATACAGATAAATATAATATAATACTTAAGTGCCCGGCGCTGTCCGTTAAATTTTGAAAGTACTTAGGAAAACTAAACTTCGAATTTTGAAAAAATCGTTTTTTTAGCCCAGGATAAACATAGGTTCCATCAAAACAAATCAACTTTAGCCAACATATAAATACATATATTTATATATATGAGCGAAGAACTTGTTTCATATAAAAAAATTCAAAGAAAACTAAGTGGAATGCTAAAATCTTCTATGTGTCGGATTATTGGGTTAAGTTCTTAATCATTTTAAATTTAAAGTTTTGGTTGTATACATTAATTCAACCTCTGATCATTGTTTCAACTTTAAAGTGATTTCAATTATTCGTATCCGAAAACTCCGCCAGGAAATAATCAAGAAAGTTAAATTAGACCGACATGGGAGGGACGGGAAATCGACTATGCGAAGGGTAGTTTAAATTGCACCCAGCGATCGACGCGCGGGTTTCCCAACACTCTAGCACCCTCTTGAAGCGATCCGAATGGCAAGCACATTTTTGGAACAGCAGAGAGCCTGCCTATACACACATTTTCACAAGATTTTTGGAACAGCAGAGAGCCTGCCTTTACGCAAATTTTCACAAGATTTTTGCAACAGCAGAGAGCCTGCCTATACGCACATTTTCACAAGATTTTTGCCCCCCGTGACTGCAACATATTGCGTGTTTTGAAAATCCGAAGATAATTGCTAGCCAGGCCTACACACTTGAACCAGTCCCATGGCTAGCTTGTATATTAAAATACAAAAGTTTTGACCCAAGGTTTAACTTGTGCTGGAAACAATTCCGGTAATGTTTTTACTCCAGGATGTGAAGTGTAAGTATCGGATTCGAGGGAACCCGACCCAATACAGGAGAATATCTCTTCTCCTGGAATATACAAAGTTTCCATCAACTAGCAAGGAATATCTTGGAAATTTATTGAGCAAAGGGCACACGTGTTTTATCAGATTAAAAACTAGAAAAGAAAATAATTTTATGGAAAATAACAATTTATGCTAGAATTCAAATTCCACTACAGTAAGTGCTGCTGAAAAAATGTAAAATGACGTTATCTATTGTATGCTTTTTTTTTGCGGTGCATACTAAATCTTTTAATATCTTTCAAGCTACGTGTTACAGACGTGTCACAGCTGTACAGATAAAAATGTAGACCATTTAGAAGTTTTAGGTAAGACCGAGTCACCGATATGAGTTTTTGGATAATAAGTACTAAGTTCCGGTTTTCCCCTGTTTGAACATTTTTAGTCCCTTTAAAAGCCTGAAAATCTTGAAAATGGCTTGATAATGATAATACCTAAAATTTGAGTTGGGCAACGTTTTGACGTAAACATTTAAGGATAAAACTTGACGTAAAGTTTACTTTGAATTAATGTGATACGTAATCATGAGGCGAAGGAGATGTTAGTTCATTCTGTTATTCTTCCTGCTCTAACCTGAACCAGTCCCTGGAGATAATCTCTGCTAGCTCAAGGTATCATTAAAATCTAAACAAGAGCTGTTCTTCCCTATAATTTTCTGGGGATCAAGCATAGATCGCCATCATATAAGCCGGATTAATTTGATTTCTCTTCGATATCCCGTTGCAAGCTCATACCTTGCAGGGAATGATATCAATAGTCATTTTTCCTCCGATTTAAAAGTATCCAATTTGGATATTAAGATAAAGCCTTAAAAGATTAACACTACTTCACACAAAAGTTCAGATCTAAGATTGGAAGCCCAGTAAATAATAATAAGAAAAAATATTTGGTTTATGCCAAAGAAATACTGATGGATTTTCCTTGTATGTTGATTGTAGTGTGTTTATAGAATAGTTGCTGCTACTCTCAAACAATTAAACAATGAATAGAGTCAGGCTCTTATTGTATCATACTTAACAAAAACATTTATACAGCATATTTGCGTAGCGTACATCTTTACGCCCATTTTCACATTTGTTTAGAATATTCCAAAAATAATATATCAGTTTAACCTATAAAAACATAAATATATTGACATTGATTTTAACTAATTGTTTAGTTTTCCTAGAGCCCCTTTACTGACCCTAATCTTTAAGTGTGCTAACAAGGAATTCCGTTGTTAAGAATTGTAAGAAATTATATGGCTTATAATTGCGCGCGCGCAAGTACAACCAGCTTGCGTTGGAAACCTTAGTGCTAACTTATGATTTCCTTTTCGCAGCAACAAAATATAAATGATTTTATGTCTTCTTTCTATTCAACGTCATTCTGCGACTATTTGTTTATTTACCTTTCATTTAGTCTATCTCTTCTACTGTTCATTTCCAAAGCAACATCAACTGGAAACTACTTTAAGAAGAAACCAGCAATTTTTCAGGTTCTTTTCATTTTAATAAATTACTCCATTAACATTATTAAACCAAGTTTCAGTTGGTTTTGATGAGATTAAGCTTATTCAAACTTACCTGAGCTCATTTAATGGACTGTAGACGTAATTCCAATTGGTCCTCCCTTCATGCCCGATCTACAGTGATACATTTCAAATCTATTTTTAACATATCATTTAATTCTTTCTGAAACTACATCGACAGTTTCTTAAAGTTCGTTGCAGTTAATTTTAGTGAACGCTAGATTTTTTTTCCATGGAAAACGTCAACTTTCAGGCCCATTTTTCCTTTCTCCATCACGCGGTATGCGGACCAACAGTTATTAAAGCTGATCAATCAGGTTACTTTCTAATAAAGTATTTTATGAAATTTTCATGGGGAAATTTTTTATATTTTTGAAACACGTGAGTTGGCCGAGACTGAAAAGATATTTTGATTGATTTCGGAGAGCAAATGCAATTTTCCATCTATTCTTAAAACTAAAATCAGAGGAACTAAAAAATTGTCCCTCTCTAATTCCACCCCTCAGGTGCCCCTTCTCTATAGCTACCCCGTAAGCCTCCTCTGAATATTTACAAAATGAAGTAATTTTTGTTCTAATTTTGTACTTAAAGGTCTTAAGATGAGATTTCTTTTTCAGAATTAACTACTTAAGAATTCCTCGCTTACTTTCACTTTTAAATTTTGATAATAATTTCATGTCGTTTATTCAAGATTTTTAATGCAAAAATGTTGGTAGATTTAAAAATACTATCGCTGTAATCTTTATGTGTTTCAGAATTTTCTTTTATTCAATATTGGCATCGTAAAATACATACTAATTTACTGTAAATTGGTTCAAATACAAAGCTTTGAAATGGGCGTTCTTTAAGAATTATAGTAAACAGTCCCTTATCAATAATAAAGAACCAATCTTCTAGCTTATATTTTAGGTTTCATTAAGTTTCCAGATGTAACAAAACAAAGGTTTCCAGACGAGAATGTTTACTGTATCTGGGATCTAGGCAAAACACTAAATATGTATCTAATTTCATGATGTTATTTTTCCCCCTTTTTTGATTGAAAAAAAGAATCATTGTTAGGTTTAAGATAACAACAGAAAATGTATATATTTTATATTAAAAATAAATCAAAGAAGTAATATTTTTAAAATTAGTAAAAAATGTAAAGTTCAATATTTCAAAATTGTTTAATCCGAAACTCTGTTTTATTTCTCATTATTATTTTCGATGAAAGGAGATTATATTTTGTTTATTTAGTTACTGTACCGCTGAGAAATATACAGTTTCAGGTGCAGTATACCATCACAAAATCAAATATTCAAATTCAATATTCAAACTCAAACCATTTTTCATATTATTTTCTAAACACACTTCGAACAGAAATTTAACACACGAAGGTTCAAATAATTGAAACCTTCATTTGTAATTTTACTCAACACTATTTTATACTGTTCTTATAGGAACTCAACATTAAAACTTATTGCTCGTGACCCTATTTTTCTTGGAATCTGAAAAGGTTTGCGTGAAAAATTACAAAAAACACCGAAAATGCTTGTCAGGTCCAACTCAACCTTTTTTAATGTTTTGAATCTAAAAAATAATAAATCATGTTTAACTTAATTTAACATTTTATCTTTGCATACATTGTAAAAAAAGTTCACGGATTTCAAAAAAAGATTTCTTGGGTTTTCAAAATTTAATGAAAATCGTATTTTGCTCGATGCTGATTGTTACTCTGTGTAAGATATATTGTATATAAACTCTGTATGAAATATATCGTATAAAAACTCTGTATGAAATATATCGTATATAAACTCTGCAAGAAATATATCGTATATAAACTCTATGAAATATATCGTATATAAACTCTGTAAGAAATATATCGTATATAGTTACTGTATGAAATATATCGTATATAAACTCTGTAAGAAATATATCGTATATAGTTACTGGATGAAATATATCGTATATAGTTACTGTAAGAAATATATCGTATATAGTTACTGGATGAAATATATAAACCCCTGTTCTAGTTTGGGAACCTGACGTTCATATCCGAGTCCTGCCAAAAACATTCTATTCTTCTCAGGAAATATATCTAACAATAAATATTTTAGAGTAATTTGTTGTTTCAAAGTAATCGATCTAGCTGCACGACCAATTAAAGTTCGAATCGCATGCATGCTAAGATATGATTTATAAAAGGTCGGAATTGTTATAAAAGATCATGAACTAAAATCAACCAAAACGGCCGAAAATTAAAAGAGTTTTTTAATAAAAGACTAACCATAGAGAATAGAATATATAGAGAGGAATTTACTGGGAAAAAGTGTAAAACAGCCATTTTGTTGTACTGTTTCCATACTGCAGGTGTACTTCACATATTTAGGCTATATAATCTGTTGGGCCCTGGAATATCATAACATAGAAAATCTAAAATTATTGTTAAGAGAAAACCAAATCATGAAATAGGCTGGTTTCATAATTGACCAATGACCATTTCACATAGACTCTATGCTTTCCACTTTACAATCGATGATTTTCCGTTTTAACTATAAATCAAATGATGTTTTTATTCAACTAATTCATTATAAAGTTTATTTAACAGTTTAAAAAATTCGAAATTGAAATGAATAGTCTAGGGAACATACTGTATTAATGTACTCTACTGCATATAATTTGTGAACATTTACATGATTTGTACACTTTGAACTCCCTTTCAGGCTGAAAGGGACTGAAAAAATGCATACCGAGAGATTCTTTTAATTCCTCTCTATATATTCTATTCTCTATGAGACTAACTAAGAATGTGTATAAACTTATTAAAATTTATTTTCTAGATTTTAAAGAAACAATATTTATTATTCATTGATTTGTAAAGGTTTATTTTTCCAGTTCGCTGAAACATGATGATTATCACAAGGAGTGCGGTCAATCCAGGGGGTCAAGCAAAACAGTCAATATACCTGGTAATATATTAATAAGAAATCAATTAAATACGAGGTGTGATCAATAAAATTCGCAAACATTCTGAAGGGTACTTCTAGAACTCTCAGCTCTACATATTTTTTAAAGTTCACTACATCTATACCGAATTTATTTTTGACCAGGTTGACGTCAAGCAGATTGTTGTTGTGATGTAAAACGCGTTTTTCTTAAGGGAGATTAGCTTCGTTGTCACAGCATAGAAGTATCTAGAGAAAGGGGACACTTTGGAGGCTCGGTTACCAAAAAATGCTTTCATAAGACGATGGCAAAACCAAGCAGAACCCTTAAACATGAAGACCCTAAAAATGATCAAAAATATTGAAAATTGTTCAAGCCATATTTATGATACAAGGCTTTTAGGGCGCTTCGCACCCATCCTCTTTTTCAACTTTTAATAGTGTATATATCTGTGAGCATCTTCTCTTTGTAAGAGTATAAAACAAAAACAAAAAATGTAACCTTCGCTGAGGTCACGTTAGGTCCCACACAAAACTTGGTCTCGATCGGTTCAGCCGTTTTGACGTTTATTGGATATAAACAAACAAACAAACAAAGAAACGAACACCCAGACAAGCAAAATATATATATATAGATATGCTTTTACATCGTATGTAATGTTGTAAAGCAAGATCCATAGGTTAAATTTGTCTATGACATAAGACCAAAGGTATTACATTGATTATGTACCTTGAATATAAATCAAAACCAGAAAAAAACCTCAAAAGTCCTTCATACATTTAACATGCAAAATCTTCTTTCTTTTGACTCTTGAAGGGTCTAAAACAGACTATAATGGATCAAGTTTGAGACATCAACTGATCTAAAAATGATCCGGCATAAATATAGTGAACTTTCAAAAAAGTACGTCTAATTTGTTTAGATCAACGTATTGATCACAGCTAGCTCGTACCTGATTACTTAAAATAAGTAATCTATAAATATACCTGATAAAATAATATTAGTTTATTATAATGAGAAATCTATGAATATACTTGATAACATATTAGTTTATTTTAATAAGTAATCTATTAATATACCTGAGCTGAAAACTTTAGAATGGGATATCCTTAATCCTGATCGGATAATTAATCTGGAGATTAAAAATGAGAGGAGAACAAGCAATATTTATTCTCGAGATTAAGAAAAAGAGTGGATTAAGCATTAATCCCGATATCCACAATTCTAAAGTTTTCAGCTCTGATAACATAATATAAGTTTATTATAATGAGTAATATATCAATATAATTGATAACATTATAGAGGACGTGAGTCAGACTCTAATAAAACGCATAAATAACTTCCAGTATATATATTTCTTATAACTTATTACTAGAGGGTTCAGAACTAGAGTCAATATCGATATTGCACATGTAGACTGTAGAGATGATATCAGTACTTATGCCCCGTATCCGTTCTATCTCATTCTGTTGAATCTTGTGGAACTAGTTTAACGCGGCCAGGCATCGTCTTCCACAACATATTAGTTTATTATAATAAGTAATCTATTAGTTTATTATAATGAGTAATATATGAATATAATTGATAACATATAAGTTCATTATTATAAGTAATCTATTATTATCAAAATAACAGGGATTAGCGTTTTTAAGTCTCAATAATATTTTAAAATGACTCGGCAAAGTGGTCTAGTATGTGTATAGCTTTTAATTTTAATTGGTTCATTTAAGTAACATTTTGTAGCTTGATGCTTCCGTTTAATTGGCATAAAATGTCAAATGTTTAAAAACCTCGCTGTTTACTTTGAACATTTTATTATTATGTTCAAATCTATACTGCAGAGAGAGAGAAAATATGCTTAGAAATTGTAATAATTAATACTTAATTAGATTATTTTGATATCTATATTTTAAATTTTTTCTTAAAGAGGCTCCAATTTGATTTCATGCAAATAATCACTTAGTTCTAAGGTATACTTAGGGTTTCAGAAAGCCCAAAAGAAAATTTTAAGGGTTTGGGTAAATGCAAGCGATTTTTTTTTGTTTCTTGAACAATATTGGTTAGCGTAAGATAACAGAGAGATTTTCTAATATTCAAAAGAGTTTTGCATCAAATGAACGATAAGACAATACAAACGTACGCAGTTTATATCCTTTTAGTGTAAAAGTTTGCTTTATTGCTTTTTTTTTCGTTTGTTTTAGGTTCGGAAAATGGTGGAACAGTGAAGTTAACTTTAAAAATGAAATCTCTAGACCTGGGACAGTTTCAGCTTCGTTGGAACTACTAATACTGTACACTATGTACACTGTACAGTACAGAATGCAGTACAGTAGTTTATCGGAACCACCGATAATGTACTGATAAGGACTGGAGAGTGGCATGTCCGATTCAAAATGGTACCCTAATTAAGAGACACTGAAATAAATTTTATGGAGGAAATTAACAGAATTAATCATTTTTAAAGATCAAAACACTGCGATATCTTTTACATTACTGACCTGATAAATGTTTAATGAGCATTGTTGTAAATCGGGTCACTTTAAATTACAATGATATCCCTTCAACGCTGAGCTTAAAACTACAATTTCCTACTAGTATTGAACAATACAGTATGCAACCCAAAAGTAGATTAAAACTACTATTTCCTACTAGTATTGAACAATACAGTATGCAACCCAAAAGTAGATTAAAACTACCATCTCCTACTAGTATTGAACAATACAATATGCAACCCAAAAGTAGATTAAAACTACCATCTCCTTCTAGTATTGAACAATACAGTATGCAACCCAAAAGAAGATTAAAACTACACAAATCTGTATATCTGTACAAAACCATTTAGTTTAAACGTTTTATTTATCTAATGTATTGATGTGTAGTAAAAATTTAAGAATGAAAAGAATTTTGGAATAATAGATTGTTTATATTAAAATACAAAGAATATGCAATAAAATCTATGAGTTCACATATTTATTAAAGTATGATAGATTATACATCTTCATGGCGGCGGGATTCAAACTGCTTACATTTTCAGATTAATCTTCTTTTCGAAATGTACAGAATAAAAATTTGAAATTTAAAAATTTCTCTTTCTTCCAAAATACATAACCAAACCTTCTCATTAGTAGTAGATGAATTAAATTAAGATACACCTACATTAAAAAAAGCATAACATTAAAAAACAACCCTGCCATCCAACAAAAATACGATACACTGTTAATATTTTGTTCTTGAATGTAAACCCCGACAAAAAAACTTTTTCAACCAAAATGTCAAGAAAGTTGGTATTTTTCAGGTTGAATAAAGAACAATCGCTACTGAGTTTTGTAACCCCATTTAGTCTGACTGGCTGCCAGGGGGGGGGGGGGTTCAAATTGACCCCCCTTTTTTTCTTATTGTGATACAAATCTATAACATTTGATGCGTTTTTGTGAAGCTCTTGGGCTCTACTTCAATAATCTGAAAAAAATGGCAAATTTGCAAAATTCCAAATATGTAGTGCAAAATTGCAACAAGTTATACATTTTTGAAAAGCCCTTGACCCAGCGAATTCAATCAAGGAGCTCAGCGACATTTAGGAATGAAAAAGGATGGAGAATGGAAATTATGAGGAAAGAGAATATAGAGGAAAGAGGATTGGAATAATGAAGAGGAAAAAGAATTGGGATAACTTGGGAATGACAAAAAAGATAGGGCATGGGAATGATGATGGAAGGATTGGCGGATTATTGGTAACTAACAATTTGGTAACCAACGATTTGGTAACCAACGATTTGGTAACCTGACAATTTGGTAACTTGACAATTTGGTAACCTGACAATTTGGTAACTTGAAAATTTTGTAACCTTTACAATTTGGTAACCCGACAATTTGGTACCTTGACAATTTGGTAACTTGAAAATTTTGTAACCTTTACAATTTGGTAACCTGACAATTTGGTAACCTGACAATTTGGTAACCTGACAATTTGGTAACTTGACAATTTGGTAACTTGACAATTTGGTAACCTGACAATTTGGTAACTTGACAATATGGTAAAATGACAATTTGGTAACCTGACAATTTGGTACCTTGACAATTTGGTAACTTGACATTTTGGTAACCTGACAATTTGGTAACCTGACAATTTGGTGACCTGACAATTTGGTAACTTGATAATTTGGTAACCTGACAATTTGGTAACCTGACAATTTGGTAACTTGACAATTTGGTAACTTGACAATTTGGTAACTTGACATTTTGTTAACTAACAATTTGTGTGATTGAAACTAATGTTTCAAAATCATTGTTTGCATATTTATTTGTTGAAAACATAGAGAGAAAAAACAATATACTGGATTTCTTAATAGTTTAGTATGACAAATCCGCTAAAACTGTTTGTAGACTTCACAATCTCTCATTTCAAAATGGCAGGGTACGAGTTTCTGCGAACATCGAGGGGAGGTGTAATGCTGCCGGATTCTCAACAATTAGATGAAAAAAATACACGCGTAAGAGATATAAAAAGGAGGACGAAGGATGTCCTCCTATAGTTCATCACTTAAAGGTTCCTTGTTCCTTTGAACACACTGGTATTCTTAATCATAATAATGTAGCGGATACCACCGTGGTCAAAGATGTTCTCAAAAATGCGGCTGCAAATTTTTAGGTTTCAAATTGTCAAGTTACCAAATTATTAGTTACCAAATTATTAGATACCAAATTGTCAAGTTACCAAATTGTCAAGTTACCATATTCTTAGTTACCAAATTGTTAGTTACCAAATTTTTAGTTACCAAGAATCCGCCCATCGATGAAAGAGAATGGGAATAATCAATATGAAAGAGGATGGGAAGGATGAAGAGGATAGATGATGGGAATGATTAAGAGGATAGAGAATGGGAATAGTGAGGATAGATGATGAAATGATGAAGAGGATAGAGAATGGTTTAGTGAGGATAAAGGATGAGATTAATGAGGAGGACAGAGGATGAAATGATGAAGAGGATAGAGAATNAATCTCCAGATTAATAACCGATCTGAATTAAGGATATTCCATTCAAAAGTTTTCAGCTCTGAAGTCAGAACTTTTAAATCTCAGGATTTTTCATCTTTATGATATGCCCTGTGCAGACCTACGGATGAACCAATTTCTCTTCAATTTCCTGTAGTGGTCATACCCTGCAGGGGTAACTTTGAAAAAGCGCTTTTTTATCGCATTAAGCCTATACCCCCTTTCATTTTTCGCGAACACTCCCTTTAAGGATAGAGGATGGGAATGATATTAAGTATAGATGATGGGAATGAAATTAAGGATAGAGGATGGGAATGATATTAAGGATAGAGGATGGGAATGATATTAAGGATAGAGGATGGGAATGATATTAAGTATAGAGGATGGGAATGATATTAAGTATTGAGGATGGGAATGATAAAGAGGATGTATGGATGTGTGGAGAGGCTGTGCTGTCCTCTATACTCCGGATAAAGGGTCCGTATTTTGCCACTATTCGGTCTTTAGTATTCTCAGTAATGGGTACATATAAGTACACTAGAACATAGTATAAGGTTTTTCACTTTATATAATAATATATATAATATTTGTGAAAACTGTAAAACAAATTGGTAAATTTAAAAATTAGTAAATTAGTAGATTTTGATTTTACAACACCTCGGCTCATGTAGAATTTTCCTAACTAGGTTTTGTATTTTATTAATTGTTTGGTCAGAATTCACATCAAAATTTTCAAAACTTTTAAACTCACCGAAGTTTACCGCATCACTTACAGAAATGCCAAAACTTCAAAAATTAAAAAAAAAATATACTAAGTTCAAGATGCAAGTTTTATTTTTATCTTGAAATATATTTCTAATATAAAAAATGGAAATCGGTTCAAGATTGAGACTCTGGAGGCATAATTTAAGATTTCTTTTAGCAAAATCTTATTCGTAAACTAGTGAATATTTTTGGTTATGCAACATTGCACACTGCACAGTAACACTTGTCACTTGTGTAAATTTTAGAATAACAAATATCTTGTGATAACATTAACAAATAAGATATTATTCTTTTACGCAAACATTGAATTATCAGAAGGTATACAGTGGCAACTAAAACACAGTGAAATGATTGTCGCCTTTCTTCTTTCTCTTAAAAATGAATGTATCTTTCAAGAACGTTGTAATTTTTAACTCTCATCATAACCAAACAACAAAGTATGATCGTTAACAATGTAAGACTTCCAACGATGTATTATTTTTAAAGACGTTAAGACGTAATATATAGTTTTTTTTCGAATCAGGGGAATATGTTGGAACGAGGAGATGAAGGAAGGGGGGGGGCTGGGGAGACGTTTAAGATCTAATTTATCTCTTGTATATTTTGAATGTGTTCCTGGATTCATAATTTTCGTAAATTTTTTCGAACGATGGGACTGTCGAAAGGTAATTCCGCTCATTTATCAAAACAAAGTTTCCCTTTAACGTGACCAAGCCCTTGTTACATAGGTAAATAAAATAGTGTTTATATCAAGAGTTTTCTTTTAGGTCTCTCATCAAATTTTAAGAAATGTCACTAAGCATTTAATTTTCCACTGATTTCTTTCGGAAATTTTCAAAGTTTTTTAAGATCTAGATATTTATTTATGTATCGAGATTATTACAGGTTTACACAATTTGTTATTATGGATAAAAGATTTTTTTTGCGATATTATCGTTTATAATTATAATTTGATAAGGTCAAATTCAGAAATTAATAGATACATTTTTTTTCGTTTTTTCGTGTCTTGATTGCTGTTAAATTTATTTTCAAGTACTGACAGAGCAGCAGTTCAAGAGAAAAAACTACATTATATATTAGAGGATAGCATACGTTTGAGCGATTTGACAGGGAGATACTACAAACACAGTGTGTGTTATCTCATAATGGAAAATGCTACAATTAACAGTGTGCATGCTTTCACATAAACGTCCGCGGGAGCGAGTTTGTATTAAGAAGATTATTGTTAGCATCGTAAATTTTTAAAGTTAATTAGATTATAGATTTTAGAGTTTAATTAAATACACCTTGATATCATACATTGAAAATAATTGTTTTTAACGTTTTTGTCGTGTTTTAAAAGCTAAGTTAATTTTTTTTATTGATTTGGCCACCATTATTATTTTCCTATTTAAAATAAAGATAAAAATGGAAAATATCTGCAGTAACCTTGTCATAACATTATCCTTTAGTATCTAGAGTAATAAAATATATTCATATCATTATTATATTTGTAGTGAATACACTAAGGACCTGAAAAATAAAATTACAAGGAACACTGCGCCATTTTTATATAATGGATAACAATACCTTTTGTGTTATAATTGTCTAGTTGACATATTTATATTTTGTCAACATATTTCATAAAATCTATTTATTTATTTACAAATAAAGAACAAATGTATAGCATGGAGATTGATACTTCAAGGTCTCCTATACTCCTGACCGATGATCTCCTATACTCCTGACCGATGATCTCCTATACTCCTGACCGATGATCTCCTATACTCCTGACCCATGATCTCCTGTGCTCTTTAGCTAATCTCCGATACTTCTAAGCAATGAGGTTCTGTAGTCCTCAGCTATGATCTTCTGTACTCCAAAGCTATGATATCCTATATTCCTAAGAAATCCTATACTCGACATTAGCTTTGATCTATACACCTCTTAGATATAATTTCCTATTCTCTTGAGCACAATATTTCATCCACTTCAGAGCTATGATCTTCTTTCCTCCTGAGCTACAATCTCCTATGCTCGCAAGCTATAAACTTCTGTTCTCCAGAACTATGATCTTCTATACTAATGATAAAATCTCCTTTACTCCTGAGCTATGAGCTCCTATACTCATTAGCTTTGATCTGAGCAATGATCGCCTTTACTCCTGAGATATGATCTCCTTTACAACTGAGCTATGACTCAAGATCTCCTATACGCCTGAGCATTGATCTCCTGTAGTCCTAAGCAATAATCTCCTGTACTCCTGAAAAATGATCTCCTGCACTCCTTATTTTTGATATCCTATACTACTAAACGATGATCTCCTATACTCCTAGGCAATAATCTCCTGTACTCCTCAGCTATAATCTCCTATACTCTTAAGAAATGATGTCCTGTAGTCCTCAGCTATGATCTTCTGAACTCCATAGATATGATATCCTATACTCCAAGGCAATTATCTACTGTACTTCTGATATATGATCTTCTATGTACATCCATAACCTAGTCTTCATTACGCCGGATAATAATTTTCTACAATTTCAGAGAACTGAAAAGCTATCAGTATGAGTAGTAAAATGGCAGCATCAAATGTTCTAATGCTTAAGAAAGCAGGAGATAAAAGACAGGAACAAGCATTGCTAGTAGCATTCAAGGTTTATGCACAATTCACTAGAAAAAGATGATGTTGCAGTTTAAAAAGATCTATAACTATCCCAGTTTAAAAAGATCTATAACTATTCCAGTTTAAAAAGATCTATAACTATTCCAGTTTAAAAAGATCTATAACTATACCGGTTTAAAAAGAGCCATAACTATTCTGGCTTAAAAAGATCTATAACTATTCCAGTTTAAAAAGATCTATTACTATCCCGGTTTAAAAAGATCTATAACTATCCTGGTTCAGAAAGCTATATAGCTATACCGGTTTAAAAAGATTTATAACTATCCAGATCTATAAATATCCTGGTTTAAAATGATCTATAACTATCCTGGTTTAAAAAGATCTGTAACTATCCCGGTTTAAAAAGATCTATAACTATCCTGGTTTAAAAAGATCTAAAGCTATTCTAGTTTAAACAGATCTATAACTATCCTAGTTTAAAAAGATCTGTAACTATCCTGGTTTAAATTGATCTAAACATATCCTGGTTTAAAAGGATCTAAAGCTATTCTAGTTTAATTAATCAGATCTATAACTATCCTGGTTTTAAAAAATCTGTAACTATCCCGGTTTAAAAAGATCTATAACTATTCTGGTTTAGAAAGGTATATAGCTATACCGGTTTAAAAAGATTTATAACTATCCTGGTTTTAAAAGATCTATAACTATCCTGGTTTAAAAAGATCTATAACTATCCTGGTTTAAAAAGAGCTAAAGCTTTTTTAGTTTAAACAGATCTATAACTATCCTGGTTTAAAATGATCTATAACTATCCTGGTTTAAAAAGATCTATAACTAACCTGGTTTAAAAAGATCTATAACTATTCTGGCTTAAATTGATCTAAATATATCCTGGTTTAAAAGGATCTAAAGCTATTCTAGTTTAATTAAACAGATCTATAACTATCCTGGTTTAAAAAGATCTATAACTATATCCTGGTTTAAAAAGATCTAAAGCTATTCTAGTTTAAACAGATCTATAACTATCCTGGTTTAAAAAGATCTGTAACTATCCCGGTTTAAAAAGATCTATAGCTATCCTGGTTTAAAAAGATCTATAACTATCCTGGTTTAAAAAGATCTAAAGCTTTTCTAGTTTAAACAGATATATAACTATCATGGTTTAAAACAACTATCCTGGTTTAAAAAGATCTATAACTATCCTGGTTTAAAAAGAGCTAAAGCTTTTTTAGTTTAAACAGATCTATAACTATCCTGGTTTAAAAAGATCTATAACTATCCTGGTTTAAAAAGATCTATAACTATCCTGGTTTAAACAGATCTATAACTATCCTGAGATGGAATTTAAAGAATTTGAACCGCGGTTTAAATCTTCCAAAACCCGGTTTAAATTAAGCGCCGGCCTAAATCTTGAAACATTTGACACAATTTTAAGTGGAACCAACCATATTTAAGCCGCGGCTTAAATTTAAACCGCCGCTCAAATTCTTTAAATTCGGCCACTGGTTTAAAAAGATCTAAAACTATCCCGGTTTGAAAAGATCTATAACTATCCCGGTTTAAAAAGCAGACTCCGACAGAGATGGAAAACTGACTGTGGATGAATATTACAGGATTCTCCAACTATCCTAATTCAAAAAGATCTATAACCAGCCTGGTTTATAAATATCTATAACATTCACGGTTAAAATAGATAAAACTATCCTGGTTTAGAAAGCAGACTCCGACGGAGATGGAAAGCTGACTGTGGATGAATATTTCAGGATTCTCCAAGACCACAGTATCAAGTAAAAACATTTCATTCTTTCATTTTTTAGGAGTTTCTTACAATTCATCTCTCGGCTCTTTTCTTCACTGAATATCTCATACATCTTATCATGACCTATTCATATCAAAATCTAATCAAAATATCCTTAACTGTCATAACTGCAGTATACGAATGTCTAAGTCTAGGATTACAGAAAAGTATAAGTGACTTAGTGAGGTAAAACCAAAGCTCAATATTTTAAATGTTTCGACACTTCAAATTCGAAGCTGTATAATATTTGATGAATAACCTTAATGTTGGTTAGATATCAGTGCTATCCTACTCATTTCTCTCTGTAATACAATGGTTTTCATAGATTTACGTACAGCCTACATGTCTGTACATATCATATAATCTATTTATTCAGTACAACCAAAGAAGAAATATCCAATCTAATGGAGATTGCGGACAAAACGAAAGATGGGTAAGATTATTTTAAAATATACACTTTCTAATATTATATCTATAAACATAAACATTTTCATTAAAAGAAATAATGTAACATACAGGGTGTGACAATTGGGAAGATAATCAAACTATTTTTTGAATAATCACAGGGCATCATATTAAAAGTGTTAATATGGCTCTTAACTACAAGATCTAATAATAACTGGTTCGTGATTAGATTTGTGAATGAACTGCAGGTTTCAAGCATTTTAAAGGACTGTAAGCGTAGTTTTAAGTAACCCTCCTTTTATAGACTGGGATGTCCAATTCTCTAAAGTACCCTAAAACGCTGGAGGAAATTATCAGAATTGAAACTCAGAAGCTAGAAAAATGACGATATCTTTCTCATTATCCTCAGTATTGGACAGATAATGGCTTATTAAAGGTACCGTTGTGAATCAGCCGCGTCCATATTTGATATAGGGTCACATAAAATGATAACGACAGTCCATTTAAAAAACCTTTTGTCTTTTAAGGTATATCACCCGTGCGGAGTTTATGGGAGAGGCAAGCGCCCAAACTAAAACCCAGGAAATGGTTGAAAAGGCAGAACGCGCCTTTAATATAATTGACAGGTAACTGACATCATATTTAATATAATTGACAGGTAACTGACATCATATTTAATATAATTGACAGGTAACTGACATCATATTTAATATAATTGACAGGTAACTGACATCAAATTTAATATAATTGACAGGTAACTGACATCATATTTAATATACATGTAACTGACATCATATTTAATAAATATTAAGAAATATATCAAAGACAGTTTTCAAACAAACTATTTTTAAGTTCAATGTTTCTTTTAGACAATCCCCTGGTTAGGCATTTAATTTAATAAGATACGGAATTGAGTTGCAACAAACTCTGATTTTTCAGTCCCTATATCGTTGGTATACATAATGATGTAGGGATTAAATATTTAAAACTATGAATTCTGTTAGATCGAATAATCTCAGTTTGATTTATCAAAGATTTACAATATCAGGTTGCAAAGATATAGAATATGAATATGAGTTTCTGAAAAATACTCAATTTATTTCAGCTATACTGCAAAAATAAAGTAAACTGACAAGACGGGAAAAATTGATTTTCTAATTTCAAAATAGAAGACTCAAGAATATTTGGTTTTCTATTTAATAAAAAATCTAAAATAAGAAAAAAAAATCGATTCAAATTTTTCCTTCTTTATTTGAACCTTAAAAAAAATCGCCGAGGATCAAATTCAACCTGCAGATCGTTATACTTCAAGAGTTTTAGGTCGTCATTAAAGCCTCATCCTTTATGAGTAACAAGCTAGCTTTAAGACTATAGTGAAAAATCTTCAATCAGGGTTTACCTGGGTGTAAAATCTGTAAAACCAGGTTTTACTAGGTTTATCTTTTACTGGCTTTATGTTTTACTGGGTTTAAGCAAACTCTCAAAAGGATATTAAAATATTAATGATATATGTTTAGATTGATAATATATGTAGAGAAATAATGTAAATTAATAAATAAGAAATAATAAGTCATCATTTTGACAAACAAAATTGGAGTGAAATTGCTAATGACAACAATTTTATATTGGATTGTTTTGAAAACATTAAAGATTTATTTAGCAGGTATAGATCCACAGTACAGTGTATACAGTGTACACTGTACAGTTGTTAACACAAATTCGAAATATAAGGAAGACGATTTTACCGACTCAAATGTCGTAGCCTTTTCTCAAGACGTGTTCATCTATTTCCTCCATGAAGCACCCACATGTCAAACCCCGCTCATTCGTTCCCGCCTCACCCCTCTACACATCCCAGCCCTCAGTCAGGTTAGAAGAGTTGGGCTGGTAACAGCTCCGACATAGGGAGCCTCTTGACTCCTTCATGCTGATGATGCAGATACTGAGCTAACAGCAGGAGTGCTTATACCTCTGATCTCCCTATTAACTTCTTGAGAAGCTTACTTAGGAAACTTGTGCCCGGCTCTGACCGAAGTTTCCGCTATCTCGAGTTGCATTGCCTTAGTTCCATTTATAAGCAGTGTTGTCCCAGTTCCTATTGATCTGCTCCACCAACATGAAGCTCTACAACACTCCCATGAAGTGCCATCAAATATCCATCATTAATTCCTTTGTTAATTTCTAAATCAACCAATTTTAACTCCGCTTTATGTGCAAATATTTCAAAACTTTCGGTTTTATTAAATAAATGTTAGAAATATCCATTTTAGATCTTTTTTTTATTTTATTATAGTGACTTTTAAAGTCAACAACAGTGTACATAAAAGTTTTTGTAATATAAGATGATGAAGCGAGACAAGCGACGTTAAAGGGAGTGACCGGCTATGTAAGGTAGTTGAACTGAGTTTAAAAAGTTTAATATGTCTCAAATGAATCCGAAAGAAGCTTTCCACAACACTGCATTCTCAGTTCATCTACCTTACATAGCCGGTCACTCCCTTTAAGCGTCATTCTTTCCTACAGTAGTTTTATCCAAATGCATTGTTTGAATATCAAATGCATGCATATACTTGAACGAATTTAAACTAAATTAAATATTAATTTTACCAAAAAGATAATTCAATATTGAATTTATATTAACTTTGTAATTGAAATTATAATTTACCATAATTAGCAAGTGTGTCGATTCAAGGCTTTAATTCAGGCTTCAACATAAAAAGTTTTTTTTTCTTTCTTTATATTGTTTAAACATAAACATATCTTGTAGCGACAATATATCGTCTTCAACAGAAAGGGAAAATTTGGGAACAAGAAAACATAATTTAGCAATCCAGTCACCTTCCCCCATCATCCAGTAGTTACTAGTTCTTAACAATTATAGACGGGCTCCATATTTATACAAGGTTCCTATACAAGGTTCCTAAGTCCCAATACTTTCTTCTTCATCTATAGCTTTCTTAGTCGCCATGGGGACCAGCAGAAACATGGATAGGAAGATAATTATTGTACTCGAAACGATCTACCAGATGGATATTATCAGCGCGAAGTTTATCGGTATCACCGAGCATCCCTGGAGTTAATGGAGACCTCAAGCTTCTGTTAACAGAACCCGTAGATCACCCAGGCAAAGGGAAACGAGAGGATTGCCATGAGACCGAAAAACTTCAAAATATTACCTGGCACACATATAAGTAAAAAGCAACCAAGCAATTGAAGACCGCTTGTCATACTGTAGATTAATGTATGTGCGCTTGCATTCTTAGAGTCCGTACATGTATAATATAGATGTAATATAGTACAGGCCAACAACAAAAGATACGGTTCACAACCAAATGCACAAAGAGCCAGAGACAGATGATAATATCAAATATGCCGCTTTTACAACTTCTTTTAGACATTTTTAGCTTTGTGTTCCGTGTCGAGCTAGGCACTTCTGTTCCTCCTGAAATATATTAGCAGCTCTACTTCTTCAAGTTAAACAAACGACCGCCTATTCTTCACTACCCATTAACAATATATTCCGTCAAAACTTGATTATGAACAATATCTTATCAGCTATAATTTTTCAAAACAACAGCTCCAGTCACAAGAATTCCTGCTACTCTTGGAAAATGATCTCAGTCTCAACCTCTACTGCTTCGAGACTTAGGGGGGGGGGGGGGGGACTCCTGTAGTGACCAGATATTGTCTTCCACAGAAAGAGGAAATTCGGGAACAAGAAAACTTAAATTCGCAATCCAGTTTTTAACCATGCATATAGACGTGCTCCACATTTATACAAATATATATATGTCTAACCTTATTCTAAGCTGTGATATAGAGATGCTAAAATATAATATATATCACATGCAGCTTATTACAACTTCAAATTGAAAATAAAGTTACAATGATACGCATAACTTTATATTAAATATAAATGTTGAGGGGCTCAACTCATGAAGTATAAGTATGTATTGTATGTACCGATATCAAAAGTCCAATTGTTGGACAGATGTTGACACAATTTGAAGTGACTACCAGTTAACAACGGTACCATTTAAACCTTTATCTGGCTAATAACAATGTATGAAAGGCGAAGGAATCGTCGTTTTCTTGAAAAATATAAATTCTTTGTTTTGTTCCTGTCTGCATCTTCTATATACATAAAGTAGTAATCTCTGTTTGTTTGAATGTCCGATCATAAATCAAAAACCCCTTGACTACACATGTCTGAAATTTTAATTGGAGAAGAACGGGAATGCTCTTAGCTTGGTTTAAAGTTAACCGGAGCGTGTTGACTTTTCTATATAGAGAAAGTGTAGATATGGGTTCCCAAGCTAATAAATGAAACAGTCTATTTTGAGAGAACCAGCATCATTTAGCCTTAGAAAGTTTATTTTATGCAAAAAGGTTAAAAGCTCACCGTTGTGAATCCGGTATTCACTTTTATTCAATTAGAAATAAGACAAATATCCCTTAAAAGGTTAAAAACTTTAATTAAAAGAAGTCTAGCTCTTCAAGATCTAAAAATGTAATCCAGTACTTCCACGCCCCATTTAACAGGTAAGAAAACTGACCCCCCGGAATGCCAAGCAGGCAAGATAGATATTCCAGAATACGATATTTTATATATATATATAATGCATTCAGTATAAATATTGAATAAGAAACTAAACTATCAATATCAATATATCATACATATATATTCCCATCACATTCCACTTTATAATGTAATAAAAAACGATTGCAGTTTAGCACAATGAGCGAGTGTACGGTGTACATATATATGTCCATTAGATGATTATAGTGGATCATATACATTATTTGAGATGACAAGTTAAAAAAGGGGGTTAGGTTCTATGCAAGACAGGCCGGAAGAACAATGTATATAATTCTTATGTTTTTACGAGGAAATGAAATCTGTTAAAGTGTTGTACAGTTCCGTCAAATTTTGAAAACCCTTGACTTTAAAAATGATTATTTCATTTCAGGATTAGATTCATTTTATGTCAACTGCGTCATATTTTTCATACAATGTTTAAGATAAAGTTGTTTGGTGTACACATTTAACTGGAAGGATAAATGTTAACTCCTCTCCAAACTGCTGATATAACAAAGAAAGTTTAAGTATGTAATCTACCTAAATGTTACTAACTACGCTGTTACCAGTTTTCCACAAAACCTTGTTCAAAAAGTTAAACTTTCTAGACATGTAATGCTTCCGAGGCAAGGAGGTTTTTAAACTCTCGGGAACATTAAATTTGGAAACAGACATTCTTTGAAGTAACAACTTGTCATCGAAAACTAGAAATTTGAAAGAAAAAAATCTACATTTAGCAAAAAAAAGCACTCGAACTCTTTAAGAGATTAAGTAAAGCTGGGATTTAAAAAACAAGTTCAATCCCTTCTAAAATTCTACGTAATCCCAATGAAAAGAGACTTTTGAGTGGAGACGTAATTTTGAAATAAATCTCCATTAGACATTTACGATTCACAATGGTACCTGTAAGACCTTTAACTGATCAAGAATGAAGAAGCTATCGTAATTTTATCCAAAAAATGCTTCTAATGGTTTATAATCTTTGTATGAAAGCTGTTTTATATTTAAAGAATTTTTAAAATCCCGCATGGGAATTTTTGGGATTTCTAGTCATTTTCATCAAGTAAAAACTGTTTACTTTCCACTTTGCCTTGTCTATAAAATTGAAATAAAGTATAAAATCTGTTCAAACCTACAGTAAAATGAACAGACCCTGTTTAAATTTTTTTTTTCCTAGAGGCGTAATGTCTGCATATTATTTGATTTTATTTACTAAATAAACACACAATTAAAGATTTTCGTATGAATTCTATAAATGTAAATCCCATAGACAAAGATAGATTGCGCATAAGACGACATTTTTAATCTTGAAAGATATAAATGTACAGAGATGTTTTAAAGATATTCCCTATTATATAGATTAACTAGGTCGGTTGTGAACATTAGCTGTTCTTATGTCATTGAGTACTTGTGGTGTACATGAGTTCTGTAGAGATTACTTTAAGTTAGTTTAGTCCTTCTCATGTCCTTCTTCAGTTCTCGTCAATATGATAATTTGATAATTTGATATTCTCAAAATAAAATTCACTCCTGAGTGGTTTAATAATTATGAAATCTATTAAAACACCAAACCAACCCGCTTATCATTGAAGTACACTTTGACCCCTAGAAGTATGAGTTCGCGGACTGTACAATTCTTGGTGATTTTGCGTACATAAGCTATCTATGTTTATTCATTTATCTATGGTAAATCCTCATAAGCCAAATATTTTCAGTTATAATTATTGTCCTAGAAATATGTTCTTGAATTAATTCTAATCGTATTCCATACCTTACAGCAGACTTGATTGTTGATTTTTCGAACAAAAGGTTGTCAAACATATTATAGTTTGAATTATTTTTATTACTTACAAAAATATCATGGGTATTGGGAAGGTTTAGTTTAGGTTAAGTTTACCGATTTATAGCTAATGCCAATGTGTTGTCATTTTTATATAGCAAAATGCATTATGTTCTGCTCAAGTTAGGATCAAGAGATTTTACTAAACAAATCTTATGAATTATTGCTAGTATTCCTTGTATTGCTATTAATCTTATTCCAGGAACCATGATGGGTATATAACTAAATCTGAGATGTTGCAAACTACAAAGAAACTGACTGAAAAACAGGTAAAAGTGTGTTGTCCGTGGAATTTTTAAAATCGAATGAAAAATTGATCTTTGAAAAAAAATCCATTTCGATTTTTGAAAAAAATAAACTTGATTTTTGAAAAAAAAATCGAATCTTTTAAAGCCTATGTTACCCCCGGGGTCATTAAGGGTTCCCTCAAAAAATATTAGCCCATTCGGTACAGCTGTTTGGCCAGCTTTAGCTAACTAGCATATATACATCCTAATATATGTATATGAGCTAAGAGCTTTATCATATTACACAGGCGCAACTAGCACTTTTGTGAGGGGGGGGGGGCGAAATTTTTATTTTGAGGGGCTGGGTGTTGGGGAGGGTAGGGGGTGCTAGCCCCCTCTGTAGAAAAACTTTTAGAAAAGAAAACACTGTTTTCAGGGTTTGAAGTAAAAAACCAGCATTTTTTATTTTAGAAGGGTTGGCTCTTTGCTCTTAATAATATACGAAATTCTTGTAATATTCATGGCTTGTGTTAAAAAAATATACTCCCAACAACTTTAAAATGCACGACATAAGTAAATTAGTTAAACAGGTGCACGAAGCGCATAAATAATCTGTTCTTCTAGTGTTTTTTCATGTATTTCTTAGTGTCTATTAGTCTACAAAGGTCCCAATAGTCCGATATAATCCTTCTTATATTTCTTTTTTTTATTCTTCTTGGTTGTCAAGTTGTGTGTAACCTTAAATTATATATGTATTGTAATATGTAATATGTGTTGTAATGAGAAAGAAAAATGTTGGTATTTTTTTTACTTAATTGGCAAAATTTTATAAAAAATAGTCCATAATCATGATCATGCTGGAGTCATTCATTATTTTACAGAACTTTTAACCTCGAACTTAAAATTCGCGCATTCTTTAGTTTTAGACTCTGGTTGTGTAAACCTATGATATTTGATTAAACCTTAGTCTTGTTTATACAACATAATTTATAATTTTGAAAACTTCAAATTTCTACAAAATCAGGTTGCAAAGATATGGAAATTGGAAAATCAGAGATTGTTCCAAAATCTTTGAATCTAACGTTGCATCAAAATCTTAAATTTTCCAATTATGACTTTTCTTTTTAAAGAGTTTTTAGAAGAACAAATAAGTTTATATTCCTGTAATAAATTTGCTTTTTATAAAAACCCTTTGGCGTAAAATTCAAACTAGAGGAGCTACGAGGTCAGCAAGTCTTGACAGTAATTTCACATAAATTTCACTCTTTCCTTTGTCTGTTTATCTATCTTAAGCATTATTTACATTATGCATGGTGTATTTATTTATATATTTAATCCTATAATCTTGTTTATTGTCTTAACATAACATAATGATTACTAATGAACCTTTATATATAACATTAAAGATATATTATAAAGGGAAATGGGATTGAAGGCTGGCAGATCGCAAATGTTTTTGAAGAGCGTATAATTGCATATTTATGTAGATATTGAGGAGAAGGGGTCATATTGTTGTAGATTTTTAACACATTTTTTGAGATAAAAAATAGCCTTATTTTGGGGCAGTCATTTAGAGATTTAGATTATATTCCTATTTTAGTTTGGACTTAGAGTGTATAAAATCACCCCCCCCCAAAAAAAAAAAAAAAAAAAAAAACATATATTCAAATAAAGGGAAAGATTTGTAAAGGTTTATTTATTAAAAGGAAAGATTTTTCATAAATTTTAGAAGAATCAAGTATTAAAAACGAATGTATTTTTTAATTCTAAGAAACATTTACAAAGGGCATTTTTCGTTAAAATCACAATTTACCATCGCAAATGGCTTTTTGTTGTAAAAAAATGCTAGTTAGAGTGTTTTCTCTTCTCAAAGTATGTTGATATGGGCATTAAAAGATCCGTCTTGGAAAAGCGGATCTTTTAATGTCGATAATAAACGGAAAAAAGCCCGTTTTACAAAATAATAAAAAGCAGTAAATGCTGCTTAAATTAAAAAACACAGTAGTATTTACTGCTTGATTTGTGTCTTATGAAAAATGTTTCACTCTTAATATATATGTATGCAATACATATTTGTACACAATCCTTGTATCTGTAGTCTGTACACATTTTAGATAGAGGCTGTATTTGAACGGAATGATCGGGACGGGGACGGAAAACTATCAAAGGTTAGATTTAAGTATGGAAAAAACTTTAAGAATATCTATCCATGGGTCCATGGTCTGAAATATCAAAGTCTACTCCAGAAAATTGTTAAGATTGGTTCGATAAACGTACTTGTAAGTTGTAAGACATCTTTCATTATTTTTTATCATCATCGAGTCACGATAGATCTACGGGACTTTCATTGTTAAATTGAGTGATTCTCTTTTTAAAGAGACTGTAAAAAAAACATAAAAGCGGGTATAGGATGAAACCTGAGAATCTCAGGCGTCAAACGATACATATAAAACATCTATATGATGTTCCTGTCTCGAGAAAATTGATACAAAACTGTGTTTTCGAAAATTCATATATATGCAATTTTGTAAAAATCATTCAATTAATAAAACGATGCCAAGTTCTAGATGATACGGAATAGTTTTAATGTTTTAGGTTTTGTATTTATACCATGTCTGTAACCATTTTTCTTCTTTAAAAAAAAATTGTATCCGCACATAAACCTTCCCTGTCGGCATGCAATGTTTGTCATAATACCTAGGCCCGACCGGTTCAGTCGTTTTAACGTTTTGGAAGTAAACAATTAAAGAGAAGAAATAAAAACACCAAATATATGTCCTTAATATATCTTTATGGTGAGTCTTACTAACACAACATAATCAAGGTTATTTTGACTGAAATTATTTTCTCAGGAAGAGTTTACTGAGATGATGTGTAGAGAGAAGAGATGAACAATATTGCTCGAAGTACAGTTCATCTTTTTCAGAACTTGAAAAATATTTGAGATTCAATATCAATTATTTCAAATATCGTGTACACATTAAACGCAAGAATTTGCCATATTTAAAATGCAAAATAAGAAAAAAAATTAAATTTTAAGATGTTTACAAATTCATTATCAACCTTCTGCATGCTGGTGGAATAATTATCAGAATTTAGGTGACCCTTCATTTCGTGACCGAGTCATGAACTTTCATTTCATGGCCGTATCATAAACTTTCATTTCATGGCCGTATCATAAACTTTTCCTTTCATGGCCGTATCATAAACTTTTCATTTCATGCCCGTGTCATAAACTTTTCGCTTCATGGCCGTGTCATAAACTTTTCCTTTCATGGCCTTATCATAAACTTTTCATGCCCGTGTCATAAACAAAACATTTCATGGCCGTGTCATAAACTTTTCATTTCATGCCCGTGTCATAAACAAAACAGTTCATGGCCGTGTCATAAACTTTTCACAAAAATCTTTCAGTAAAGAAATTTTCTACGGCATGAACAACTGGATGAAATTACCAAGATTTCTCTCTAAAAAAAGACTAAGCAAACAGAAAAAGAAATTGTAAAGGACACAGTAGATGATACCCTGTAAATGAAGGGTTACTTAAAATCACGTTGACAATCCCTTTAAAGTAACATTTCGATCTTTTTTAAACCGTTAAACAAATTATTATAAAAACTTTATTAATATTAGATCTTACCCTCAAATCCCTGAACTGTTTGCATACTTATATATGCATATACATTTATGTCAATCCATTTCATTATCATATATATATATCTTTACATCTTAATCTTTAGACGAATATCTTCTATGCTTAGATGTATACTGTAGATACTTTAAGCGGAAATAGTTTAAGACAGTTTTCTGTATGTTTTTATTCTGAATCGTTTGTGTGTGAAACTTGTAAAAATATAAAAAAATAATATTAAAAATAACATTATCTATTTTTATTGTACATTTGTACATTTTTCTACTGATTTACTGGTCTCTACCGGTCTACTGATCTTCGAGTAATACTGGTCTTCTGCTGGTCTACTGCTGGTCTACTGCTGGTCTTCTGATGATCTACTGTTTGTCTACTGATGATCTACTGCTGGTCTACTACTGGTATACTGCTGGTCTACTCCTGGTCTACTAGTCTAGTGGTCTACTAGTCTAGTGGTCTACTAGTCTACTGGTCTACTGGTCTACTGCTGGTTTACTTCTGGTATACTGCTAGTCTACTGAGGATCTACTGCTGGTTTACTGATGGTCTACTGCTGGTCTACTACTAGTCTACTGATGGTCTAATGATGATCTACTGCTGGTCTACTGATGATCTACTGCTGGTCTACTGATGATCTACAGATGGTCTACTGCTGGTCTACTGATAATCTACTGCTGGTCTACTGATGGTCTACTGATGATCTACTGCTGGTCTAGTGATGGTCTACTGATGATCTACTGCTGGTCAACTGATGATCTACTACTGGTCTACTAATGATTTACTGATGGTTTAATGATGGTCTATTGGTCTATCTGAATCAAATACAGCTATATGTAACTAAGTTCGAGAAAAGCAAATATGCAATAGTTGACTTCGGAAAATATACTATGGGTAAGCAGTTATCAGTTCAATATGCAAAAGTTGATTTCGAAAAATATACCATGGGTACAGGGTAAGCAGTTATCAATTCAGTATGCAATAGTTGATTTCGGAAAATATACCATGGGTAAGCAGTTATCAATTCAATATGCAAAGTTGATTTCGGAAAATATACCATGGGTAAGTAGTTATCAGTTCAATATGCAAAAGTTGATTTCGGAAAATATACCATGGGTACAGGGTTAGCAGTTATCAATTTAATATGCAATAGTTGATTTCGGAAAATATACCATGGGTAAACAGTTATCAATTCAATATGCAAAAGTTGATTTCGGAAAATATACCATGGGTAAGTAGTTATCAATTTAATATGCAATAGTTGATTTCGGAAAATATACCATGGGTAAACAGTTATCAATTTGATATGCAATAGTAGATTTCGGAAAATATACCATGGGTAAACAGTTATCAATTTAATATGCAATAGTTGATTTCGGAAAATATATAATGGGTAAACAGTTATCAACTTTAATACGCAATAGTTGATTTCGGAAAATATACCATGGGTAAGTAGTTATCAATTTAATATGCAATAGTTGATTTCGGAAAATATACCATGGGTAAACAGTTATCAATTTAATATGCAATAGTTGATTTCGGAAAATATACAATGGGTAAACAGTTATCAATTTAATATGCAATGGTTGATTTCGGAAAATATATAATGGGTAAACAGTTATCAACTTTAATACGCAATAGTTGATTTCGGAAAATATACAATGGGTAAGTAGTTATCAATTTAATATGCAATAGTTGATTTCGGAAGTATACGATGGAAAGCTTTATTAGGATACTCATGAAATATAAAAACTTGTATTTTTGTCATGCAACACATTCAAATTGAATTCCTATAATATTATTAAACAAGGCTAATAATTCATAGAGTGACCCAAAATAGAACAAGAACCTTGATTTTACAATTACATTTACAATCGTTATTGGTTTGTTAAGCACTTTCTGCATTTTAGGACGCGCCCCCCTTTTCCTCAGAAAGGGTCGTATTATAGCTAACTCAAAAAAAGAGAAGGAAAAATAAAAAGAAGGAATAAAAAATTAAAAAAGAAAGGAAAAAAGGGGAAAAGAGAGAAGAACAAGAAATCTTTCTTTTACCAATAATAAGTGTTTCAGTTCATTTTTCTGTTAATTAAAAAAAATGCCTGCGATAAATGATATACGGCAATTTTTAATTGTCTGAAAGAATCTTAGATTTAAAATCATTTTTAACTTTTTGAAAACAGAGAAACTTTATATGCTATCCTTTTTTAATAAGTAAATTATTTTTATCAATTATTTTTGAGCCAAAAGTAACAATATGGCGAGAAATTAAAATTAAAGATTGAATTTCTTGAACTCATACTCCAACTTGTAGGTGTATTCTTATTTCTCTACAATTAACACGCTATTAATTGTTGCTAACTTTGTTTGCAAGATGTTTTTTATTTAAGAAACATTTTTTCTTTTTCACTATTATATTGAATTTCTTATTCTTTATGAATTTGTTCGCAGATTTCTTTAAATTATTCAAATGTCGTCTTTTCAATAAAAATTCCAGGAAATCTACAGAAAATGTTTTTGAACGATGATACATTACAGAAACCAATAACTGAATAAGATTACTCATTTTCGATGATAATAGATAGAATAGTGGGGTGGGGGGCATTTGATAATGATGATAAGGTTAAATTTATAAACAAATGGCGCGAAGATACTTTTAGAAGGAAAGCATCTCTTTTTACGATGGGGGCAACCTAATTTTTACTTTTGCTCCATTAAAATGTCAAGGGGGCAAGAGGACTATTGCACCCCCCCCCCTTCCCCCTGTGTATACTACTGAATTTGTGCAAAAAAACATTGTCATACAGCAGGAGCGGAGGCTCACTTTGTATTTTATGTATATTCTTTAACTAAAAATTGAATATAATTACTAGCCGACATAATAGAAAATTATTTGTTTGAATAACAAGTTGAACCAAAGAAAAGGAGGAACCTCCCCTCATCAGAGGCTGTATGTATAGTCTAAAGTTGACTGATTATACCTCAGTTAAATCGGAGACCTCTGCCGGTGTACACATTCGTAATATTAGTATAATAACTCTATAGGGCATGTTCTGTATTTTCCTAAAGCTTAATTACTCAGTGCTCAATGGCATTTTCCCAATTGTACCTTATAATGTGGGCATTTTTTTCAAAAGACTTTGCCCATTTCCCAAGGGGTTCTTTCCGAATGCCAACCCCTAAAAATATTAGATCTCAACCAGTTATGATAGGTTGGGTTCTGTAAAGTTGCTATCATCAACCTGTGCGCTACATCTGGGACGTTATTTTACATTACTGAGTGCTTTATTAATTTCCAGTTTATCAGAAACAATTGCATCTGAAAGACGTTCATATTGAAAATTGCCTTTTTGGAACCTATATTTTACAAATTGTCATTTTATCAAAAGATAACCATGATAGAAAAATAGATTTACGACACTTTATTCAGATACAGGCAGGGTGTTACTTAGTATCTTAATAATTATAGCATAGTTTGTCATCATTATTTCGGCCACAGAACAATACGAAGATGTGTTATTAATGTTACAGAATAACAGAAATCAAGATAATTATAGTTAGTTGATTAAAAACTATGAAAACTAAACCTGATGGAATTCTCAGGATTCTAAGAAAATTGTTTTATATTTAGGTTCTTGAGAAGGAATGGTGCATAGATCAAAGATAATATTTTCTAGCGTATTTATGTCTATTTCCATTACTGGGGAATTGGAGGGCTGTTGAATAAAACTTAGCTTTAGAAATCTAAAAAGAGTTTTTTTTTAAATAAATGTTCCAATGTATAAAGTTAAAGTAAAGTTATATACTGGAATAAGGTGTCAACACATTTTTTAAAATAAGATCTTTTGAAGTCCAATTCGGAAAATCACATTTAATTTTTAGATCAGGATATTTAAAAAGGAATTGAGTCTTTGCAACAAACTCTGAATTTATAATCCCTATATCTTTGGAACCCAATGTCGCAAATCTTTGATATTTCAAACTTACATTGTTTGATCTAACAAAATTCATAGTTTGAAATATCTAAGGTTTTTGACGTTGGAATCCAAAGATATAGGGTTTAGAAAAGCAGAGTTTGTGGCAAAGACTCAATTCCTTTATCGGATATATTGAATTCTGCCAATCCTTTCCACAATAGATACATTGATATATTCTACAGATTGAAAGATATTCCCCGAGTCATGCTATAAATCAAAAGATATTTATTGAAAAATTATTAAGCAACAAAGAACTGTTTTCTCCAAGATCATGGCATGTAAATAATGTAGATTTTAGGTTTCAGATACAATCATGTAAAACATATACTTTTTTATGAGAAAAGGTTTTTTTAAACCGTTTTGATTTTTAATAAATTTTTTGAATTCGAACCTTAATGAAACTTTATGGCTTAGGATTTAGATATACAACTTACTTTACTACAAGAAAAATGTTTCATAAAAAAACATTTTGGCTTTTAAATCAATTTTTTAAATTTGAACTTTAACAAAAGGCCAAAGAAAGCTTTTCGAGACTGGTTAAATCAAACCAATTTTAATGCAAAAAAAAGATTTTTGTGTTCAAAATACATAAAAAAATCATCAAACAGTATGAAGTTAATGATCCACCAGGTAGCAGATACTTCATTTTAGTGCAAAGTAATGAGAGAGGGATCTTGTGGAAATCCTATGCTGCAGCTCCATATTTTTATAACTTATATAAAACTTGTAAATAACCTGTAGATATTTAACCTTGGGGTAATTCATGCTTTTTACAATCCAGATCGGGGTCAGACAAACTATACTAGTTTATCATAAAACACTTTTTGACGAACAAGGGGGGGGGGTCCCCCCCGCCAAACTTGGATCATTGCATAATGTATTCAGTTGAAATTACTATTGTGCCAATATTATTTATTAGTTAATAGTTTTTAATCTTTTGGAAGAAAATATTATTATTATTAAATTTTAATACCCGTTCTGTAATTGTTTCATGAAGTTAATATAATCATCAATTTGTAATTGTAAACTCGTTCTGTATACAGATACATGTATTTTAGCAATAAACTTTATCTTATCTTATCTTATCTTATTAATGATATTTAACACCTAACGAAATATACAATAAACCCCTTTAAATTGGATTTGAGTGAAATATAATTACACTTTGAGAGCTCCGGGTATTCCATGATTCATTACTACCTTTTATTTGTTCATTTTTTGCTTGTAAATACATTTTTTCCTATACTCTGTAGATTTACTCACATCAGTTTTCAAGCTGTAGAGATTTGCTTTATTTCATATCAATGTTAAATGGTAACAATAGTTTTCGGTTTTCATAAAATGTATAAGCAATTTATGTAGAACTAGTCTTTTAGGCCGCTTAGCGCCCCTCTTCAAGTAACACATTTTTCTTCGTAATTGTAAAATTTGTTAATGTTAATCTAACGTAATATTTACTATAGTTTGACGTGAGATGTATAAGACCAACTTTAAATTTAACGCTTGCTGACTAGCAACAAAAAACAGTATAGGCGTATCAAACGTAGGATTTCCAATCGAAATTCCGTTGCGCGAAAGTTCGTGCAACTGTTCTCGAATTGTGCGGAATTTACAGGCTCAAAATTGCGCGCAAGTAAAATCCACTTGTTTTGGAAACCATAATCAAACGTATTATCCCAACAATACAAATCTAACTTTTCATTAATTGAAAGAACGTGTTGAAAAGAAAGCCATGGAGCACAAATTTAAATTTAATGACACCACTAAAAATAAAGTTTTTCATGATCGTAGTATTTCAAATTTAAAATTAATGTTTTAAAGAAAAGAATTCACTGGTTGAATCATTTTTTAACATTATTTTGTTTTATACTGTTTCTAATTTTAATCTTGCGTGATTCGTTTTCGAATATTTAAGATAATTCAGGAAATGTATTAATTATGAATTAAGCCCAGGAAAAATACGACTGGTCCCTCTCAGATTTGAAGGACAAAAGGACCCTTAAGGAATACTTTCAAATAATTGATGACTTCAAAATCATTTAAAACTAAAAAATCTTAATCATAGTTTCCAGCTGATTAGATTCTTACAAATTGCCATTTTCTGTGCGGAATTGTCGTTCCCGTATTGATAGTACTTTTTATGAATCAAGATATCAAGATGTTGTCTCTTCTGCTAAACTTGTTGAGAAATTTTTCTGGTTAAACCATAATTTGACTTACTTACGACAAAAAGAGGAGAGCGGGGATCGAAGGGGGGGGGGGGGAGAACAGCTTCAAGATTTTAGGGGGAGTGGTAACCACTCCATTATCTACACTCTTGCTTACTAAGCACCTTCCTTCTTTAGAAATCGGAGACGTTTATTAAAATATTAAAGGTCATGAAGAATTTCATCACATCTAAAATTTTACTTTATTACAATTTTTTTCGATGTGGGATCACGCACATATTAAAATGTTTAATAAATCATGAAAGTGCACGGTTGCACCTATCTGTAGATAATATAAAATATTGTTTATTGTTTATGTAATCATGTTGTATTTCAGAACCAGTTACATTCAGAATTGAAAAAAATGAGCAAAGGGGGAAGTAATGTTCTAATGGTCAAGGTAAAGAATACTAACATCTGGTGTTGTTAAGAACAAACACGTTTTTTCATCCACATATTACATAGCTATAGGAAAAAAAGGATAGTTATTGTTTCATGTTTCAATTTGGATTCTGAACCAACTTGAGCAAAACAGATTGATACTTTTAAAAAAATGAGGTTTTAGCAGAAACCCATGAAAAAAGAAAAGAAAAAAAAACATTAAAGCTGTTTGTGCATATACAAAGAACCTGGGTAAAACCATCTCTCTTCTCAGTATATTTAGGTATACGCCGTGAACGTGCTTCCATAGACGTTTTTTACAATAAAAAATTTAGATTTTTTTAAAAGATTTTCTCTATCTCTTTATCTTTAGATTATTTGTTTTTGTTATTTTGTTTAGAAATCTAAAATAAACCGAGAACAGCATGCATTGGAAGAAGCTTTTGAGGTAAATAAGGAAAAAGTATCTTTGAGTAATTATTGTTATTTTGTGAAATCACGTAAAACCAATATGCCGGATATTTGAACCTTGATGGAGAGTTATCGTATATACTGAATATTTAAAATATAGTGCCCTGTAAAATTATGGTTAAAGGATTTGAGTCTTTGCCACAAACTCTGATTTTCTAATCCCCTTATCTTTGCAACCCCAAGTCTATAGAACTTAGATATTTTTAACAATGAGTGCTGTTAGATTAAATAATCTAATTTTGAAATATCAAAGGTTTACACCTGAACCTGATTGCAAAGATAAAGAAATCAGAAAAGTTGAGTTCGTGGCAAAGACTCGATTTCTTTGCAAATGGTTGCAGAATTATTTTCCGTTTCTGAAAATAAAATCTACAAATATGCTTGAATTCCCAAAACAGAGCTCAGGGACGTTTCAAAATTAAATCTTCGACTTGGGGTTTCCATTTTCATGGATTAATTTGGTTCCGGAAAGGCATTTCCTGAAGCTGTCAAAAATGAAAACAATTTAAGGGCGGAACCTTTCTTTCTGATTTCAAATAAATCTACCAACTAAATGCTACACAGAGCTATGAGTTACATTCTGAAAAAAATTAATCCATTTCGAATTGATCCGTTTCTTTGAGTACCAGGGGGTAGATTTCTTCCTAATTGGGTTAAGAAAAAGTCCGCCCTTTTATTTCCAAGTTTTAACATGGTTAAAATTTCTTAACAGGTTCCGTAACCGCCTTTACGGATCAAAATTGTTCGGACAAATTGGAATTTTACTTTATGTATCTTTTCTTCCTTTTGGTCTTGTTTTTATTTCATGTAATTGGAAAGTGAGGGGATAGTTTTACAATTATGGATCGTAACAATGCGTAAGTATCGATCGACCCCTAAGATCTTTGTAACCTAATTTGATATTTAAAACTTTTATCTTATCGAATTCATTATTAAGAAATTGAGTGTTTGGCACAAACTCTGATTTTCTAATCCCTATATCTTTGCAACCCGATGACGTACACATTAGATATTTCAAACTATAAATTTTGTTAGATAATATAATTGAAATTCGAAATATTAAATGGTTAAATTATCAAGTTACAAAGTTTTAAGGATTGTAAATTTGAGTTTGTGGCAATGACTTAATTCCTTTGTCAGATGGCTAAGATAGGATTTTAAATTAGATCTTAATGCTAGGAATCAGTAATCACTCTTCTTTGTTTTTATTTAAGAGAGCAGACAAGAACGGAGATGGAAGATTGAGTATTGAAGAATATTATGATATTCTCAAAAGCCACTCAATAAGGTGAACCATAATATTAGGACTATTGATCATTGAACTGATTCTGCAAAATTTAGAAGACATTTAACATTTAAGATTTGAATTGAATTATTAGATTACACGTTTTTAGCTCATTTTTAACCCAGGCGGGGATTGAGTAAAGAATTTACGTTCTGGAAAATAATAAGATTTTTAAATCGTAGAATTTACAATAAGTTAAACATATAGTTTATATACTAAAATTTGCTATTTCTCTGACAGCATTATTTGTCAGTTCATTTTTAAAGTTTAATTCAAGTAAATAAATAAATGAAAAAGTAGATTGCAAAAGACAAAGTATTAATTTTATTTTAAAATCTTTATCTTTTTGATTTTAGCACGACACAGTCCGAAATCCTACATTTACTGGATATAGCAGACAAAGACAATGATGGGTGAGAATTTAAGAACATAATTTTTGTATTGATTTTGTTAACATATTATAAAAACAAAGAAAAAAGAATATATATTAGAGTGAAATTTACTAGAAAAAAGTGTAAAACGGCCATTTTGTTGTACTGTTTCCATACTGCAGATGTACTTCACATATTTGTGCTATTTAACCTTTTGGGCCCTGGAACATCATTTTATAGAAAATCTAAAATTAATATTAAAAGAAAACCAAATTATGAAATAGGCTGGTTTCATAATTGACCAATGATCATTTCACATAAACTCTATGCCTTTCACGATGATTTTCCGTTATAACTATAAATCAAATGATGTTTTTTATTCACCTAATTCATTATAAAGTTTATTTAACAGCTTTAAAAAATTCTAAATTGAAATTGATAGTTTAGGGAACATACTGTATTAATGTACTCTACTGCATATAATTTGTGAACATTTACATGATTTGTACACTTTGAACTGAAAAAAGTCATACCGAGGAATTGTCTAAATTCCACTCTAATATATATTCTATTCTATATGGATAAAAACGACTCAATCTTATGAACTTTACCCCTAACCTTATTTCACACAAGCTGGAAAAATATTTTGAAAAAAAAATCATTTTTTTAGCCTCACCCCCAGACTACCCATGAGTGTCCAAAAAAAATTTTAGCTCATTCGGTCCAGCCGTTTGACCGGCTATAGGAAACATATATACGAATGTCTTGTTTTAATATATAGATTTCTAAGATTCTTGATAAACTTTGATCTAAGTGTTCCACAATTTTTAGTCCCACTAAGATTAATTCTTCTAATATTAAAATTCTCATTTGTAAGAACAATTTATATTTTTTTAGGTTCATTACAAAGGATGAGTTTATACACGGACAAGCAAAGGAGGTATTTTCTATCAACTTATTAACTTTCCCTTTCATAAAGAAGCTGAGTTTCCTCACAATTAGTTTATATTCGACTTGAAAAATCATAATTGATATTTGAAATGATTGGTGGCATACTTTTATCCACCTAATTTTACAAACATGATTCATCCAAAGAAACTTGGAAATAAAGGAACCTTCGAAGAAATTATTGTAGAAAAGAAACCAGGGAAATAAACCGGGAAAGGAAACATGGAAAACGAAACCTGGAAAAAAGAAACTTGGAAAACGAACCCTAAGGAACAAAATATGGAAAGAGACACATGGGAAAAAAATGGGAAAATAGACATAGAAAGCATCCAGGGGAAATAAATCTGGCCAAATTTTCAATAAATATCAAATTATCTTGATATTGAATTGAATACACCATCTGTAGAGACGAGAGATAGTGACATTTCGTGATTGTAAGGTCTTTTAGAGAACAATATATAATTATCTATGTTTTTTTAACGTTGATTCTTTTTTTAAATCAAAATATTTTGTAGATATCACGAGTCATAATCATAAAAAATTATTGGTACAAATCATATCTTATTTTTATTTCTTTGAAGTCTTTCATATTTAAATTAGATTGCAATCAAGAAATCTGACAATTCCGAAAATAAATCTAAATATGTCCCCGTAAAAGATTCCGAAAATAAATCTAAATATGTCCCCGTAAAAGATTCCGAAAATAAATCTAAATATGTCCCCGTAAAAGATTCCGAAAATAAATCTAGATATGTCCCCGTAAAAAATCATATTTTTACCATCCAAAACTCTCCACATATATTCAGAACTGTATAAACAATGTATTTTTTTCAGGATATGTTTGTTTCAAAATATAGTTGTTATAGAATATATTTGTTTCAGAATATATGTATTACAGAATATATTTGTTACAGAATTTATTCATTACAGAATATATTTGTTACAGAATATATTTGTCACAGACTATATTTATTTCAGAATATATTTGTTTCAGAATATGCTTTTCACAGAATATATTTGTCACAAAATATATTTGTCACAGAATATATTTGTCACAGAATATATTTGTCACATAATATATTTGTTTCAGAATATATTTGTCACAGAATATATTTGTTTCAGAATATATTTGTCACAGAATATATTTGTTTCAGAATATATTTGTCACAGAATATTTTTGTTTCAGAATGACCTGATTGCAGCACAGGAGAAGGCTCGTTTAGCGTTCAACTTTATAGACAAGTGATTAAAACTTTCATTTTATTTTTCTGCAACGAATTAATTTAAAGGTCCACACCTTATATTGATGTTGGGAAGGACATTTTAATTTTAATATTTTGTTATTTCAACTTTAAGAATTTTTGTTAAGATATAACATAAAGGGTGTTAATAATAAACCTCACAAAATGCAAGTTAGCATTTATTGGAGTTAAAAATGATTGAAATAAAGATTAAATATATGTATTAATCTGAAGGTTTGCATATAATTTTGATATTTCTATTTCAGTCATCTATTTCCTTAGATTCCCATTTTTATCTAAAACGAACTAAAATTGACGTGGTATAAAAGCTAGGAAACGCTATGTGCATCTTTTCCATGGGTTAATAAAATCTGTGTTGAAAACTATCTTTAGCTTAACATAATCCTATTGGACAGTTTTTCGTTTTTGAATTTTTTATCTGTATTTTTGTTTTGCACGTTACTGAAACTTTGACCTGAATCCTAATTTTAGTACGTCACAGTTTTATTAGTAATACATGGATGTTAATGATCATTAAAGGGTTTGAGTCCTATTTACAAACTCTCTATCTATTTGCAAACTGATGGTGTAAACCTGATATTTCAACCTTAACTTATTTGATCTAACCCAATGCATAGTTTGAAATATCGAAGATTTACGACATTGGGTAGCAAAGATATAGGGATTAGAAAATCAGAGTTTGTGGCAAAGACTCAATTCCTTTATCACACAACCAATTTTTCTTTTTTGAAGCTATTGCTTTTTATTACCCTTCAGGTCATCAAAACAGAATACTTTCATTTTTTGTACTAAATATGACAATTGAAACTTAAGAAGTTATTTAGACGAAGGGTTTTAGACTAGGAAAGGTAACAGAAAAAAGTGTGTGAAAGAGTTTTGTCATTATTTTTTCCTAAAATTTTTTTTGGGGTTTTTGACCATCTGATTTTGTTGGCTAACTTCATGACTTTTAACCACCTATGTGTTTTTTTTATTAACACCCTTTACTTATTTTACTTATCAATTTTACGAGATTGACTTAAAAACACATATAATGTATACTATACTTTACTTCTTACTGTGTACTATTTTCAAATTCTACGAATGAAAACAGAGAATCTCACAAATCATTTGAACCAATCTTTGAATCGGTTCAGCCGTTTTGTGGTTTATGGGATACAGAAAACCCAGCAAAGAACAAAAAACAATCTAATTTAATTTACATATAGATGAAAATTGTTTCTTACCAAAAACAGCTTTTTATTTGAAAAATGTAAATTCTTCAGAAACAGGGATGGTTATATTACAAAAAACGAGATGTTGGCGACAATAAAGAAACTAACCACACATCAGGTTATTATCACTTAAATATTATATTTTATTGAATACTGAACCTTTATTTATACCAATTTATACCCATTAATAAGAGAGTTTTTCTATACTAATTAAACATTTTACAATGCACGGGATGAAATAAATAAGATTTTGAAGTAAAAATAACTGGACAATATTCAGTCTATTGAGAATGAGATGCTTCAATGAATATCCATATCAAGTTGTATCCTAGTTACTCGTGACTTTAGTCCTTATTTAATTTAGTTTAATTTTGTCCTCTTCCTGTGCCAGAAAATTAAATCACTTTGGCTTTTAAAACAATTATACCTGCAGTTATTTATGCAAGTTATAATTGGAATATATAATTCGAAATAAATCTTTGCAAAAAACTAATGAGTTTCATTGTAGGTTGATGCAGTGTTCTACAGGTGAGACTTTGTAAATATAATTCAAGAAGTGCAAGATTAAAGAAAGAAGAGAAAGCACCTAAAATATCCAGTATTAAAGGGAGTGTAAACCTAACTTAAAGTGGCGCTCCATTTATTCGTAGACCGGTATATCCGATACATCTATCTATATCTTAAATCAATTTGTCTGTCTTATTTGTCGCCATGGAGTTCCAGTCACTCTATTTATAGCTGAAAGAATAAGAATATCTGAGTTGTCAATGATCAGACCATTAAACGAAGACTTGTTTTGTGTCAATGATAGTTGAATTTAATGAGAAATAATGCATTGCAGTAGTACTTCTTATAAATAGTATAATTTACTTAGTCAATCCTGTAAAACAACGTTTTTATATTAATTACAAAAGCTATATCTCTGACCCAGAAAAAAAACCTAGACAGAAAATTTCATTCAACTGCTAGTTGAGCCAGCATTTTTTAAATGTTGTAAATTAAAACAAATTTTGCACAAAATTTTCAGGCTTAAATCAAATATTCGTATACTGCACTAATATATTTAGAAATAGGGATATATAGAAAGATGAAAATTTCTTTGTATGATAATTGCAGGACTGCAGTATGGTTTTGGTGAATTATTTAGCCGTACAAAGCATAGGGGTGTCAGAAATTATTTTTTAACATTTTTTAAAACCAGATAAATTTTTTTTTCGGCATATTTTTTTAAAATTCATTTAATGAGGCTAAGTCAAAATAAGTATTGATAAATATTGCTTTATATCGAGTAGATATTCTTAAACATACCGATGTAAAACCTTTCAGAAAGCAGGAAAGATTCTGCATATGATATTGCCAAACCAAACAAAATAATTTTAACAAAAATATTTAGTATTTATAAATAAGCGTTTTAGGTATAATTTTATTCTAGTTTTGCATAATTTCCATTCATGTAAAAGCTGGTTTAACACTTAACAATAAACAACTGGTCTCTCAACAGAGGGAGGGATGGCAACCACGCCAATTTTTAATCCCAAAAATCTGCTTTATGGAAAGTGCTTGTAACAGGGTTCTCAGATTTCTCCTTTGTTCTGAGGCTACTGGGGTGGTACTTGGAGGGGAAGGGGGGGTTAGTGGGTGGTACCAAATTTTTATTTTTTGCAAAAATATTAAGTATTTATATAGAAGCATTCATGGTATAATTTTATTCTAGTTTTTCATTATTTCCATTCATGTAAAAGCTGGTTTAAAACTAAACAGCTAACAGCTGTTTTATTAACGGAGGGAGGAATGGCAACCTCGCCAATTAATCCCTAAACCTGCTTTATGAATGCTAGATACTGTGGGGTACTAGGGAGTACTAGAGGTACTAGGGGTACTGTGGGGTTACTGCTGGGCACTGCTAGGTACCGCGGGGTACTGTGAGATATTGCCGAGTACTGTGGGTTTCTGCTGGGAACTGGGGGGTTCTGGGAGGTATTACAAGGTAGTGTGGTGGTACTGTAGGGTACTAGGGAAGGACCTGCGGAGTACTGCAGAGTAAGGCGGAGTAGTGCGGGTTACTGTGGAATAATGGGGGGTACTGGGAGGTAAATACTTTGGTACTGTGGTGTACTGCAAGTACTGGGCAGAACGGGGGGGGGGGTACAGAACTCGTAGTGCCCCGCAGTACCCCGAAGTCCCCTGCAGTACCCTGAAGTATCTTCCAGTACCCTGAAGTATCTTCCAGTACCCTGAAGTATCTTCCAGTACCCTGAAGTACCCCGCAGTAACCCTGCCGTGCTCAGCAGCACCCCTCAGTACCCCTCAGTATTAAACTTTATTCGGTTTATAGGACGTTTAAAAAAAATATGCTAAAAAATAATTGCTGGCAGCCCTAGGCTTTGAACGGCTATATAAAGATGGTACACCTTCTTTATATTCACGATTCATAAAAAGGTTCAAAACGATGATTTATACACATTTGACATTGTGCCTTAATATTGTCATCTTAAAGAAACTAAATGAAAATAGAAGCTTTTATTTAATTCACGAGTTTTTCTAGCTTCCTTCATTGTTTCTTCAATAAATGTTAGAATGACCATGTTGATCATTCCTTAAAGCCACTCAAAAACAATTCTGAAAAAGTGTGTAGTTTTTATAGGGGAAGAAACCTAACCGTGATTTGGTTTGGGTCAAATCAGCAAATATTTCCAAATTATGGATTGTTTCAAAAGTTGGTTTATGTTCCAAAACGCGTTAAAGATTCAAATTCGTGATATGTGCGAAAATGGAAAACCTTGAATTGTTTCAAAAATGGTATGTGTTTTCAGTGGAACAGAATGATTCCTAACAGTTTTAATTTTAGAAAGGAAGTAAATAGCGTTATTTGTAGTTCTCGCCATGCTTTCGAAACAATTGAAGGTTTTCTATTTTCGCACTTATACCGAATTCAAATCTTGGACGCATTTTGGAACATAAACAAACTTTTAAACAATCCATAATTTGAAAATATTCAACAATTCAGAATAAAACGCACTTTCGTAAATAATTTACAGAATAGCATGAAAATATTTTATCTTCTAAATTGTTCTAAAATCTGTTTTGCACATTATACTGTTTCCTCCAGTTCAATAAAAATTTCCCGTATTTTTGGAACTTTCTTCTCCTGTATTTGCACTCGGCAAAGGAAGAGTTATTAAAACGTTGATTATAATAATTGTGCTCAAACCTGACATTCAGTGTCAGGTTTGGAACATAAACACGGTTTGGAACTTTCTTCCCTGTATTATGTATTTACATATAATATCTGTGTATCAGGAATGACCACGATGGGGACGGAAAACTATCCCAGGAGGAGTTCACCAACATGATGATCAAGGAGCACAAGTAGCTCTTCTTATCATCATCATCGTCAAGATGATAAATATCTTAATTCTTTAACTTATTCACTTTTACAGTTTACAAACTTTTAATATCTACATGTACATTTTTTAGACTATACAATGGTCACCTGAATGAGGGTAGGAAGGCCAACCACAACAATTTTTTCGTCCGAGCCACATTCTCCTCAATTTCTCGTCCGAGCCACCTCGAAATTCTCGTCCCTTCAATATTATTTTTTTAAGTGTCTAATCCTTCCAGATAATAGTATTTTTAAGAATCGAGCCACGTTAGGTAATAAATGAAATATCAAATTTTTATAAAACCAAAATAAAAGTTTCAAGTGAATTAAAGATTTCAAGTTTAATGTCTTAAAAAATGTTCACCTTTTTTACGCGCAATTTCAGATATTCCTGGTGTAGAATGCCGCAAATAATTCCAAGTTTAAAGAACCTCAATCTTTTTTGTTTACTATAGTAAAAACCATGGTGGTTCCATGGGGAAAATTATAGGCAGAGGAATGCCGAATATTTTGCTATTTATTTTATATCACGAAGATTAGCCATTACGGAGACAGAAGATATTTAAGTTTTACCTGAACAAAGTTTGACATCATTCTCATGGGTTTTAATATTCTATATATCCATATTTTATGCCCTAACATGGCCAGATTCTTAAAAATAGTTTTATCTTCCAGAATTGGAACCTTTTTAACACAAAATAATCAAAGGACGAGGATTCCGAGGTGGCTCGGACGAGAAAATGAGGAGATTGTGGCTCGGACGAGAATTTGTTGTGGCTGGCTTTCCTCCCTTCCCTAAATAAATCGGAAAAGTATCAAATCAATATCAAATCTATGAACATAGATGTTTTTCAAAATATTTTGATGATCTTTAAAATAACTATATGAAGTTGTTAAACTCCATGCATTTAAAAACTTTCTAAATATCTCTGATACGTACATATTTTACCGCACAAAACAATTTCTCGTTTCATTCGTTAAATGTACAAAGGTAAATTATTTTTAACTTGTCAATTAGCTAGATTTTGGTCAACTTATTAGCAGATGACCAAAATATATCGGAATGATTTTCATCTTTCTTTTTCTTAATTTGAAATGCCAACCAGGATTTTGTGTTTTAGTACTGTTATATCTCTGAAAATGTTTCCCGAACAGCTTCTCAGATTTTCAAGTTTAAACAGTTACCCATAACAAAACCATAATGGGCGTTTCTAATCAAAATTAAGAACGAAGATGACAATCATTCGGTTTATATTGGTCATAACTGTTTCAAGCCTAATCATTATCACAGTTATTTCCTCAACTAGGGAATGTTTTTTTCTTAAATAATGTAATTTAATTTTGGACAAAAATTAGGTATGTTTTGAATACATATTTTAACATTTTAGAAATATATGCACAATTATTGTCAAACTATCGAATTTACCTATGTCATGCTTTGGTCCAATTTATTCGTTTGGCGTTCATTGTTCTACAAAATAGCATTACAATATATATTTTTCTTCAGCCAGAAAATTTTTGAGACCCATGTCATTCCACTTTTCAAAAGGCATTGTTTAATGTGTTAATATGGTTATTCCTTTTTTTAGCTTTCATGTATCGTTAAATAATCAATAAACATAATAAACTTGATTACTGTAATGTTTGAAACCAGGAGAATATTTAGAAACACCTCGACAAATTATTTTGATGCTGTTTATTGTACAATCAAACTTAACGTCTCAGGGGTTGATAGGTTCTCAGGGGTTGATAGGTTCTCAGGGGTTGATAGGTTCTCAGGGGTTGATAGGTTCTCAGGGGTTGATAGGTTCTCAGGGGTTGATAGGTTCTCAGGGGTTGATAGGTTCTCAGGGGTTGATAGGTTCTCAGGGGTTGATNATAATGCCATAAAAATTAACTTTTTTTCTGGTAAAGACTATTATTTTGTGTATTTATTTTGTTTACCAACCAATAAAAACGAGGATGGATGGATGGTTGATGGATGAAAAATGTATGGTTAATGGATGAAGGATGGATTGTGTATGAAAGTGAATATTATGAATACAAAACCCACTCAAGATTAAACATTAAACATATTTCAGGGGAAGAAAGTTCCGAACCCTGATTTGGCCCAAACCTGACACTAAGTGTGCAAACATATTTTTGCCCCCCCCCCTAAACATTTTTAGGCGAGGGCGGACAATAAAAATGTATATTATACTCAAACAATAAAAGATATAACCGTGCTAACCGGACATTCAGTAAGTCAACTCATCTGATATGATAAAAAACGATATCTGTTCTGGTTAATATAAATCACAAATTATAATTACTTTACAATTTACATAAATATAAATTAATTATTCATCAATATTTCAAATATGTACATTGTACATTGTACTCATCAAAAAATCATGATTTTACATGAAAAATATTTTTTTGATATGACATATCACACAACATTCGCGGTGAACATGTAGGATTAATTTAATAGTTGTACTACAGTATTAAAGCTTTATTATAATAAGTGGCAGAACTTATAGTGAAAATATCTAAAATACTTAATAAACCCCCTTTCCCTTTCCCAGGAATTCATGAATCGCTAAATTGCAAAACAGAGTGGACTTTCCCCCCCCCCCCTACAGAGGGGGGCAAGGCTTCTTATGGGAGGGGCATACCCCCCCCTTAATCAGGCTTGCCCCCCCCCCCCCCCCTAGTTGCGCGCCTGAACTAATTTCAAATTGCTAATCTCTACACATCCATTTCATCCGATATTTTGGTATACTGAATACTAGATGGTGCATAGTTTTAATCAAAGATGCTCTATGTTTGTATGACCAAAGTCTTTCGGTTTACTAGTATTGCCTATAGATGGGTACATAGTATATTTACATATATCATATAAAATAACCATATCATATCTCCAAAGAAAGTGTTAATATAAAGATATATAATATATTCTTATGTTACTGTGTTACGTATATATATTATAGAGTATATATCTCCCTGAATTAATGCGTAGCATTTTTGTTAAGATTCTCTCTGTAAGCTCTTCAGTTTAGTTTCTGCTTCAGGCCGAATTTATCGTCGTCAGCAGGCTAGTGTCTGTGTGTCTGTCAGTTTTTAAGTCTATTTGACTCTCAATTTGTGTAATATTCTGTTTGCGCGTTTGTTAAATTAAAAGTCTGTGTTTCCGTCATGCAGTTAAAAGTCTTTGTGTCCGTCAGTTAAGAGTCCTTTTGTCCGTCGGTTTATCTGTCAGTTAAGAGTCTGTAGGTCTGTTTTTTTAAGAGCTGAGCGTCTGTTTGTCAAGAATCTGTTAGCTTAGTTAGCTAAGACTCTGTATGCATACGTCAGTTGATGGTATAGATACAGAATCAGTTTGTCATCATGATACAGAAACAATTCTTTTGAAACCACTTTGATGTCCTTACTCGTTTTCCTTATCTATGCAATATAATACCTACTTTTAACAAGCAAAGGTTGTCAAATATCGACAGTCATCTACAATAACTTCTTAAATAAATTGCCGATCAAAGGAATGTTTTTAACATATCCATATATTTTTTAGGTCTGAAATAAAACAGTAGTTTTATAAAATATAAGCTAAAAGAAAAAAGTGTGGATATTATATAATCAAGTGAATCTTTAAACTTATAGTTCTGCTTAAAATCCAGTTTTTAAATCTAGTTTTTTATCTGAATTCCAGAACTAACTTGAAGGCCTGGCTAGGTCAGCTGATCACATAGATAGATATTTAAATAGACAATACATGGACTCTAACGATAGCTATATACGCACACAGTTAAAGGAAAGGAGAGCTAGGTGCATCTAAAAACACAAAAATGTGATTTTAAATTTTGGCTGTGTTTTAGTCTACTGACATACGTCTTAGTTTTCAGACACTCAACATTTTCAAACTTACGATAGGGGTCACCTTGGTGACGCTTTTACCTGATATAGTTACTGCATGCCTACAGTGATTCCCACTGTGCGCTGAGAATATATAATCTTTATAAGATTTGGCAGTAATACCCGTTTCTGTATATAGTACGGTCTAGTCTGTGTATTACGTAAACTCGTACACAATATTCAAAGGAATTGAGTATTTGCCACAAACTCTGATTTTTAATACCTGTCTCTTTGCAACCCAAAGTAGTAGACCTTAGATATTTCAAACTATGAATTCTGTTTGATCAAATAATCTAAGTTTGAAATATCAAAGGTTTATACCATCAGGTTGCATGAATATTGGATTAGAAGTTTCTAGTTTGTGGCAAAAAGACTCAATTCCTTTCCAAATAAAATGGCATTACTTATACAATAATGGTTTTGCAAAACTTTTTTCTTTTATTTTGGTATTGTTATCATAGTTTAGCTCGAACCAACGATATTTTTTAAATGCAAGTATATCAAGAAATATTTGGAAGAAAATTTTTTTATAATCCTACCCGCCCCCCGACTATAAAAGCTAGAAAAAGATAAAAATTATTTAAGGTATTTAGAACTTTCAACATTTTTAACATCTTCGACTTCATATATTGTACAGACAGATTCAAGAAATATACATTGATTGGGAAATGTCATAGCTGATGCTATATATATATATATGCTTACTGCAGTAGGGGGGGGGGGAGATAAAAAAAAATCCAGTGTCAAAGCATCATTCTTATTTGTGCAAGGGGAGTGTAAAATTAAACATCTGCGGCTTAAGATCGTGAAAATATACACTTTGACAACCATAGATAATAATTACGAAGACTCATTAGTTGTTAGTTAAGTATGCTGTTACAACACAAGTGACAAGTTTTAGAAAATGACTGGCGTTTCTCAAAGCTTTGGTCCTTCTCTAACACCAGTTGTGGTAGTACAAAAATGTATAATTGTATGGTCTTTAAAATACGTTTATGTTGCATGTAATAGTTCTATTATTGTAATGAATTTTGACGTAACAATATTTTGCTTAAAAAGGTCGACATTTTTTTGTTTTCGGGTCTAAGGGTCGTAATAAAGGAATCACTTTATACTGTATGCAGATCAAAAATACAAAACAAATTCCTTCCCGTTTAAGCTAAAGCCAAGAAACACCAATTGACCAAATAAAAATTCTGTCTTAATTTAAAACAATTTCACCAACTATTTTTTTATACTTGGGAAACTTTAAAAATACAATGTTTTTCTTATAAAGGATGAGACTTTGATGATGACTTAAATTTCTGAATATAACGAGCTGAAGGTGGACGTATGGGTTTTGTCTGAAATATAATATTTTAATGGGATATTTAATTATTTCTCAAAGAAAGAAACAAGCCTAACATTACAACCTTTTTTTAAAAACGCTACAACTCTGAACACTTCAGGATAACTAGAACTAGAGTTCAGGAATAGATTATGGTGATATTTAAAAATAATTCAGTTTATCTTTGGTTTTATTTACTCTGGAATTCTTGATATCTTAACATCGTACCTCACAGATCTATCAGATAGGACAAGAGAGATATAGTTTTCCATTGTCGACAACTTTTGCCTACAATATTATAGCTGAGAAGATAACTATGTACAGATTCAGTATTGATAAGAAGTTATGCCCGACTGCTTCTACTGTTCTATCTGTGTAAACTGTGCCCTTCACCCCGCCCCTCCTAGAACCCTTTAGCATAAAGCTGCGAGATTTTAAATTCTAGTAATAGTATCAATAGACCTGGCCTACTGTGATCAAACAAATACAGTTTTATATAAGTCGACCCAGAAATATAAACATTATCTTTAGCTTTTAGGACACTTCGCGTCACTTTGTAAAATATACATTGATTTTCATACAATTCGTAATTTTTTAACATTTATAAATAAATAAATTTAGCTGTTTTTTCTGCTTTAATTCAATTCAAAATTTCTTTTAATTGAACGGGTTACGCGTATTTGATGGCCCCGTAACACCGCTAAACCATTGTGCCCAAATTGTTGGTCGGAACGGACGCCCACTTAAATTCAATGCGGATAATGTACAAAGAAAAATGTTTTTATTTAAAGTAATTTAAATCATTACATCGCATCCAGGGATCTTAATTGGTAAAGAGAGGTGATAGAGAGATAGTAATGTCTGAAAGGTCGTATTATCACCTCAACAATTTGATTAACTAGCTGGTGATTCATAAATACATTTAGATAAATTATTAATAATTTTCATCCCTGTAAAAGAAAATAATTGTAACAGTTTTCATAAAAAAAACTTATTAAAAAAGATCAATGAATCAAAATATTTCAGTGATTTTTATTATTTAATGATCTATTCTTCTCAACTCTTCTTCCAAAACCTTCTCCTGTAACCTAAGTGTCTCAATCAGTAGAACGAGATCATTTACTCCAACATCATCTGTTAAAGTACTCCTGTTCTCCAGATCAATCTGAGAATCCTGGTCCTTTCTCATCTCTTGCTTCCTCCTACACTCCTGTTCTGTCATCCACATTTGCTCCACTTTACAGTTCTGCTCCAGTGTGACACTATGACGGAATGTTTTATTGAGCTGAATCTCCATTATCCCCCGTCTCCGGGTTGTCTCCTGAAGTTTTGTCTCCAGGAACATTTTAAGTTCCAGCTCCAGTTTCTCCTCCTCCTCCTCTATACACATCATTAGCCTAGACATGATATTGTTCCAAGTTAAGTATTTCACGCAATGGAACGGGATACTACTTACTATAGTTAGTAGTTATGTGTCCTGAACTGATCCTGTGGGTTTGACCAAGTGGAAAGAACTGACCGTTTTCTGCGCAATTAAAAGGGGGGAAGATTAAATCCGGTTATTCTGGTTACCCCCTCCCTCCTCCCTCCCCTCTACTCCAACTTCATTCTATTCGGCTGGAACATATCACCCACTCAAATGACCGTCAAACTGAACTGTCTGATTGCACACCGGTTGGAATACATTAAATATGAATTGAATACATGATAAAAATGAATATAAAGGAATTGAGTCTTTGCCACAAATTCAGTTTTTGTAAAACCTATACCTTTGCAACCTTATGATGTAAACCTTTGATATTTCAAACTTACATTATTTGATCTAATAGCATTCATAGTTTGAAAAATTAAAGGTCTACGGCATTGGGTTGCAACGATATTGAAATTAGAAAATCAGAGTTTGTGGCAAAAACTCAATTTCTTTACATTAAATTTCAACAAGTTTTCAATTCATCCTTTTAACCCATGAAGCCGTAAATATGTCGTATAATTAAAAGGCCGGACACAACTTATTTGAATCTGTTTAAGAGAGTTAAAATCTTTCTCTCCTCTCTCAATGGTCAATAAATAGTTCGGAATTTTGATAAATGAGAAAGGAAAGAGATTTCAACCTTTTAGAATTTATCAGTTTAAAATTAGCCACCTTTGACTAAAAAAGATAAGTTTGATTTTTTTACTTTCAGAATTCTAGAATTCTAGAACAGTTTTTTGATTTCGGAATAATTTTATCTCCTTAATGATTTTATTACACAACCGGACAAATATACAAATCATTTTCTGGAATCTGAGACATTTTATTTTATTGCTACCCCCATACAAGCCCATTGTGCAGGAGCTCTCCTGATACAACTCTTGATTTAAAGATATATCGTGATAAATGATCAGTACTAAACAAAGTGACCAAGATACCCGGGTTTGTAAGACCTAATTTAATAAATACAAATAAATGCATTTGAAGTTAGTGATTTCATTTGATAAAAAATAGCCTTGTTGTCTGCTGATAATCTAAGCTTAAGATGTTTTTTCTTATTCGGTTAGCAAACTGTAGAATTCCATGAAATATTAAAATTTGTTAAACTATTTGTTTTCAGATTTGAAGTGAGAAGCCTGTACAATGTTGAAGATACCACGGGCACCAGGGGGAAGGAGAAGAACAGATTCATTTTCTAATCTAGGAACAATACAATAAGCAGTACAATAGTAAACAGTATTCGCTGCAGTACAATAAAGTACACAATGGACTGCAGTAAAATAGTATACAGTGTACAGTACACAGTATTTTCAAAATTATTTGTACAATATGGAGTTCAATAGTACACGGTGACCACACTTGCGCAGTATAAATTTTGTTTGTAAACAGAAAACAGTTGAATTTTCGTTATGAAAGGTCGCTAAGGATTTTGTTATTTTCAATTAAACTATTTCTAAAAAAGTGCTCTAACAATTATAGAAATATATCTATTGCAACATTTTATTATTACAAAATCCGCAGCTACATTTCTGAAGTAAATGAAAACCGAAGACCTCCTTCATTCTACAGATTTCGAGTTCTCATTGTAGTTTACATTATGCAGTGCTACTGCTACAGGGTGTCCCACGAAACATGACAATAGCAAGACGATTTTAAATTTGAGAAAGTCAGTCTTGCTGTATTTATTACATGCCTTTTTTGTGCTGTCAATATGTCTGGAGATATTGAGATTTCGTTTAGATTTCAATTTTAATATATAAAACCTAATTTGTTGAAATCTGAACCAAATGTCAGACACCCTGTATCTTAGCCCTACTTTAATTGTAATATATGTAGTATACAAAATCTTACATAAGTATTGCAATAAGCGTTTTGAAAATACAAAACATTTTAACAAATATTTACTAATTACTAACTATTGTATGGTATTCAGAAACCCCAGTTCATCCAAATGCACCAGGAATTTAGTATTTTTATAATCTAATTTTAATAGTTATATTCAAATGCTTAATCCATTTGAAATCTTTAACATTTTACAGTTTTAGAATCCGAACAATTTTTAATTTTTTTTTATTCTTTTGGGATATCAAATATAATTCAAAAACTGAAAGGACGTCGTAATTTTGTAAAAAAAAATCATTAAAAATTAACAATCAAGTGAACATTTTTCTTTTATTTGTTGAAATTTTGAATTTTGATAAAAGTTTCAATTCCCTTTATATTTGGGAGCGTAACGTCTTTTTTACGTTACGTTGTTAAATTTGGACAGTATAAAAAATATACTTTAATCTAGCTCCTACTCCTGCTAACTCCTTTATCCCAGCCTCCTTCCTAGATTCAGCTCCTTCCTACATAGATTCATCTTTACTGAACCTTCCACCTTCCCAACTCCTACAGGTTTACATATTATTATTTCAAGCAATTTTAGGGATCTATATATATAGAATTGTTAGATGGGTGAATTATTTAGTGGGACTATAGTCGAAGAAAGGGCAGAATAGTCAGCTAAAAAGATCAAGTATAGAGCCGATCATCAAGGGACAGAACATGAACCAGAACTATTCAGGAAACGGAACCACTCAGGAAACGGAACTACTCAGAGAAACGAATCGATAAATGGCTAGATAGATCAATCGACATTGTTGTCAAGGGGCGGAATCGATCCAAAGGAAAGGATTGAGTTGTAAATCAATCGACAGATCCAATCAGATAGCAGCAGCGATTGCAGATTAACCTGAGCAATGGTATACAAGAATAGATCAAGGAACGAAACTGCACTCAGAGAAAGAACAATAAATCGCTTGACAGAACCGATCCAGGGACACAGCCGATCAACTATAATCTGCAAATTATGATTTATGAATTTCTCCTTCTCATTCCTCCGTCTCAAACCCCCTTTTTTCAATGCTTTTATGATCAGCTGTGGCACTGGCAACAGGCTTTATGCATAGCAACAGTCACAAGTACTTTTCCCAACTGGAAAATATAAAATTATACATAATATATGAGTTAGAGAAATTAGAAAAATGCAGTTTTTCCTCAACGATATTTTAGTTCAAGAGTACATTTAAAACACTCTATCTAATTCTGATCTAAAAGAAAAACAAAAGCTATTAGTTTAATTATTTAATTAATTAATTAATTAATTCAGGCAGCTGGAAACCTGCTTCTGCAACCAATCCTGCCTGAACCAATGACAATTCAGGTATACAAGAATCCATATCAATTTTTTTAGAAACATCTGTTTTTTTTGGTGTACAACAATTTTCATTGAATCCCGCTAATGTAATAATTATCTGAAAATATCTCTTTACATATGACATGTCATTTACTCGCAGATAAATTAAAACCAATAGAAATCTATACCTCGAGGGATTCAAATTCAATCATAAATTGGTTGATTGTTATTAATCAACTGTTATTGTCCAGTTGTAAGTTTTCATTATCATTGGTCAATTGTCAATTGCAGCCATTGAACAATTATGATTGGTTTGTTGAAATTGTTTAATTGTGTAACTCATTTGTCACTGTAATTTTATTTATTTTTTATCCCTTTTATCTCCTTATTAATTTTAGGTCTTATTTCCCTTTTCTAGTTAAACCAACTTTTCTATTTTGTAGATGGTACAATTACAAATCTAGAATAATGCAACCATTTTAGAAATATAAATTCTTATCTTTCCTGCACCTATTTGAATATTTATAACAACTCGAGCAACAAAACCTGATGTTTTCCTCATTTTCTTTACATAGAAATGTTTTATTTATTTTTCAACTTTCGACCCACCAAAAAGTTGAAAATCGTATCTACTTTTTCTACCTAAAAACACATCTATTCATGAAAAATGAAACTGAAGCCTGAGGTTGAAATCGATATCATTTGCTGAGTGCTGATTTAAAACCTTTTTACAATATTATTATTTAGTGTCATCTGTTTAGGAGTTTTCATCAGCTTACACATCATTTCATGTATTCATACAATATTTAATATAATGTCATTTATTGACATTTTAAAAACTCTTGATAAACCAGATACATATTTACATTATTTAGATTGTTTCAAAAATTGTCTGAAACTCTTTACAAATCCTATTTTTTATCCTCGTATCTTTGCAACCTGATTTGCAGACCTCAGATATTTTAAACTATAAATAAATAAAGCTAGTGATAAATATCATCAGGAACTAAGATAAAGGGATTAGAAAATTAGGATCTGCTGTGGCAAGTATCAAATTCTTTTTGAGTTTAAAAATTAGTGATTAAATATTGAAAATAAGATATAATTAGCAAAATCTGTGTACAATGCACATGTTAAGTTGTGAAAGATACATATTTGGAGAAGTTGAATAAGATGATATTTAGGACAATAAGAGAATAATTGAACTGAAGAAACTGATGCAGGAGTTTCATCTTACAGATGAACAATTGAAACATATAGGTAGATATATATGAATATAAAATAAACCTTGCTCCGCCACCCCCCCCCCCAACCCCTCTCTCTTACATGTTTAATAAATCTATTCTCGAATTATGTGCATATAAGTAAATATTTCCAACATCTATATATAAATTTGGCTTGTCTGTCTGTCTGTCTGTCTGTCTGTTTGTATCCAATAAACGTCAAAACGGCTGAACCGATCGGGCGCAAATTTTTTGTGGGACATCACGTGACCACAGGGAAGGTTTATGAATGATAAAAATTTTAAATAAATGTGTTTTAAAGGTTTTTAATTTTTTCAAAATATTTAAATTCTTGAAAATCCGCGATTTAAAAAAAAATCCGCAAACTTTTTTTCTTCTTTGTTTTAAAATGTAAACAAAAAGAACATGTTCACAATTTAAATAGAAGTAGGGCGCGAAGCGCCCTATTAGCTTAGTATTTCTAAATATTAAATAATAATTTGGGACCTCTTTCCCCTCCCCCCCAAAAAATATTGATGGATTGATACATTTTGTGAATATGTTTTCATAATATATTATTATACTTTTCTTTTTCAATCTTTTCTCCTCTTTTCTTGATTTTTCTCTTCCTTTCTTCTCTTTGAAAAGACTATATCAAGGATCAAAGATAAAAATAAGGATAAAATATTGTCGTGTTTCTAGTTTGAAATATGTTTAAAATTAAATGTGAAAATTGTGAAAAAGTCACAATTGAAAAATTTAAAAACAAGGCACACATTAACTGGAGGGTTACATGAAATTACATCTACAGTCTCTTTATTCCCTTTGTGTTCTAAAATGATCTAATTGTTTGTAAAGAGAAAAGAATGATAATGGAGATTAACTGGGGGCTGGCTAAAGCTTCCAACGAGACTTCAAACATCAAGGAAATTCAACATTTAACTAAATAATTTGCCAAATTAAATCATGGTATTTATTTGCCTTGATTTTATTCAGGACATGTGTTAAGTATAAAAGTCTTCATAGAACTGACTTTGCTTGCAGGACCATAGCTTTACTTTGAAACTAAGATTTATCTTTTTAGCAATTTAACTTAGAATTTTTAAACGCTAAGATTGCACTAACTTGGTTTTAACGAGATCTTAAGGGGTTTACGAATTATGATCGGGCATACAAGCAGACAAACAAATAAAGAAATTATTACTTCGATACCTTCCATTATATAGAAAAACTAGGCTTATGGGACGCTATGGACCCCATTGGACACAAACAAACCAAATTGAGAGAAAAGCCAAAGAAATATATAGATTAAAATATGTTGAATATCACTTGAGTAGTCGTATATAACCTACGTTACCCAGCTACCAACTGGTCGGGAGCATGGTAGATTTCTTGCTTTAGATCTAGGAGGAACTAACTTCAGGTAAACTATCTTCACTTCAGACTCAATCTAACTGATCAATCAAAGTTCTAAACAAATAGACAATCAAAACTGTATCACTTTTCCGTCTTTATCTTAATTAGTGCTTCTTTGAAAGACTTGTGATTTAGTTTATCAATATCAATTAAATCAATTTTTGTCATTTGCTTCCAAGTTGTTCGACAAAAATTTACGATTCTCTATATTTTGCTTGAAATGGGCATGATGTACGTTGAACTATTGCTGTGTTTCACTATTGAACTATTGCACTGAGCCCAAACCTTAAGACTGGGTATCGTAATGAAACTTAGTATTGGAAACCGGGTTTCATCATTGGTGTACGGCAATTTTGAAGATATAAAAAAATATTTCTCAATGTAAATCTACACAAATGTATATATTTGTAATAAATAGCATAGCAATCCTCATATTTATAAACCTAAACACATCTAGATAAATTATGTTGTACAAAGTAACCCAACTACGCCTGTAAATAACTACGTCGAACCTGGATTGTAATTAGCCTAACTATGCTCGTATATAACGACGCAAAACTTAAAATTTGGTTCATTAACTTAACCTTTAATGTAGAACTCAAAATACACGTCAGTGGAATAGACAACACTTTTATTACGGTGTGAGAGTAATTGTTCCTCGCTTAGCGGTCCAGAGGGGTCCTGAATCACTTTCTTGAAAGATAGATATAAATCGGGAATTACAGTGAGTTGTATCTTGAAACATAGATACCTGAGAATACGGAAGGATTCCTGAATTTGTACTGTATTACAGAACAGAATAGTTCTAGACTCGTGTATTAACGAGAGGGATTGAGCTGTATCTTGAAACATAGATACCTGAAGAATACAGATTGAGTATTCTAGAGAGTCAACATGAGTTGTATCTTAAATCATAGAGAATATGGATTGAGTTATATCCGGATGGAAATTGACCATGGTATAATTGAGGAACCTTGAGTTCTAAATTGATTTGAAGACAGATACTTGAGAATGCAGATAGAGTCGGATCCGGATTGATACTGACCAAGGTATTATTGGAGAACCTAGAGTTCTAGATTGAGTTGTACCTGGATTGGCACTGATCTAAAAGACTTTGGTAGGGCATTTACTACATGTTTATACCCCAAAATGAAACCGGGGAGTTTCGTTAAACGTTTTATTTTATTTTTTCATTTCCGGCTCTGTACAAAAATATCTGATCCAAGAAGTCAAATTTTAAAACTTTCAGAGCTTAAAGTGACAATTCTATAGGCTCCTAAATAGTAAATTTGATAACAATAGATCATCACTTTTTAAAAATTTCGACAAAATCCGCTGCTTTCTGGAAGGTAGAAGGTATATCAATTAAGGGACAAAATCATTCCTTAACAACTTAAAAATTAAAAAAAAAGATTTAATTAGAGCGAATTCCCGACACCAGACTCCATGGAGACTTCATGCGCCAGACTCCAGACTTCAGACTACATACTCCAGACTCCAGACTTCAGACTCCAGATTCCAGACTTCAGACTTCAGACTTCAGACTTCAGACTTCAGTTCAGACTTTAGACTTTAGATTTTAGACTTTAGACTTTAGACTTTAGACTTTAGACTTTAGACTTTAGACTTTAGACTTTAGACTTTAGACTGACTTTAGACTGACTTTAGACTGACTTTAGACTTCAGACTTCAGACTTCAGACTTTCGACTTTAGGCTTTAGGCTTTAGGCGTTAAGGCTTTAGACTTTAGACTTTAGGCGTTAAGACTTTAGACTTTAGACTTTAGACTTTAGACTTTAGACTTTAGACTTTAGACTTTAGACTTTAGACTTTAGACTTTAGACTTTAGACTTTAGACTTTAGACTTTTAACTTCTAACTTCTGGCTCTTGACTCATAATGTTTGCACCTACCTTTTAATTCTTCACTAAAAATAAACACGCCTCGGGTTTTAATAACTATGTAGTTTGCAAGAAAGATATTGTAATTTTTGTGTGTGTAAGAAAGCTGATAAGTCAGTGTTTTCATGGTTCAACAACTGAAATTATAAACACAAGCAAGCATCATGCCTGAACGGAATGTCCTTTAATTACAATGCTTAAAATTTATAGAATGAAATGCAGACTGTTGAAAAGTATGAAACAATATTAAATATAAATGTATTTTTTCATTAAGATGTTTCAATATTTCTATATTGCGAATTTTTTTAGATCGACACTTAATTATTTGATATAGATATTTTGATATTTCAGGGCTATTTTGATTGAACTGGAAGCTGGAACCTCCAGTATTAATATGAAGACAGCAAAGCATCCTGTTAGTATGGATCTTATGCAAGGTAATCTATATGTATACCATTGTACAATGAACCGTTAGATTATTATTTTTCTAACTTCACGTTAGTTTTTAGTTAAGAATTTTTATTATTTCTAATTTCAATCTTGGTAAATCCAATCTTTGGAAAACTTTCAGATTTCGATGACATTCATATTCCTAGCATTAGTTCTCTATTTTATATTTAGGCCCAGGAGAGGATCTTTTTAACTTTATGGCAGACAAACTCAGGGAGTTCATGGTAGATCATGAGTTATTGGGACACAGGTATACACTCAGGGAGTTCATGGTAGATCATGAGTTATTGGGACACAGGTATACACTCAGGGAGTTCATGGTAAATTATGAGTTATTGGGACACAGGTATACACTCAGGGAGTTCATGGTAGATTATGAGATATTGGGACACAGGTATACACTCAGAGAGTTCATGGTAGATCATGAGTTCTTGGGACACAGGTATACAACACTCAGGGAGTTTATGGTAGATTAGGAGTTATAGGGACACAGGTATACACTCAGGGAGTTCATGAAAGATCATGAGTTATTGTGACACAGGTATACACTCAAGGAGTTCATGGTAGATTACGAGTTAGGACATAGGTACACACTCAGGGAGTTCATGATAGATCATGAGTTATTGGGACACAGGTATACACTCAGGGAGTTCATGATAGATTATAAGTTATTGGGATACAGGAATACACTCAGGGTAGATCATGAGTTATTGGGACACAGGTATACAAAACTCAGAGAGTTCATGGTAGATCTTTAGTTATTTGGATACAGGTATACACTCAGGGAGTTTATGGTTGAGTTATTGGGACACAAAGTGATCGAGATGGAGAAATAGAGTAAAATTAGGATTCAAAACATTTAAGAAAAAGTTTATTTAATTTTAGGGTTAAAGTTTATCCAATCTAGGTACAAACTTGGATTCACATTCTCCTTCCCTACTATTCAGCATAGTCTCAGCTCAGCAGATCTAGCAACGTGGACAAAGGTAAAACTTATCTACTATCTATCTATTTAATTATATGTTTCTCTAAAAAATCTTATATCTTATGCACATTTTTATTGTAATACATGCCATATTGAAGAAAATTCCATAATTATTTTGAGTAAAATGTTCAGGGGTTTGTTTGTTCTGGAGTAGAAGGAAATGATGTTGGAGCACTTCTTGAAAAATCTATATCCAGGCATGCAGATCTTGATATTGAGGTAAAATATAACTTGGCTTTAATTAAGGGATATATTTTTTTACGATTTGAGTATTTGCCACAAACTCAAAGTTTCTTACTCATATATCTATGCAACGTGGTGGTGTAAACTTTTGATATTTCAACCTTAGATTATTTAATCTAACAAAAATCATAGTTTTAAATATCTAAGGTCTACGACATTGGAATAAAAAGATATAGGAATTAAATAATCAAAGTTGTTGCAAAGACTCAATTTCTTTTTCCTCTACTCTTTCTCCCCTCCTATTTATATTTGTTAAATAAGTATATTTTTATGTCAATTTATTTGAAGGTTTGTGCTATTCTGAACGATACCACTGGATGCCTTCTTGCCTGCGCATACAAGAGACCTGATTGTGCAATGGGGGTCATTCTAGGAACAGGTATTATTAAAGGAATTGTTGGAACAGGTATTATTAAAGGAATTGTTGGAACAGGTATTATTAAAGGAATTGTTGGAACAGGTATTATTAAAGGAATTGTTGGAACAGGTATTATGGAACAGGTATTATTAAAGGAATTGTTGGAACAGGTATTATTAAAGGAATTGTTGGAACAGGTATTATTAAAGGAATTGTTGGAACAGGTATTACTAAAGGAATTGTTGGAACAGGTATTATTAAAGGAATTGCTGGAACAGGTATTATTAAAGGAATTGTTGGAACAGGTATTACTTAAGGAATTGTTGGAACAGGTATTATTAAAGGAATTGTTGACGTAAATTGACGTTATTTAAGAGTGTCCTATATAAGTCACATATGTGCCGCTTAAACGTTAAGCTGAGCAATTACCTGCTTTTTATTGTTCTCTTATATATTGTAGATTTAAAAAACTAATTTGGAAATTTAAAAAAAAACTTCCTATGAAACGATTAGAGTTGCTTAGTTCAGGTTTAAATTTCCTGACAAAGCCAAAATTGCTGCATTATGTAAAGGAAGTATGAGAGGTTGGGGGCTTCCATATCTGGGTTATTTTATGATTACGATTCCTTATGCTTCTTTTAGATAATGATATTTTGAAGTTTGAAAGTGATAGATTTCACAAATATTTCTGGAGCTTAAAAATCCAAAGAAACTACAGCCAGATATCTTCTCTGAATCAAGTTATGATATACAAAGCTAGTGGTAATCAGAAAACGGTCGAATGTTGGTCGTCTTCCTCCTTTGTTTTTATCATTTTTTATTTTTATTATTTTATTATTTTCTAATTTGTAACTAATATATTTATATAAATATGCCATAAACATTTTTAGACATATTGAAAAAATGTCAGTAAATGTCAATAGTAATCACAAAATCCAAACCGACATTTCTTTAAAAAAAACAGGACTGCAATCATTCCACAGTTTCCTTGATACTACTGCAGGGGACATAGTTACAAATCTAATACTTGGCCAATTTAAAACACTGAGCGTTAGAAATTGGCACAAATTAAAATACTGGGTTTTTCAGATCCCGTCACATATCAGAGTGAAAGTCGATAATAAAAACTATAACCAACATTTAGTTAAGCATGACGATGGCAACAATTCTCATTTTAAAACTATTTTCTGAAATCAAAATTATATAATGAGTTCTTTTATACTAAAACCCTTGACCGTTTTCAAGACAATGTCAGGTTTTCCATTTTCAAACATATCTTGAATTTGAATTATTGTCGCGTTTTCGAGACAAAACCCGTTTTTGAGTATAATCCGCTTTTCAGAACAAAACTCACTTTCATAACTTACAAAATAAATCACTGAAAGTAAAAATTATTTTATGAAGACTAAGGTAACTGTTAAATTATTTCTAAAATCTTTGTTACCCGATTTTATTCATATACTAGCCTTTTAGGTTCTTCGCGCCCATCTTCTATTTTAATTGTGAACATGTTCTTTTTATGTACATCATAAAACAAAACAAAAAAGTACGCGGAGTTTTACAAAATTTTCGTGGATTTTCAAAAGTTTCAAAAATTTAATGAAAATCAAATTTTGATGGAGACAAATATTTGAAATTTTGATCATTCATAAACCTTCCCTGGGGCCACATGAGGTCCCACACACAATTTGGGCTTGATCGGTTCAGCCGTTTTGACGTTTATTGGATACAAACAAACAGACAAGCTAAATTTATATCTACTAGGATTTTAGGGCGCTTCGTGCCCATCTTCTGTTTTAACTCTTAATCCTGGCTTTATCTGTGAGCATCTTCTCTTTGTACAGTATTTACCGCCACTAATATTAAAGAATTGTCTCATACTTCTCTTGTTTCATGATTTATTATTTATTCTCAGTTGTATATTTTCTGATTTAGGAACCAATGCAAGCTATGTTGAGGATATTGCCAACGTTGAACTATTCGAGGGAACTCCGGGTAAACATCATCAGGTAAATATTAAAGGGATTGCTCACATTTTTAGATAAAGGAATACCAAACAAAACATTTTAATCAATTAGTCAAATGATAAAAGAAACTTTAGATTTACTGGCTATTAGGGCGCTTGAACCCCCATCTTCTATTTTAACGTTTAATTGTGTCTTTATCTGTGAGCATCTTCTCTTTGTCCAATATAAAACAAAAACACACAAAAAAGTTTTCGGATTTAACAATATTTTTTCGCGGATTTTCAAGATTTTAAATTTTTTTACAAAAATAAAAAACTTTTAAGCACACATTTTTTAAATGTCCTACACAATTTGGGCCCGATCGGTTAAGCCGTTTTGACGTTTATTGGATACAAATGGACAGATAGACAAGGCAAATTTAAATATAGAAGACGAAGAAAATTGATAAAAAAGCCATTTGTTTTTACAATTGATTGGAGTGATAGTTAAACAGTATCAGCTGCTTCAAACACAAAAGATTTTCTTTCTTTTATAGCAATTCCATACTATATGAAGTTATTGATATTTAGATTCAGTTAGATATTGGGAGTATTAAGCATTTTGCATGTGCACTATGAACTGTTTAGTCTGACTAGTAATTATAATTGAAAGCATTACCATTAATCATTAACAACCTTTGTTCTATAGTTGGTTCACTTTATTTACGGAACAACTTTACCATAATTTATGATTTAGGTTGTGATAAACACTGAATGGGGTGCGCTAGGGAACACTGGATCCTTGGACTTTATGCGCACGCGCTTCGATCATCTTGTGGACCAGAACTCCATGAATCCGGCCAAACAGGTTCAAAGGGACTGAATATTTGCATTAAACTTCAAATCTCTAATTAGAATTTGAGGAGAAGTTTTAGTTCTATTATAAGTTTATTTCTCACTAGGGATTAATTCAGATTTTGTTATGTATTATTATCAAAGGTTTCCAAATTAGATTTTACAGAAATTTGGTAACAGACTAATTAATTTAACTTTATATAATCTATACAACTCAAACATGAACAAAAAGGAAAAAATTACATTGTGATTTAAAATTGTGGAAATTTAAAAAGGTTGATGGCAGAGTATGTAGTATGTACTGCAGGTTGAGCTGGAAATGGGAACTTCTATTGGATGTAATGAGCTGAACTCCATAGGAGATAAAACCATCTCATGTTTTTACCAATGAAAAATCCGTTTATTTCACCTCAGAAGAGAATAAGTTTAACACTTTCCTTCTTTTTTTAAATTTCATTTTTGATTTTCTAGGTGTATGAGAAGCTGATAAGTGGAATGTATCTTGGTGAACTAACAAGGCATATTCTAGTTGGTGAGTTTTTTATTCTTTTTTCAAACATAGCGGAATAGTTGAATATTTAGGTTAGAAAAATTTGTCTGTATTAAAAATTTCTGGAAAAAATTGCAATATTTCTATAATTACGATATTTTTTAAATTTCCGTTTTTTCTCTATTCTATTTTTAATAATTTCGTCTTACAAACTTTGAAAATTTAAATGTGTAAATTCGTAACTATGTAGATAAACATATTTAGAGGCTGCTGAGAAGAAAATAATATTTAGTGGATGTAATACAGAAGTTCTCCAGGTATAGATACAATTTTCTTAATAAAAATGTTGTTCGATCATGTTTTTAAATAAGAAGACAATTTTGAAAGTCTTAGTTATTACGATAAAAAGATGCATTCTTAGTTTTTCAAATATTTTTAATATTTATATATATTGGTGAATTTTAATTTACAAATTATTTACATTTTGATTAATAAAATTGTTTAGAAGAAGGAACTGTTTCTTACCCGACATATTTCTGAAATTGAGGCGGATGAAGTGGGATGCACAGAAAACATGATTCAGGAACCAAACCTATATCATAAAGCAACGCTAAAGTAAACTAAAGTAAAGTAAAATATAAATATTTTAGAACTTGAAAATGATAACAGATAAAAATCCCAGTCTAAATCAATACATATTTTGCATTTCTGTCTGCCTGTCTGTTTGTTTGTTTTTATCCAATAAACGTCAATCGGGCCCAATTTTTTTCTGGGACCTCGTGTTACCCTTGAAGGTTTATAGATAATCGAACTTTCAAAATTTGCTTCTAACAAAATTCGATTTTTTAAACTTTTGAAAATCCACGAAATTTTTTTTATAACATCCGAGAATTTTTTGTTTTGTTTTTGTTTTACAATGTATACAAAGAGTGTTCACAATTGAAACAGAAGATGGGCGCGCGAAGCGTCCTAAAAGCCTGGTATAAACATACTTTGCTTGTCTTGATGTTTGTTTGTTTGTTTGTATCCAATAAACGTCAAAACGGCTGAACCAATCGGGCCCAAATTTTGAGTGGGACCTCGCGTGACCCCAGGGAAGGTTTATGGATGATCGAATTTTCAAAATTTTGTGAAATGCGCGAACAAATATTATAAATTTGCAAACTTGTTTTTGTTTTTGTTTTATTTGTTTTATACTGAACAAAGATAAGATGCTCACAGATAGAGCCACAATTAAAAGTTGAAATAGAAGATTGGCGAGAAGCCCTAAATTTTCGTATTCTCTTGTAAAACTGAGAGTACGACTGAAAGCACTCTATTTTCAGCAAAAAAAGAATCAAGAATTTGCAGTCATCATTGATCAGATAAATTTTTAGATTGAAATGTTGTTTATGCTGCATATGCACTCTACCAGTAAAGGGCCATGTGCAATTACGTCTAGAGTTCCTTTAAATCCCTAATTAAATATAGTACTAGTAAGCTATAAAGTGCAAACTAGGAAGACGGAACAGACAATTTCAGATTAAAATCTAAATTGTTCAAATGTTTGGTTCTACAAATCCGTTAACTGCTGCCTAGATTTCCATGAATCAATTGAGAGGCAAAATTAATGTAAAATTTAAACTTTTATAAAAAGCTTCTCTCGTGGTAAAATCAAATAAAGAACTAAGAAAATCAAATTAATTATTTTAACTGAACTCTCGTCTTAAATCGTAAGTAGGGTTTTCGGTTTTCCCTTCAGTTTTTTTCTCAGCTAGAAAAAAAAGCTTTTATTATTATAATTTGGTGAACTGTAGGTGCTCGAGGAGATTAATCTTGCAGAGGGAGCAACAGACCTAGATTATCAGGTTTTCAAAATACGCAGTTTTCTTACAATATTCATTTTTGTAAAGGGTGTCCTAAAAAAACTCTGAGTGATAGCTAAGGCCTTAATTTTGAAACAATCAAAAATTTTTGGCGTTTTTAAAATCCACTAAAAATTTCTTATTGAATCGTAAATACCAGAGCCTTCTATCAGGGAATTCCAAAATTTTAAACTTTATAAAACTTGGCTACGAGAATGATAGAACCCTCTTGTTTACACCATTCGATCATATACATTTTAAATTTATTTTAATATTGGTTCAAAATGTATTTTAGCTTGCTGCCACTGCAGTTTTTTTGGACACACTGTATGTATTACAAGGACGAGGAAACATCCCTCCTGTCGATATTAACGACTTAGGGTGCCACTGTCTCATATATTATAAAATTAAATAGTTAAATGTTGATGAAACTAATTAACAATATATTGCAACACACAGAAAAAAAGCTTTCCTTATAACTTCATCACAACTTTGAACCATTCTTAAATTGTCGTCTTCCGAATTCGTCTATATTTAGCCTTGACTTCTAGTATTATAGGACATTCATTTTACTGAAAATTCTTATAATTTTATGTTAAAAACTTTGCGGGTTAGTTAGTGTATATGATGCCGAGTGAGCCAAATCACATTTGTTCTAAACTTTGTTTATCTTTAAGACATTACGCTGTTAAGCCTGAATCCTTTTTCTAAATAGTAACTTTTAAACTTTTTACTGAAAAGATTATTCTTAATAATTTAATTATCTTGTTTCTAGATTCTACGGTATATTTGATTATCTTGTTTCTAGATTCTACGGTATATTTGATTATCTTGTTTCTAGATTCTACGGTATATTTGATTATCTTGTTTCTAGATTCTACGGTATATTTGATTATCTTGTTTCTAGATTCTACGGTATATTTGTGAATGTGTCTCGACTAGAGCAGCAGTATTGGCGGGGGCGGGTATAGCAGCTTTACTAAACAAGATGGCAAGGAAAAAGTAGGAAAACTTTATTCAGAATTAATTATTCATATATGCATAAATGTTTTATACTTTGTCGAGGATGAACATGAGTTTTTCTTGCCAACAATTAGTAATTTAGCACTTGGCATTACAAGAATGATTAGGGAAAAAACATTGACTAGCATTTTCTAGGTTTCCTTTGATATAAAATTACTTTCCTTAAACGAATAAGAATGAAAGCAAATTTTTTTAATTTTACTTTAAAAGCGGAAAAGTTTACTAGTTGTATTCATTTCTGTTAAATAATAATAATTAGACATGGAAAAAGCCAATTCTGTGCAATTCACACATTCATTTCCAATGATTCTTTGTTTTAAATAGAATAACTGTTGGTATGGATGGCTCTGTTTACAAATTTCATCCTCATTTCCACAGCAGGATGGTTACAAAGGTGCACTTTATTTGATTTGTGAAATTGATTTCTCGAATTTCGAATCATACTCTATTTATTTTATTTATTCTATAACTGGTGTTTCATGACATGGGTATTTGAAAAAACCATTCACAGAACATGTTAACTATCTCATTTCTCAATTCCCATACTGAACATTCTGCAAGAATTGATTAAAACTATTTTCTCCACATTGTCTGGAGATATTATCTGTTTTTGATTGAATAATAAATTAAATGTATATATATATATATATATATATATACATATCAATGATCGTTTCTTATTGCATATTGGGTAAAGAAAACATTCAGAACACATTAAATTTTATGGGGTTGCATCAAAATACACTTTTTGTGTAATACACATTTAAAAAAAACTTTCTGATGCTTTTGATTTTAGATTGCTCAGCTTGTAGATAGTTCAATACAGTTTCAAATGGTTCTCTCAGAAGACGGATCAGGTAATAGAGAAAGACGGAACCCAAAGCACGTTCAAGATCAAGTATTCTTCCTACTTTCTAGACCTGAAAAAAAAACTTTGTGACACAGTGTAAATTTTACGTATTTGTAGTACTTATGTAGATGATAGATTTTGAAAAGAGTCTAGATAAAGTAGATTATGCAGAATAGAAGAAATAGTTAAACAACGTTGAATCCATCTAACCAACTCTCCACAGCTTGACTTGATACTCAGAAGAACTGGTTTAAATGGCAGTACGTAGTTCAACTACTTGTGCTTTTTATTAAATCCGGTTTCAGAACTCCTGTACTTATAAGTTGGGTTTTCAGGTTTGAAAATAAAAGTTATCTTTCATCATGCAAGTTGATTTTCTTAAAGTTTGGGGGTTATGAAACGGTGCTTATGCAAAGTGCAAAAACCCAAATACATTTTACTTTTTGCTTCGGTGTAAATTTGCACCCCCCCCCCTCTTAATAAATATATATATATATATTTAATTGTAGGTCGTGGGGCTGGTCTTGCTGCTGCTGTATCAAGGAACAGAGTCAAAATAAATTTTTTAGACTTTAAAGAACTTTTAGTTAAAAGAAAGGTTTGAAGCAGGGTTTAATAGTCTTTTGAAGAGCAGTCTAAAAAAGTATGAATAACGGTATGAAGGTTAATGTGAAAAAGATAAAGCTGACAAAATTACGATTTTTGAGGAAAATTGTGTTGGTTTAGAATAAAAGATGTTTTTTCATTTTTAAATGTTTGGACGAACTTTTTCAAAATTAAATATTATTTGTTTCTGTTGTTATCAGATATAACTTATGAAATCTCCGCACGGTCTTTCTGTCAACAATAAGCAGATCTACATAATCTCTAGCAGCTCCTATAATTATTTAGCAGTTCCTGACAACATTTAGCAGTTTCTGACAACATTTAGTAGTTCCTGACAACATGTAGAAACTCCTGACAACATTTGGCAACTCCTGACAACCTTCAGCAGTTCCTTGACAATCCTTTGCAGCTCTTGCCAATATTTAGCAGCTCTCTCACCCCATGCAAAATATCTTGACAATATTTCAAACCACTTATATTAAATCTCATAACAAATTTCAGTTGCTTATGCCATTATTCAGCAGCTCCTGTAAATATCTCGTGAAAATGATTTACAACTCAAGAAAATATGCAACAGCTACTTGAAATATTCAACAGCTCTCTAAAAATTCAAAGCAGCTCATGCTAGCATTATTTTGACTAAATTTAAAAGCTTCTTGACATGGTTGGGAGGTTTCAACTTGGCTTTCAACATATTGTTAATCCAGTGGACTAGTCTTTGGATTGAAATTGATTTAAAGTGTTTTTTTCGTAATTTTAAATAATGTGCATGGCCAATTTAATAAATCATTAATTTCAAATTAAAATATTTTAACAATTAATTGACTCAAAAAAGTTGTGCAATCATCGTTAAAAATAAGTGTTTATATTTGCTTTTAAATATCCATTTTTTTCAAGACTGACTGAATTCATTTCTTAAGAGTTACTTCTAATTATTGCAAAAGGAATTGACTTTTTGTCACAAACTCAAACTTTCTAATGCTTATATCTTGCCAACCTAATGGTGTAAACCTTTTATATTTCAAACTTAGATCACTTGAACTAACATAATTCATAGTTTAAAATATCTAAGGTCTATGACATTGGGTTCTAAAGATATAGGGATTAAAAAATCAGAGTTTGTGGCAAAGACTCAATTTCTTTACGGTATAATATTGTACTAATATAAACAAAAGAAAAAATCTAAGATATTCTGTGAATTTGTAGATACATTCATTTGGCAAAAATACTGGATTATCTCTAAAATTTGTATTGCAAACTTGCACAAATTACAAATTCAGAATATCGATCAAAAGAAATTACATATTAATTATGATCTTATAATGTCACGCATTACAATTGTGAATATTGTTTGCATTTCATGTCATTCATTTAATTTTTTATAGTTCGGATATCAGATCAATTGTAAAATGTTTTTATGAAAATAAATTCCAAAAATATGCCCGGCTCTGAAACCCGGACCCTTTTGGACATATGTAGTTATGATCAGAAATCTTGGACAACTTGGACAGCTTGGACAACTTGGTCAACTAGGACAACTTGGACAAGTAGGACAACTTGGACAACTTTTATAAGAATCAGGCCACGTTAAGGCATACATGAAATATTGAATTTTAGTAAATCTAAAAAATAATTTCAATTGATTAAAAGTTTTCGAGTTCTATGTCCTTAAAATGTTAACCTTTTTTATGCGCATTTTTTTCCGGGTGGTTCCACTTCCATGGAGGAAAATGATAGGCAGAGTTATGCCAAATAAGTTGCTATTTATTTTATATCGCGTAGGTTAGCCATTACGGAGGCAGAAAAGTTTTAAGTTTTACCTAAATAAAGTTTGACATCATTCTCATGTCTGTAAAGATTTAAACATGATTTAATCATTGCAATACTTTATTCTACCCTTATGTAATGTCCTAACGTGGCAAGATTTCTTAATACTAGTTTTATCTTCAAGAAGTATAAACACTTTAAAACACATAATAATCGAAGGACGAGGATTTCGAGGTGGTTCGGACGATAAAATGAGGAGAATTTGGCTCGGACAAGAAATTGTTGTGACTGGCCTTCCTCCCCTCGGTGTTCAAGAGTATATCCATGCAAGGGTATGAAACTTTGATGGTATTCCTATTAAAGATTTCTCCTAGTATTGCACCTTTATCCACAAGATTTTAAAACTTGGAACCATGGTTTATAGAAACTGATTTACTAAAAGGTGGATTAGACCATATTATATTTTCTTTTCTTATTAGTTCTGGGGTTTTGGATTGAAATACAGTTTTTTCTTCATACCCAGATCTCCTGAGTGCATCTATGTATGACGGAATCTCTGTCCTAAAAACTTCTACTGAGCTGGAGGGGTTTAGATATTCTATATCCTTTTATCTGAGGTAGTTGCTTGATAGTATAGTCTTAGAATCGTTTATATAAGAAGTCTCTGAATTCTCTTTTCGATATGGTTTGTAGGATTCTTCTGCAAGGTTGAAATGAATATCTAGGAAATCTATACATTTAAGGTTTGTTTCGATTGTTACTCGCAGTCTCACTTCTTTAAAAATCCGAATTATATCTTTTCTAACTATGTCGAACCGGGGGCCAGGCAAGTTTAAAACAGCTAATCCATCATCTCTGTATAGTCCTATATGTGTGTTGTTTTGATGATTGACTCTAGTTTGTAGAGTATAAAAAGGCCAACTAGTTCACATGATCAGCACCATCTAAACAGTCCATAGTTACATCAAAGTTAGGACCAGTTTTTTCACACAACGGTCTTGGTTAGAAAATAGAAAAGATTTTCTTGAATGAACTAAAGTGTTCATCTGACTGTTAATAATCTCAGTAAAACTTCCTGCCCTATCTATAGCATCCTTATATAGTTTAGGAGATAAACTTGGATAGAATGATACAACATCAAATTTCAGAAAAGATAGTGGTTATTTGTTGTCAAAGTTTTCAAAACTTTTGTAGTGATTTAGACCAGTATATTACTCTTCTTTACTTCATAAACAATATTTCCAGTGATTTAGACCAGTATATTACTCTTCCTTACTTCACAAACAATATTTCCAGTGATTTAGACCAGTATATTACTCTTCCTTACTTCATAAACAATATTTCCAGTGATTTAGACCAGTATATTACTCTTCCTTACTTCATAAACAATATTTCCAGTGATTTAGACCAGTATATTTCTCTTCCTTACTTCATAAACAATATTTCCAGTGATTTAGACCAGTATATTACTCTTCTTTACTTCATAAACAATATTTCCAGTGATTTAGACCAGTATATTACTCTTCTTTACTTCATAAACAATATTTCCAGTGATTTAGACCAGTATATTACTCTTCTTTACTTCATAAACAATATTTCCAGTGATTTAGACCAGTATATTACTCTTCTTTACTTCATAAACAATATGTCCAGTGATTTAGACCAGTATATTACTCTTCTTTACTTCACAAACAATATTTTCAGTGATTTAGACCAGTATATTACTCTTCCTTACTTCATAAACAATATTTCCAGTGATTTAGACCAGTATATTACTCTTCCAAACAATATTTCCAAGGATCTTCTTGCTTATTGGTCCTATTGATCCAGAGTTAAAAGACAACATTCAATTTTTTTCAAAACTTGTCAATTGTGATATATATATTCATATATGAATATCAACATACAGGGTGTCCCGCAAAACATGACAGTTGGTGAATAGTTTAAAATTTCTTCTTCCATAATTTGATAAGTTGTTTGATAGACTAAAAAAATTTTTATATGATAGTTATATTACGGTAAAATTGATTTCACAGTAAAATATATATGAGTTAAACATTTTTTTAAAAGAAATAAACTGCAAAAAGTCTTTAATATCTAATACGGTATGTGAAATTTAGACATTAAAAACTATTCACCAACTTTCATGTTTCGTGGGACACCCTGTACATCTAATTTATATTTATGAGAATGGCGAGTGCCACGTAAGAAAAGAGGAGAGCTAGAAATGGGATAAAAAGAAAGGAAGAGGTTAGTGTGTGGGGCCGGGGGTGGAAAAATACCAAGGATAATATTTAGTATATATTTCCTACTACATCAGTTATGAGGCTCTTATTTATATTAGAGGCTGCATTCAGTCACAAATCTGAGGATATTGATCCAGAATTAAGTGTGAAAATTCAAAATCCAGTAGAATTCAGATAACGAAAACTATAATAAAGATATACATCGATGCTCTATATTCAACCCTAATCAAATTGATTAATATGTAAAACCCTTACCAAATAGATATATACAACCCTTATCCAATAGATTAATATGTAAAACCCTTACCAAATAGATATATACAACCCTTATCCAATAGATTAATATGTAAAACCCTTACCAAATAGTTTTATACAACCCTTATCCATTAGATATATATACAACTCTTATCCAATAGATATATACAACCCTTATCTAATTGATATATACAATCCTAATCAAATAGATTATATAACCCTTATCCAATAGATTATAAAACCCTTATCCAATAGATATATACAACCCTTATCCAATAGATATCTTCAACCATTATCCAATAGATATATATAACCCTTATCAAATAGATTATACAACCCTTATCCAATAGATATATACAACCCTTATCCAATAGATATAGACAACCCTCATCCGATAGATATATTCAACCCTTATCCAATAGATATATACAACCCTTATCCAATAGATATATTCAACCCTTATCCAATAGATATATGCAATCCTTATCCAATAGATAACTTCAACCCTTATTGAATAGATATATACAACCCTTATCAAATAGATATATTCAACCCTTATCCAATAGATGTATGCAATCCTTATCCAATAGATATATTCAACCCTTATCCAATAGATATATACAACCCTTATCCAATAGATATAGACAACCCTCATCCAATAGATATATTAAACCCTTATCCAATAGATATCTTCAACCCTTATTCAATAGATATATAAAACTATCAAATTGATATACATAATACATATACAATCCTTATCCAATAGATATACATTATACATTATGAATTGACAGAATTCTCTGGGCTTTGGATTTTTAACTTGAAAAAATGTATGTAAATAGTTAATACGCTTTTTGTTCATTATTATTATTTTACGAATTCATCGATTCATAGAGAAATTATGTCTGCAAAATAAGGTAAAAAATTAGAGTTTAAAAAATAAACGGCTCAAGAATCGAAAGAGGAACAGATGGGACAGCAATGATTTATTTTGTAGTTTTATTTTCAGTCTATAAAGTAAGTGTTGATAAAAAGTCTGAATGAATGCCACATGTTGCAGTTTGCCTGAAATCAAAGTTTGGAATGCAAACAAATCTTATCAGTTTTAATATTTTTATATTTATAGATATTTCTTTCATTTTTAAAAAACGGCGGGTATTCGGCTTTGGAAACATATTTTCTCCCTTCATTTTCAACATATAAAACAATAAGAACAAAGAAAAACGACAAATCGTAATGTCTGTTTTCACCAAAGTAAGGTTCGTTAATACGCCCCCCCCCCCTCCCAAGGCGGATATATCTGAAAATACTTGTTTAATGTGTGTTATTTTTAAAATTGATAACATAAATCTTTATGGTAAAGCTCTTCGCTCACATATGTAATGTATATATATCTTCTTAAAAAAA